TCCCGAGGGCACGTGGGGCACGAGCTCAGGCGAATAATACAAGTTACACCTTAACGTTCTTTTTTTTTTTGGGGGTTTTCTTAAAAGGGCTTCAAAACTCTGTACGCCCGAGGCGAGCCCCTGCACAGCCCGAGACTGCCAAAACCCAAGCTCGTCTTCCTCCCCCAAACGGGTTTGTCCGTTGCATTTTATTGTTGCCGGTCGCACCCTATCCGTCCGTCACGGACTGATTCTGTTAACCGCACCACGGTCTAATCAACGAACGGTTTATAAAGATCTTTGGTTTCTCACGTGTCTGTTGGGTATTACGTGTTTTCGGATTTAAAAATATTGTATTTTTTTTTTTTTTAAATTATTTGTCACAAATTTCTTGGAATACGGTAAAGCGTGTGATTTTCACACTCTATGCCGGTTAAGTGTGGCCCTCGTAATCCGTTTCTCTATCGATGACTAATGAAATACAATCGAATCAAATTAAAATAATATAATGTAATGATTATTGCTCGTTTGACGCCAACAACACGCGCTGTTCGTGTGTGTGTTATTCGATATCGTACCAGTTATCCCGTGCGAATACTTGGCACACCTAACACAACTGTTAGGTTATAAAAAAAAAAAAAAAAATACGGCCCCTTTAAAAAACAACGTCATAATTTTTAAAAAAATACTATTAAAAATATTCAAAGTGAAAATTTCCTTATTGTACCTACGCCTAACAATACAATAAAATATATTTTTTTATGACTGAATAAAATTTTTATGACTTCGGTGATAGTCGCAACATAACAACATGACATTACCTGTAATAATAATTTCAATGTATAAACAAATAAAAAGTATATTATTTATTTAATGAAGAGCCGAACGCAGTAAGTACAGTGTGCTACAGACGAATGTAAACAATACACAAATAAATCTACCAATACATAAATTAGCTGGGAACATCAATTAAAAACAAAGTACAAATCATGGAAAAATACATGAACTTCGACGGTCAGAAGGCTATCTCTAATATTAGTAAGGATCATGCCTTGTTTATTATGGGGTGGATTTCTAGAGTTGTAGGAAGTATAGAAACTGTACTAATTAGGCAAAATAGAAAATTAATTAAAAATATTACAGATGTTTTTTTTTTTTGTAAGCTTCCTGTAGTTGCTACGTGCTTTTAAAACAAAAATCTGGCTTGAAATTAGAAAATATGTGACAAGTACGTTTACGGGTCAGCTGTGATTGTAAAAATTAACAAGATTGTGAGTTCATGAAAACGTTATAAAAATTATTTTTGTGGCGGCTACCATTTCAGAAAAAAACAGCATCATTTTACTCGACCAAGTAGTAGACGGATAAAACAATTTTGAGGGGAGGTATTCTAAATTAACGGGAAGGGGCCCACAAAGAACATTAGAACAAATATCATCGAAATTCCTGGGATATCTTTTTTCGCCATTCCGATACTATCATCACACACACACACGCGGTCGCCGTTCGGATGTATTTCAACACCAAACTTTTCCGCATACCAAACACATGCCGTTGCTCGGTCGGTCGCAGGAAAAATGTCCACACACAAAACTGGTTCGCTGGATCCACGGGTGTGCTTGGCCGGCAAAACCGTTATATGCTCGCGTGTGTATAATATTATAAGTAGGTATATATATATATATATAAGTATGCTAATGTGTGGTGTGTGTGTTTGTATCACATCTGCCGACCGCCGATGTCATCCCCTCGTTTCGAAAAAAAAGCGCTACTATTTTTTTTTTTTTTTATGCTGTGGCGTTAAACGCCAAGAAGTCGAGTCGTCTTCGAAAATACGGATCACCGGTTATGATCGACACCGTTGTTCCGACTTGAGACATTCAATATCCCGTGTTCCGGTCTACCGGTTATCGCCTCAGCCGCTTAATTACACACACACACACACATCCGCCTCCGATGCATAATATAAGAGTGCAAGGATACCGTGGATACCTCCGGCCCCCTTATGTGATGACGGTACACGTTACGTTGGATTGCAACGACCCACAAGTCCTATACAAGACTATATTAAGGCGCGTTCGATCCAATGCATTTTTGTTGCTCAACAAACGCGGCGAATTAGTACACCGCGGTCGTTGCCAGATAACTTAGTGCTACGTTTATTTTTATTTCAACGAATCTCTCACTGAAAAAAATTAACGTAGCTATTTTGAAAAGCGGTAATTTTAAGTTTTTAATATCCCGAGTGTACTAACATATAGTTAAATGATAGGAGGAACGGACGCAGAGGAGTTGCATTAAACCGTGCATTTGACCTCGCCGCTGAGCAGTTAACATAGATACTTCTGCAGTTATTTTTAATTGCTACAGATCTGTCGGTGACATCCATGCGGATCCATGTCGTTTCACTATCAGCCATCTGATGTAATGTTGTTATCAAAATTATTTTTCGTCAAGGGTCTAGCGCAAAACTATAAACGACGCGTTAAAAGTAACTTCGTTTTCTTATGTCGAGTTGAGTCTAAATTATGCGCTGAAGGTTGAGGTACAAGATCTGAATCTCTATTGTTTGAGGGCGTTGTTAACAATTATTACACTTGTTATTAAATTATCGTTCTCGCAGTACTTGCGTCACGGTTGTTTACCGCCATTGTGTATGTAGGTATATTTTGCGCACTACGATTCTTGTTGATGTTTTTAACGTTTTTTTACCGGACGTGTGAGGACTACAAGCAGAGTTGTGCAAATTCCCATTCGAATGAAACGTTATTGGAATAATTATTTCACAATTTATTCCAATAAAACATTATCCGAACGACTTTTACTCGTATTATGTGTTATCAGGAGCGGATACAAGGGGAGGGGGCTATGGGAGCTAAAACCCCTCCCTTATGTACTTGAATTGTATGCATTAAAAGTGAATTTTTGTTTTTTATAATACAATATGTTTATTTATTTTACTATGTAAGCTTTAAAAACTCTATGACTATTGCTTACGTGTATTTGAAGTGATTTATTTTTTCTAGCCCCCCCCCCCTAGATCCACCACTGTGTGTTATCTAGTTGATTATTTATGATAACGCTTTATTCGAATGATGATGCACAACAATGGCAAAATGTATTTTTTTTTTTTTGAAAATTGCAACGAAATGATTGTTTTTTTTTCTGAAATCGCACGGTCGCTTTTGATCCGACGTCGGTACACGTTAAAAGGACAAACAAATACCTACGATGGTCTTTATTATTATTTTTTTTTTTTTTTAAGACATTCGCCATATTTTCCACGGAAACGCGTTAATTGTGCGCGGTAATTACACGTAATCGTTGTATACATATATTATATTGACCGGTAGGAGTCACCTTGAAAAAATCACACGAAATTTCGCAGCGACAATTATATGAGAAATAAAATTACAAAGCCGAAGCGCAGCTTTCAAGGTCAACCGTCTATAATTTATTTGCAATTTATTTTTCGTTTTGCTCGCTAAGAAAATGAAAACAAATCGTTAACGATCCTTTAATCGGCCCAATTTGCGCGCTTGCCCAATAGCTTCCACAACGAGTACCTATTGTCCCAGAACGACCGTTACAGTGTTTTATGTTGTCTCCAAGGTCAAAAAATAAGTTCAGTCGAAATACGAGAGTGACTTAAATCCGTATATATTTTTTTCTCGCACAAAAGATGTAATATAATTTTTTGAAATATAATGGTTTTTTTTTCCCCTGCCCATTTAAAATGTTAATTTACCTCGACAAACGTGCTGTACACTATAGCAGTCGTGTGCGTGGATGAGTTGCGAGAAAATGTGCGTGTATAGACCAAGGTCGCCAATTCGAGCGATACCTACCCATTTGTATTGTATTTATCGTACTATTATTGTATGTATACCTGCCATTCGGACGGCGATATGGACGTCTCGGGACAGTGGTATAGAGATGTATTTCACATAATATTAATATTATGTATACGTCATGTTACGTGCGCACGAAAAGCGATGAAGAACAGGATGTTGTTGTAAACATGTAAAAAATCGTACAAGTGCTGTGAGGCCTTTGGCAAACGACAGTTTAAGGCGCAGGGACCGTCCGAGTGTCACGTTTCTTCCTCGCCCGCGGAGACCCAGCAGGAAGCTGCTGCTGCTGCTGCTCTATTAGATCATTATAATAGCGCATAAGAGATGTATATCTCGCATTGGTCTTGCGGATTTCCGAGAACGCCGAGAAAAAATTCTACAGGTTTCTTATCTACCTCTCTCTCTCTCTCTCTCTCTCTCTTATCTTCAACGTGTGCAATGATTGCGTGCTGCAACAGCTCCTCGCCAAAGCCGCAGTCATTTCCAAATCGTATAGTACCTACACAGTACGGTCGACATAGACACTATAATAGTCTAATAGGTGGGCGGGGGACCACAGGTCTTCAAGAATAATTTTTTTTTTAACTGAAATGGTGATAAAATCGCTTTCGAATAAACATATAAATGATACTCGTAGAAACAAACGAGCATCGATAAAAAATCACCGTAAAGGCAATAGTTGTATTTTTAGTGTATCAGAATATATTTAAGTATGTATAAATATTTTATACTTATTTATGTAAGTTTTTGTGAAACAGAATATAAAATTAAATACGGTCAAAGTGTGATTTTCCCATTTTTTTTTTCTTTTGGCGGGGGAGGAGGGTTTATTTGTTTCAAAAAGTTTAACTACAAATATTTAAAAAGTATATTAAAGAAAAAACATGGTGACTTTTATAGTTAACAGTTAGATTAGTCAGACTTAACATAACACCTTGTACGGTGTCACGCGATGGGCACGATAGTTAATAAGTTGATGTTTCTTAAGCAAGTTCTCTTTTGGCTCGAATCGTTCGGGATCAATGCGGCGCTTGCGGCCGTCAATCGGTATCTCTTCCCGCGGGTTCAGAGCCTCGCGGTCACGGTCAAGGAGGTGCTGCGCCGATATCAGTTAACGTTACAACCGAAGGCCGTTCTAACAGATTTGTTTTCTTTCTGTTCACACAGGTGCACAGGCTTGCCCAATACGAAACGTATTTCCAGAGTTTGCTGGACGATACCAGACCGGAACATGGACGAGGCGCCGAGTACCACGACCTCTGTATGGCCAACAGCACCGTCAAACAAGTAAGACTACCAAAAAAAAATATTTTTTAATCATTCTTCGTGGGCGTGTGTGTGTGTGTGTGTGTGTGAGTGTTTAAGTGCACAACATTATAATATTTTTATTTCTGTCGATATTATAGTCTGGTGTCGATAAAAAAGAAAAAAAAAATTGTTAAAAATACAGAGAACAGAGACGGTGGCATTGTGTCGGCAGAGAGAGACCCACTTTCTTCGTGCGCGGTCTACAAAGAATAATACAAGAACACTTTTTCTCTCGCCTACTATGAAAATATCATTTTCGACTGAATAATGGTCGCTCATTGTAGAGACCTTTGAACCGTTCGTTTTTCTTTGATAACAACGACCCACTTGTATTATGATTTTTTTTTTTTTCTTGTCGTTCGGTCATATTATCCCACAATAATGGCAGAGCTGTCTGCTGCGGGCCGTGTGCGCGTTTCAAACGGATCTGCGGAGTGTGTGTATTTTTTTTTTTTTCATCTACTAAACCCATTGATAATGCCGGTGGTATGCGTTTGTCTTGTGTCTTGTGTGTGTGTGTGTGTATGATATAGCTGTTGATCTCTATCGAGGGCCGGTTCGGCGTTTCGTCATTGTAACCGCGCGCTCCAATTCGAAACGAATAATTAATTATGTTATTAATATTATCGTTAAAACACCGGCTAAAAACTTTAAAAAAATTCAATGATTAAGTGATAAAAAGTGTACCTACACGGTGTGTATATAATGTGCGTTACACCGGCCTGTGCAGAACTCGAGTAAAATGTAAACGACACTACTGCCACACCCAAAACTGATAAATTGCGACGGGGGCTAAATGTGCCAAGGCGACTTGTATGTACCGGTCCTGCGAAATGCCACAATGACCATATTCGTCTTGAGTGCCTCCGCTTCTCAGCTTAAACGATTATGCACGACGAGGAGGCGTTATAAAAAAAAAAAAAAGTGTCCAACAGTAATATTGTACCTACCTTTGAGTTTGTACAATGTAAAAATCAAATAAAACCAATACCATCTTAGCTATCGCGTCCAAGCTAAAATTACTGCTGCCATATATAAGCATTCATTGAAGAGTTTTGAATTGTACGCATAAGCCCTAAAATCAGTGATTTTACTTAAAGCAACTGTACTAGTGGCTATGGTAGTTTGAAAGTGACGCAAACAGTAGGACTAAAATCAGTCTGTCTAATTAGAAGCCAAAAAAAATACCGTTCGATATATCGTGGTGATAACATATCGATGATAACAGTATCTTGAAAACAAAAAAAACAATTTTTATGATAAGGGGTAAAAACTTGTTTTATCATAATACAGAGTACCAATACTGGTCATAACTAGTATAATAATATGTTAGTTCATCTCTTCATATTATTACTATTTGAGTTGGACCAACTATGTTACCTATGCTTTTCTCGCCTCCCCGTCCTAGTTAATTCCTGCACACTTGTTGCCTGTTGGAACGATTTTCCCAGCGGATTGAAAGACATTTTGGAATGTTCCGACAAAAGACGTCGTAAGCTGATATTGTGTTCTATATATGTATATATATATTCAATTCGTATGTTAATCGATCAGAGATCGGACGCATCGCTGTGTGTAGTGTTTTTTCTTGTGATTTGTCTAATTTTATATATTTTTTTTTTATCCATCCTTCATTTTGTTTCTCATCATTTATAAAAATCGGGTCTATGCCACAGTCTTGGGTTCGCCGCGGTCGAATCAAATATGGCGTCGGTGCACTTAAATCGTAACATATTATCATGGGTTTTTTTTTTTTTTTAGCTAATGTACTTACATGTAACGCGAACTGTCGTATCGGTGAATACGATCCGACCACAGCAATATCGACGATATTAAATTACCGCTGCCGATATACAACAAATCATTATAATATAGCGTTCGCCTCCTACGCGTTTTAAATGATTTTCCATATCTCGTTACGGTTCGCTTGTATAATGTAGTATAATGTACATAATATTATTATAATATCATACACTTAGCTGGCGCAGTAGGCAGTGTGCCGGGCGATATTAATTTATGCGCGTACCGATGCTAGTCTAGATTGGCTTGTACAACCGCGGCGATGACGACGATATTAATAATGATTTTTATACCATGTGAAAATCTACACCCTAAGCAATCGATCCGACGACGTTTACCTGTGCCCGCAAGTCCATAAAATATCAGCTAGTCGAGATCAGTGAATGAGCCAAGTGCGTTTGTCATATTTCCTTGGGCCTGTAGAGGGTCCTCTATATAAGCCGTCGGCATCTCCGGTTTAAGATTTTCAATTAACTCACAAACGCCAGAGGCATTGTTAACACTATTTAATTGCCACCGATAGCCCAATGATCGTAGGTATTATAGATGTCGAATCGAAACTCGAAAGTTGGCTTCCGGCATTAGGCGTAGACATACAATGTGTGACGGATGAAAAAAAAAAATCGATTTTAATTAGTCGAATTAACAGATTATTATTTTTTTTTTTTAATTGTTTGCATTGTGTATTGTATACTAGGAGTAATTTTGTGTATGCTGTACGTTATCGCAGTATGTGTGCTACGGGGTGTTTGTCTTATCCTGTGTATTTATTTATAATGTTTTCTTTTGCAGACTATAAAACGTGTTCACGAGCAAAGCGATTTGGAACGAATTCAAGATGTATTCCCCAACGACTTCCTCAGGCTTTACGATAAAGAAGCGCTCACAATGGTAAGTATATTATTTACATCTTGGAAAATGTCCTAGAGTATAAAAATAACCTGCGCTCGCCTTTACATTTTAACATGGATATGATTTACCGCTGGGCGGTCTGGAATTTCAAAATTTGCGTCATAGGCTCTCGGTCACGACTTTTCAGAGAGTGATAGAAAACAACTGATAACGGATGCTGACAAAACATAGCTGATAAAGGATTGTTGATAAGATTATAGTTTTAAGAGACAGCTGATAAGAGATTAGTGAAAAGAGAATCTGCTAAAATCTCCTGATGAGAGAATAGTAATAAGCACAGATATATAATAAAATAAGGTTCTAATTCCCACAAAGATGGCGGAAAACGGTAACTTCAATTATCTCTATTGGCGGCGTATAGGTACACATGGCAATCTAGTTTATTAAATACATCTGTGGTAATAAGGGACAACTGATAACGGCTCCTGATAAGAGCCAGTTGATAAGAGGTCAGTTAGATTAAAGTTGGATTTGGATTAAATAAGTTAGATTAGGTTAAAGACAGAAGGAAGGAGAAGAGTATTGGATAGATCAGGGAGGTGAGGGGAAAACATATCTATTCCGTGTTGTTTTTTTTTTTTTTTATGTATATTATGATTTATGACCATATTATTATGAACGGTTGAAACACGGTTTCGGTATTGTGTTTTAGAAAATGAAAGGGTTAATCCGAAAGAGGGGTGGAACGGGAACGGCCGCTCTTCGGCGGGCCCTGTCGTCCAAGTCTCTGCGGTCGGAGTCGCCTCCCAGCACTCCCAATAAGGTCAGGAGCGACAGTCCCAGGAAATTCATCATGGAGTCGCCGGTGCAATTCATAAACGTGAGTGTGTGCATTTTCTTAAGGCAAAAAAAGAAACTCAAGTGCAGCTGTTGTACTTAGTGCAAACCGTACTTAACTCCCCGTATATATACATATGTCTACAGGGTGTCCATTGCCAGGAACGTCACCTGTTCTTGTTCAACGACCTACTGCTGGTGGCCAAGGCGAAATCGGGTGGCAATTTCAAGCTTAAGGACAAGGTGAGGGTGTCGGAAATCTGGTTGAACGACACGCCGGCCGTCTTGGACGAAGTGGCCGAAATTCCGAGGTCTTCGGATACGTCTTTCGTCATCGGATGGCCGACTACCAACTACGTAGCAGTGTTTAGGTTAGTAAAAAAAAAAAAAAAACATTAAAACATTAATGGGAAAAACGGTCTTGGATATCCACTACCGAAATATCATTGTGTTTTACCGTTGTGTTGTTGTATGCGGCGGGGTGCGGTCTCAGCGGGACCCCGCCATCTCACTCGTCATTAGCGAGGGTCTTTGAACCGGCCATTGTGCGACAGTGATCCAAAAACCATGTATAATCTCTCCTATGAGCATCAATTTAATAATAATAATAATAATAATAATAGTGTGCTCGTCGCCCAGAACACTATGGGACAAACGGGTATTGTATCGGAAAGGAGGTTCGCTAACGGTACCCGTGTGTATGGGTCGTGCCGACTTAAATGACTATCTTAATTAGACAAAAACGGCTTATTGTATTCGGCCGGGTTATCCGTAGGTAACAGCCGCCGCCATCGTCTTCTTCGTATGTGCACATGAATGTGTAATTATTATTATAGTGAATGATAATTTGCGTATTATTAAATCATTGAACGTTCACGGATGGGCGACGTAGCATCGTCGCTGTATTATAAAACATTACAAGACGGTGTCGTCTCGGAGGTTGTGCCAACAATAAAGTTATTAACACCCGAAACGCATACAGGCTCGACACGTGTGCTTAAATTATGTTTAACAGATGCGCATTTCATAAATTCCACTTAACGCGTACTCGAAAACAAGGTGTCCACGATGATGCACTTACAATTAAAAAAATAAAAATAAACGGCAAATACTTACATCATCCCCGGACGATATCCACGGCGGTGGAGCTGGTAAATATCTACTGAAGTGTTCACTGTATTGTTTTAACTGTTAAGGTCGCGTCCTTGAAGGCCGCAGTCATTATTAAAAAACCGTGGGAAATTCTCACCAATCGTATAGTGTTCTTGTCCAAAGAGACTATAATTTTCCATTGTCGAAACTATTAAATTAATGCAAAATTAGTGCACACTCCGATAAAATTTAAACAAAAATACCGCTTCTTAAAGGAAAACGCATGAAACATCTGAAAATCTATCCTCTAAGTAATATCCAAATTCCAAACGAGTTGTATCGCCAATGTTTTTAGATTTATCAACATTTTTCCTATCTCTCCGTGTTTGGTCAGTTGTCAAGTGATTCCGGATGATCAGTTTCACATCCGAGCTAATATTGCATAAATACATATTATGTTTATTTAATTTTTTTGCAATTCTCGCCGATTAACGTCAATCGGCAAACAATAAATCAGCCAATTGGTTTTCGATAAAATCATTTTTCTTTTATTTAATCTTGGCATCATTCCGACGTTCAGTTTATTATAATATCCATGCCGCCGTGGGAAAGCGATACTTTTTTTGTCTCCTGGACGCAAAATTAAATATTATCGTTTGCCTTGAACACCACAGTCATTTGTCACACGAATGACCAGATATATTAAAATATTTTCTTTGAGTTTATCGAACACATCTCTTGTGTTATAGTAGGTATGTGCGTAGGATTATTAATGGTGTACACGGGTGAGAAAGGTTGTTGCAGATCATTTGACGGGATAAAAAAGAAAATCGCACATTACACGGCTTTTTGTCGATCTCAAATCGAAATTCGAATAATCTTAACACACATCAGCTGCTTATATCCATTTTAGTTAGTTCTCTCCGAGACTTGACGGATAGTAGTAATCGTTTATCAGAGTCTGTTTCTACAATACTAAACAGTTTTGAATCGGCCGTTTTTTTATCTACTTAACTATATTTTGTTGTTTACGTTTTATTTTTTTATATTTAGGTAGGTAAAAAAAAAAAAATAAGTACCTACTATTCTATTTTCCTCTCGATAGTAGGTACGTGTACACCTACCCACACTCTCGTCCTTTATCTATTGGCTTTTTTAAATTTTTTTTGTTTATTTTGCCAGTATCAGCAGGTCAAATGTCCAATCTGTCGCCTACCTAATCTTTGAATATTATTATAATACATGGGACGACGGTGCCGATTGTGTTAGTTACTTTTTTATAGTGCCAAGACGCGGTTATGCTATAGTCGTGTGGTTGAGTTTGTCGCTTCCAAAGTCTACTGCGACTTTTTATCGTTATGATTTTCGACCGTATAAAAAAGTTATTGTCGTTTATCGACGTTAAGTTAACGTGCAAAAGAAAAAACCACTGTGTATTGCCTTTCGGCAGTCGATTCGGTTTAAATAATGGCAATTATATTGCCCGCGACGAAGAAACCAATCCGTAAGTTACATAATGATGTTTTCATTCTTATTGTTTCCCATTAATTTGCGACCGTTTACGATTGGTTACGAACCTAATAATTAACGTGATACACATTCAACAGCTTCAGTATTCCCGGTAATTAAAAAAACGTGCAACATATTTTTTAATGTTATCGAAATGTATTATACTATTAATCTTTTTAGAGACTTTGAAAATAGGGTGGAGGGGGGGGGTGGGAAATTTTACATACGGAACGTGTTTATCGGTAAGAATTTGTTTATCTTAAATTTTTCCGCGCTAATCTCAATAACGTGCCGGATATTAATTAGGAAGTTGACATTTTTTTTTTCCTATTTATAAAACCGGCTAATGTGATCCGTTCACCCGTGTCCGGTCTCCGTCTCATTTGCCCTTAATCCGCATGTTGTGGAATGTTGTGTTAACTAATAATAATAATAATGATTATGCATTGTCCTACTTTTTTTTTCGCTTATAATTAGGTTAGGTGGGGTGAGGACTGAGGTTAAGTTAGGTTAGGTTCCGCGGTATTCGGGAGAAGTTTGTTAGGCGGTCTGGTTAATGTGAGATGGACAAACCCCCAAAGGAAAAGATGTGATTAAAATGAACATTCTCAAATTTTATTCCGTATTTTAACATAAATCGACCCCCCCCCCCCGCCCCCACTCACCTTCGGAAAAAAGGTCTTATCGCGCTTGCCCTATCTAAAATGTGGAAAAAGTGAAAGACATAAAAAAAAAAAGTCAGGAAATATGGAGAGAGAAAAAAGGTCGTGTGACCTTTTTCGCCGTTTAAATTATTGTTGATTGTTTGTTTAACGGTATGTTGTATAATGTTACAGCACTCAAGCTACTAGGAATTTATGGTGGTCGAAATTGGTGGAAGAATCGCAAGAAGAAATCCGAAAAGAGCCGCCGACCACTAACATTCAAGTGTTCTACCAAGATCTCAACACTGGAATAGAATACGTGAGTGTAACACTATATTGTACAGCCGACGGTATTATTATTTTTAATATCGTCATTAACAAACAAAAAAAGCCTCTCTCGCGCGTGTGTGTGTGTGTGTGTGTGTGTGTCTACTAATAAATCAACTGGGTGTTCCAGTGTAAAACGTTTTCAATCGGTCCGGACGAGAGTGCCAAGGATTGTGTAAAAATAGCCTTGGACCATTTGGAAATGCGAGACGTGGACCCGGCACAGTTTCAGCTGTGGGCCAAGACGCCCAGGGAAGAACCTCCTTATCCGCTGTTCGGCCACGAGAAACCCTATTCGGTCAAGCTGAGCTGTCTCAGGGACGGACTTAGCGCAGAAGAGGGTTTCGACCTGGACCACTGCAACAACATACACGACCCGTTGGCCAGGTGTCATTTCATCTTGAGGTATTATTATTATTATTATTATCCTATTATTATTATTATTATTGATCGTTCACTCGATACGGAAAAAAACAACCTAATTGATGGCAATGGCGTAACTAGAGGGAGGGGGAGGGGGGACTAAGGAAGTTTAGACCTTTAAAAAACTGTTTTAGGCAAAAGCTCACTCAGAATTTCGGTAAAAAGTATAAACCTTATTTGGGGGCAGTGCCTGATTGGTTGCCGACATGTTTTTAGAGTGCCGACGAGTTTAGAAGGACTTAAACTTCCCTAGCCCCCCCCCCTTATTTTGGCTTTTGAAAATAAGGGAATAGCGAAAATCCTATACTATGGTTAGGTCAGGCCAACATAATATGTACAATTTAGTGGGAAAATGTAGATGTCATTTTTTTTATATATGTATAAGTTAATAGATTTTAATTAAATTCAGAAAAAAGTAGATTATTTTGTTTTTGAATAATGGCGTTTACAAACTTTATTACCTAGATAACACTTTTTATCCAACTGAAAACTCAACAATAACTAATCGAATAACTTTCAAACATAATGTACAAATAATTTGCAACTGTCGTTTTCCAGTAATTTGTATTTTTAAACATAATTTCGTAGAAAAATATCTAATACACATAATATATACAAATAAAAACATTATCGATAGTGAAATAAGATATATTTAAAAAAAATTCTCGCTTCATTTGAACTATTTTATCACCAAGACGTTGTGATCTCGTGTATAATTCAAATCTCTAATCGATCAGATGGTTCGTTAGATACGATTGGCTATGGAATTTTTATTATTTACACATTTTAAATAGTCGACTTCTACTTTAAGATAATAACGCCGTATAAAATCGAGACATAGCTATTTTGTTTTATATTGGCACAATATGTTGTATAGCTGAAAAACATGTAAATCCGGTTATACCTAATGACATAGAAATAGAAATATAAATACTATTTTTTTTTTTTACCTTATAAATATAACGTAACAAATAAATAATAATTAGATTACGAAAAATAATAAATTTAAAGAGAAAAAAAATTCAGTGACAAATTTATCATTATAAAGTGTTGCTTAATTCTATAAGATATTATAGTGTTTTTTAATGCAAACATATTATTTCAGTTCAGTCGATTTAATTGAATATAAATTATAAAATATTCGAATATTGTTTTTTATTCGATTAATTCCTTTTCAAAACTATTCGATATCTTTTTTTTTATTCGAATAAGTCGTTAAAAAAGAGTTATTTGAATAATTGACTACAGTGCAAACTACTTAGAAAACTGATTATTATGTAGGTGCCATAAATTAATATTCATTGAAATGCGATTGATTAATAATATGATTTTTGTTTTTATTTTAAAGTGTTGTGATAATATATTGCCTTAATTTTGTCTTGAAATAAATTACCACTCCTCTAGGCTCTAACTGACTTTCTACTAAAAAAATATATATTTTAAATGTAGCCTTATTTTCAACTCTATTATCTTCAATCTAATTTTCTTATCTGCAACGATAAACATAATATTATTATAACTGCGCTAGTCGTATGTTGAATCAAACCTTATTACCTACATTTTACCAACATAACGGTTTTCGTATAATATAATAATATATCTTAATAATTTATGTAACAAATTTTTAATAATTTATTATCTAAAGTTTGAAACCGTTTTAAGCATACAACCTAACGGCTAGCTTTACTTCCTTAATGTGTCATCATACTAATTATCCGGAATCGTTTTTCATTTGACATTTTCGTTTGGTTTAGAGTTTACCGATGTAAGAAAAATACTTAGAAATATAGAGCAATTTTTTAAACAAAAAATTAGGTACAGTTGAAAAGTTTATAATATATTGTTTTTTTTTTTGAAAATTGTATTTAAAAATCCGTAATCGTCAAATCGAATATTATTTTCACTATATAACAGGTTTACCAACTTCCAACACGGATGTTTTCTATTATAATATTATTATCAATATTAAAAAATATATAGACTTTATTATTAATTATTATTATTGTAAATGTGTGAAAAGCGGCTTCTTACCTGTAAATATATGTTGGTTAGGTATTTCGCGGTCCCTTATAATATTAATATACGTATAGCTAGCAAGTTTGTGTTGTGCGTGTAGTTATAGAAATTCTTTGGATTTTTATTAATAAACCGCCTTATCGGTTATCAGGATTTTCTTATTTTTTTTTTCGGCAACGAAACAAATAACAATAACAATCATAATTATTACTTGGCCACTTACAAGTTACAACCGGTCACCGTCATTTGCAGCTGTTGTATAACTTTCATAGTGTTCATTTGCCAACGCACGTGTTTCGATATGACCAAACGACAATTATTATTATTATTATTATTAATTAATGTTAACGCGCCGTTGAAATGTTTCTGTCATCTTTTTCCATAACGAGTACCTAATATTATTATATTATATCAAGTTTACGACATTTACAAGTTTTTTTTTTTGTTTTACATATAATATTTATACAGTCGATAAAAATGTTGACGATATGTTCTCAGTTTGCAGGTGATATTAATTTACTATTATTATTGTTGTATTATTATTCTTAATCGCAATGCTAAAGACCAAGTTAGTTTGATAACCCTTAACCGTCACAATATTTATTTTTTTCTCATGTCAATTCTTAAACAATAACACAATCTTTTTTTTTTTTTGTAGCTTACCTATACAAAATTATACTTTTGTGCTGCCCTTATAGTGTAGATATTATTTGGTGAAAAACGTTTATTGAACGTAAAGTTTTAATTTTGTACGTTTTTTTTATTTTTCAGAAATTTAAAAGCTCAAGAAATTGAGTCTAGCAAAAAAACCCCAAAAAAATCTTCGGGTCGCATAAAGATCGGTCAAGTTTTCAAGAAAACAAGCAGCAACAAGGAAAACGGTGGAAACCTGTTCGGAGTTCCTCTCAACCGAGTTTGCGATGGCGACAATCTCCCGAAGCCGGTTATGGTTAGTATATAATATCAATATTACAATATAATTTGATCTTAACAGTTAACAGTGTCCATTTTGTTAAGGACTTAAAATTTTTATTGTTTTCATTTAAATATAAACATTTGTTTGGATCAAATTTCATTTGTTAACGATTTTCTCCAGCCAAGCAAGTGTTTGCTCGACACCGTTTGACAAAAATTATAGTTACATTATTTAAATGTACAATTATTAAATTAAATTTGTTTTTTTGTCTCTAGGCGATGTTGCATCAAATATTCTCCAAAGGACCTTTTACTCAAGGAATATTCAGAAAGTCAGCAAACGCCAGACTAGTGCGTGAGCTACGCGAGAAAATGGATAGTTGCGATGACGTGTGTCTAGACAACGTTCCTGTGCTGGTTACCGCTGCTCTGCTCAAAGACATGTTACGTTCGTTGCCCGATCCTTTATTGTGTACCAGTCTTTTCCCAAAATGGCGATCCGCTTTGGACTGTTCCAATTTACACACAAAATTGTACAGAATCAAAATGTTAGTATTTCTACATTGTGTAATTGTAGTTTTTACAATTTGTTTTTTATTTATTATTATTCACATATATTTATTTATTGTTATTAATGTGTGTATTTTGTTTTTATAGGATCATTGATCAGTTGCCTAAACCTAATTATCATCTACTGTGCCACTTCTTGTGTGTTCTCTATCATATATCCAGGCGTTCCACGCATAACCTTATGTCGGCAGCTAACCTGGGTGTTTGTGTTGGACCGTCTTTACTATGGTCCGACTCGCCTGCCATGTGCCCTACCGAAGATTTAAGGACTGTACCCGCTTTAGTCGAGATACTGATTACGCATTGTGAAGTCTTGTGTGGACCGCATGTGCCAAATCTACTCGGCGACCCCAGGGATTCCGGAACCGAAGAATCTGATTGTAAGATTATTTTTATTTTTTTTTATTTTACCCACATTGCTAAATGAATATTTTTAACTGTTTCTTTTTCTTTGCATTTAGCTATGAGAAGAGACGATTCTTCGATTGACAGTTTAGAAGTCAGTCCACCGCCGAGAAAAGATCAAATATCTTTAAGCCGAGATTCGGGTCTTACCCTGTCCGATTCACAACTTTACACGCCAGACGAAGAAGAAAGCGGATCTACCAGTTCTAGCGGGTACGATCCGGCATTTGACCCGCATTCAAAAGTTACGCCCACCATGTCCATGCCGGGAGAATACATTCGTGTTTACCCAGGCTGGGAAGAACGGAAAAACGCCAACTTCCAAAGACAAGCTTGGTTCAGACAACGGTCTAAGCGACTCAGCTCTAGCGCTCTTAACAAAGAAGTCGTACGACGAAGTGCTTCCGAAGAATCCATGTTGGACAATGTACCTCCTCCGACGCCACCCAGGAGGAATAAACCCACTGTCGGCGTTCAGCCCAATCGGGTGTCCCTGCCACCGTCTCAAGATTACCACAAAGTCGACTACTATAACATCGGCAAAAGTTCCGAGGTTGTAGTCAAATCATTGCATCCGAGCAACTATAACACTGAACTGACAATAAAACCGGTGTTCAAGGAGGAAGTAAAGACCCAAATGGCACCGATCAGAAGGGTATCGGAAGTGATATCCGAAAGACGATATCAAACCGAAGAATGCAATAACGCTGGAGACAAAGAAGAGGATTCCAGTACTTTGTCCGATGAAGATTGCACGCCACACGTTTCTCGGAGTAACTCTAGAGGGAACGAAGTTGCTACCGATTCGTTGAAACTGCGGCATTTACCGCCCGTCCACGTTGACAACACTGTAAAATTGCGTGGCCGATTAAAACGCAAGGAAGAAAAAGCCGTGGCCGCTGCAAGGTCGAGATCGCTGCCTCCGCCACCTCCTTACAGACCTCCGCCGCCGGCTAATCGTCGGGCGCCAATCACTTCGTATTACCTTGGTGAATGTAGTCAAACGCAACGTTTCGTCGTCACCAGAGCATATGCCGACGAAGAATCATACGTTTAACAATATATTATACTCTAATGTGTATCGGATAAAAAATAATTGTATATAATTATCACTAACGCTTGACAATAAAGTATAAAACTACTTAAGTTACCTGTCGACTTAAACAAGATGAGCTAGGCTATTATTATTATTATTTTTTTTTTTTTTACATAAAATGTTCCTGATCGATTAAGTCTATGCCCACGTTTAATATGTCGAGTATTGACAATAAATTATAATTTTTTATTTTAAGATTTTTTTTTTATATACATATATAATATATATATATATTTAAATGAATTCAATTGAAATGTATTCAATATGCTCATTGAAAATGATCAAATCATAAAATTAGGAGTTGCACAAGTACAAAAGTACCGAACGACATAAAAAAAACCAGTGTTAAACTTTATGATATTATATTATGTCGAAATTGAAATATTAACGATATACTTAAGACTTTGATTAAGTAAATAATAATTTTTAAAGCACTGTGATTTTATGTTATGTACAGTATCGATAAACAGTTATATTTATTTTGATTTAATAGTTATTTATCTTACCAATAAGACTATAAAACTTGTGCTTCCGTGCACACTATACCGAAGTAACATAATATATACAAATATTTATATATTTTTTAATTATTATTCTTAACCATATTATGTATTTATATATATATATCTGTACTTATATTACGTATGTTGTTTACTAAAATTGTGCATTTTTTTATTACGCAAAAAAAGTTCTATTATTATTTTTTACCTTATGTGATTTGATTAAACAAAACAAAAATATTTTGTAAACTGTATAATGTAGCATGTTTAAATGTTAAAAACGTTAAGTTTTCTAAGTGTTTATTTATTTTGTTTGTAAATTTGTCATTGGTTTTTAGTTTTAAACAAAAAATCATTAATGTCTACTTCAATTGATAATCATATTACATTTACATCATTTATATTATATAGGTATACCTATGTATACATTTTGTTTTATATATATACATAAGTATGTAAACGGACCGTTATAAGGTCCGTATGTTCATTTGAAATGAAAGTATTAAAAAATAAATGTAATATTGTTTATTTTGTCTATTGTTATTATTTGTCGTTGATTTATAATTGTTTTTTAAATGTGAATTTATACTATAGAGGTTAATTAGGAAGAAAAGCACCACCCAAATCAAAACATTCTAAAATGTATAAAAAAATATACAAACGATAACGATAAACGACAAAATGAATTGAAGGCGATAAAATTTATGGAGAACCCAATTTGAAACTTACGGTAAATTTTAATTAATTGTCGATCAACACATAAGTTCTCGATTTTATTGTAAATTATTCAGAATCAGAAATAGTACTTGATTTGTTTATTAAGTATGTACTAATGTATCTATTTTATAAGCACTAGTAACACAATATGCCTTAAGCACCCTTCAAATATGCATCAACGTGCAAAATAAAATTTGGTCTATAAAGTCAGTTTGACTTGAAACGCCCACGTTACATACACAGCTGTAAGATTTCTTCATTTGGTTGGTTAACGAACAAAACAACGTTGAGTTAACAATTTCAAAATACCAAATATAACAATTTTTTAAAAAAAAGGTATATAATTTTCGTGTAATAATTTTAAAATAATATAATTTTTTTTTTTTTTATATATATAAAACAATTTTCTAGTTGTACAAATAATATAAAGACTTGACTGTTGTGCAAGTTTTAGACATATATATGAATATATATGAATATAAGCAAAAAAACTACATCTACAGCTCTTGTCGTGCTGACTGCGCGCTCGAGCCGACATTGTTGTACTTAAGGGTTGTTCGCGGCAAGTCGTTTTGTGTAACCGACGATGAATTTGCAAAACCCTCGGGAAACGTGTCGTTCGATTTGTGCGGCAAAAGCGTCGGCCATCCGTTGATCGGCTTGTGCGTTTTCCTGGGCGTTCCCTGGCTGATACGACGAGTGCACTTTTGGCTGGTGGATCTTCACTTGGGTCCGACAGTCCGTGTCCGGCCTGACCAGGTCGTGCTCGGCGACCAGCTCCATCCGGTCCAAGGTGAACCCGGCTCCGGATCGGTGTCTCCGTCGCGGACCTTCTTCTTCTTCGACGGTCAGGTCAAACGTGCCGGCCAGACCGTGAACCGAGACAAACGTCTGGGCCGTCACCGTGTTGTCGTTCGTGTCCACCCGCAGTGTTTGCAATTTCTGCACGGTGTTGTTCAGGCCGCTGGCGAAAGCGTTGGAAATGTGAAAGTTTGCACCGTTTTTCAGCCGTCCGGTGGCTTCCGGAAAATGTGGGTCCGAGTAGTTTTTGAAATTGATGTACGGCTGCACCGCAGTTCGGACGGCCGCCGTCACGTTGCTTTGCATGTCTCGCAACACCTGGTCGGCGATTTTCTGGAAAACCACGTCTTCTATGAAATATCTGTAAAAAAAAAAAAAAAATCGATTAAAAAATGCGCAAGTTGACAAATTCGTAGTCCAATCATTGCGATATTCCTACTGCACATTACACCTACTTAACTACTACTATATTGGTCGAGTATATAGTAATACCGCCGTACACAGCACTCTTATGGTGGAACTAAACAAAAAGGACATTTTTTTTGGGGGGGAAGCGGGATTTGTTCGGCTAATGGCTAAGCTACCCTCAGATTTCCTCAGCAAAAGTCTAATGTTTGTTTTGTTTCAAATTTTCGAGACGTTTTAAAAGCAACAATAGCCAGATTCAGATTCTTTAAGTATTTTGGTTGTTGTTTCAAAAAAAATAATGTCATATTTAGCTATTCGGCGTTGTTTTTTATTGTGTAAATTACATAAAGGAGTAACTTATACAGAGCGAATAATATTTTACTTTAGAGCATTGTGTTAAGTGGGGATGAAAAAAATATTTTAAAGGGTAAACGTTTAAAAAGCTTAAATATGAAAATAATAAAATATGTAGAACTATTTATAATGTAGGTAATAACGGTAAAACTACAGTCCAATAAATATCTCCTAGCCAAAAATTTTAAACGCAACTTAAATAATTCAAAAATTATTTTTATCGAAAACTGACCAGTCGTCGTTTCCATTGCATTGTCCTATACTAAACAGCATTGATAGTATTTTTACTCGGTCGTTAATATGCGCATTAAGTGATTGTACTGTCATTAAAAAGTTACCGTATAAAATACTACAATTATTAAAAATATTTTTTTTTTATATGAACATAATTATTCGTTAGAAATTATTTATCGACGTAAAGTAAAATAATTGTAATCGCCCTGAATATTATGTTTTATGATTTAGGCATTATAGAGTAGGTATAGACATAATCCGTTTGCAATTGTGACTGACCGCACGTTTGGAGAATCTTTTACATTGAAGACGTCTTGGTGTCCACCGGAGAACGAAGCTCTGATCTTGTCATAAGAAATTGCTGATCTCGGTGCAGAAAGCGGATACAATTCGGTATTGGCCGACAGTGGCGAGTAAATTCGATACTTGACACCGTCGATGGAAATTTGGTATTTGCCGTTTTCGAAACGAGATCGTGTCAAGTACTTGTAACGGCCATTGATCTGTAAGTTGTTCCAGTTGACTTCTTGGTAGACCTACAACAAAGTAAGTACGACCAACAAGACGTTAACAATTGAGAAACGACAAAAGAGGAATAAAACTACTATTTTAGAAATACCTAATACCATTTAATAGTGGCTAAAAAATATTAACACGCCCCTAAACATAGTTTTTATAGAATATGCGATCGACATAAAAATATATTTTTTCAGATATATATTACACGAGTGTTTTATTTTTTTTTTTTTTTTTCAAATCAAAATTATATAATATATTAGTTACGGTACCACGGTAAAATAACAATTTGTTTTATTATATTGCTTAAAAACAAAAATAACAAGGGTTTTATTTAACTTGTAAACATTTTCAAAAAGCTCTACTCTCTCTCTAATCTTAATTTAAAATTTAAAAGTTTAATAGTTATTTCTTAAATTTGTTATTAAGATATTTTTTTTATTCCAAAAAATTGAAATAACTGTTAAATTATTTAGTAAATACGGAACTAAACAAATCTTAATTAGCTTAGGCGACACTACATGGGATAACAAGTCATTAATAAATAAAAATTAAACTTTAATATTGACAAAAATTTAATAACTTTGTGAAGTGTAGTGGTACGTTTTGTGGTAAATGGTATTTTATTTTTAATAGTTTGTTGATTTGTTACTGAATTAAATACAACCACATGTTTTGCCCAGTTTTTTCCTAAATGTATTAATGTTATTCGTGAATAAAAATTATATTTTCAACAATTTTGTACGAAAATATACACTTTTAATAGAAAAGTTATGTAAAATAACAAAAATAAATTGTCTTACATTAAAGTTACTTTGATATCATCGGAAAGTCCAAAACTTCATCTGTGTCGCCTCGATTTTTGAATAACACAATTAGTGTTTTATTTAAGTATAGGTAAAATAAGTAGGTATAAAAAAATAATTTTTAAGCACTAATTTTGGTTTTAACAATCAAGTTATTATAAAAATCTCGCCGAGGCGACACAGCTACTAACGAGTAAGCGGAGACAGTTTTTTCTCAAAATAATTTGACTACCAAAAAAAGTCCTAATTACTGAACTTAATAATAATTACACATAATAGTTTAACCTCTAAGTTAAGATTATGCGTTAAAAATTTGCCTATACTTTACTCCTTAAAAATGGGCGGAGTGGCCCTTGAAAAATAAAATAAAAGTCACTCACCTGATCTTCAGCCCATCTGACGGCGATCGTACGATTTCGGTGATTGCTCAAGCCCTTGACGGTGTTAGCTTCGAAAATCATGTCGGACTCGGGTGACGAAGCTCGGGTGTTGGGTACGGCCACTTCGTCCCGGAAGTATCCGTAGGGTGAAGCTGGATCGTATACGCGGCCGTTGTACTCGGACACTACTTTGTATTGGTTTTCCAGAGCTTCGGTGACGGCTTTCCGGATTTGTTCGTCGTCGTAACGGTTGCGCATCAGTTCCGGTAACGCTTCCGGTAAAGTGTTCTCGTCCACTGACATCCAATTTTTGTCGGCGTCTGCAAACGAGCAAAGAAATTGAACAAATTGTAATTTGAAAAAAAATTCGAATTATTTTTAATGACGGCCGTTTGCACCGGCTATGAATTACCGTGTATTACAGTGTGGCCACTTATAAAAATAAAAAAAACCCCCTTTTTCAAAATGTCTTTTAGCTGGTTTTCACTACTATACGCCTCAGTTTAAGTATCGTTAAACTACCCTTGAATTCTAAGCATGGTCGGTGCAAACGGTCGTGAATACAGAATTTATAAGTGTTTTGTACATAATTAAAAATTGTCTTACCTGCTAACGAGCACGTGAAGCACACGGCCAATACAATTGCTGTTGTCGACTTCATCTCGAACTCGGTCTGAACTGAATAACAAATGGTAGGCGCAGTCCGATTGTCGCCGTCTTATATACCGGTAATTTGCTTGTTTCAGAAGAATATTCCCTGTCGTTCCTATTCGTGATAATAATAATAATAATAATAATAAATGTTATCTGTATTTGTATGGCTGCCTGAAAAGTTTACCGGTCAATTATTATAATATACGCTCATTAAAATGCTTCTTTTGGGAAGTACGCGACATATTATTATTATTTAACGATAGCCTTAAACTTTAAACATACTATGTATATATATATAATTGCTTTGATGAATTGTGTTTCGACAGTTTTTGTGTGCTTGGGTTAGTATTTGCATATTATGTAGTAGGAGCAAGGAAGTTTTACAATTATGAAACTAAGCAATATAATATTATCTAGGCCAAATGGCAAACGGTAAAATTGTCAATACAACGAAAATTGTATTTATTTCTATAATTAAAGCCGCACAAATTGTTATGTGGGGTCGCACTCTTTTGGGACTAGGCCCGGTTAGGTTTAGATAAACTCTCTCGTACACGACCCACTGTGGCGAGGGGAATATATATTATCACGTTTAATTTGTTTTATTCTGTCAAATGTTAATTGTACTATTGTTATTTTAATTAACGAGTTTGGGGTTTTCTTTCGTTTTGAAAGTGTTACCACTTGTAATTTTTACATTTTACTTGAATACATTTATATATTCGATTACTAATTAGAGCAGGTAACTCGTGGATTTACTATATGGTTATAAGAAACCCTTATCCACAATAAAAAAATACTTATAAACGTAATAATACATTAATAATAATAATAATAAACGTATTTATATATTGTATTTGTAATAAGTGTCTGAAACAGCGGTTTTTGTAAAAATCCGGATTTTTGAACTCCCGTCGCCAAATTTTATATTTTTTAATAGTTTTCATTGTGAAACATTTTTAAAACAAAATATTGTTAGGTACTACAAAATAATTTAATAATTTTTTTTTTTGAAATGTTTTTTTTTACAAACTGTACAATGAGAGAAACTTGTGGAGAGAATAGTTTGAAATTTTGTGTATTTTTAATTTCGTTTGAAAATCGTTGTGTATTAATGATAATTGAGTATTGACCATAATATATTGTGGGTTTTTGTGCTGTAGATAATATATACTATTATTATGTTATTATTAAATTATTATTATGCCAGTAATTCTGTATGATAAGCTGTTGGTTTTTCGGGATAATGTCCACAGCTACGTTCGTTATAATTAAGACTAATAAGTTTTGTATTATTATAAGCAATCAATTGTTCCAACCGTTATTGTTTAGTTAACATTTTTTTTTTTTTTAATAACAATTTATATTTTAGAATTTTTTTTGGGGGGTTTATAAAATACATTAAACCTATATAAATCCAACTATGCCTACAGGCACAAAGGTCGAAGCCCTAAAGATACAATTTAAACGAGATACTTCCCCCAAAAATACCACATATATCGATCACTGTACAAATTTTCAAAATATTAAAACCCTATGGAAACCTTTTTAAAGCACTATAGTAAACAATTATTATATTACCTAACCTAACCTAACATACCGATAGAAAATATTGTAAGAACGTTGTTGGTGATTCGATTACCTTGACTTTAATAGCTTGTGCGACCAAACTGGGCAACTCGAGATATACCTATTTACCAAATTATAATGTCGAAAAACAATTCATAGAAAACAACTTTAATGTGTTTTTCGAGGCCAGCGAGCTGTAATTATTTACATAAGAAAAGGGTAGTGGCTTTTGCTGCCCAATTTTTTAATTTAATTTTCTAAATCAGTGTAATGAAACCATCTTGAAAGGATGTTAATAACTCTTGTGTACGGTATAATATTCAAATATTATTACAAGAATCAAAGTTAACCACTGTAGCAATTTATACACCCAATTTATCAACTCGTGTAGCATTTTCTTAGATTGTGATATTTTAGGTCGGCACGAATAGACTCTCTTGTGTCTAAATCGTCGGTGGTAATTGGAATTAAGATAATCGTTCAGACCCGATAAAAATGAACTATATTTTCACTCGGAATACGGTAAATTCCAATAATTAAGCATGATATTATTATTGATCATATTAACAGACATCAGTATTTCTATTCTAAGTCATAAATAAACGGCTACAACCGGGTAATAACAATTTATTAATATTCACCATCAAAGCAAGGAATATTTGACAACGCCGTCAAATATCTGGTTATAAAAACAATACAATTATGCACTACTATAACATTAGTTTTTAAATGATTTAGAGTTACTTAGTTAGGAGAGGAAGGAATGACAAAAAGCTGATACGCGATTAGAGAAAATATAATAGTATTCTTTATCAGTTAACAAAAAATATTAAAAAAAAATTCCATTTACAAAAACAAAGTCTTAGAGACTGCATTTTTGGCTTTTGAGCCGAGTTGAAGTTGACCTTATAACTGCCACATCGTACCTAAGCATTGAACAATACACACATCCATCGGTGGACACAAATTTATTACAAACAAAATCTCAGAAGGGAAATTGGGAAAAAAACGATGCCGAATTCTTAAAAAGCCTCAGAGAAACTTTCGTATGTTGTATTGTAGCAAAAATGCAACGTGTTTGTTGCATAATTTTATTTTGTTAGGAAAAAAAATACCGTTAATTTAAGTATCACCCTAAAACAGCTATATCAAAGAAATTGCCATCTACCAGATGTTATAAACGTAATTTTTTTCAGATGTATACTTTAGTACTTATTTTTCCCAAATTCCCGATAAATTAATCAATATAATTTTTTTTTTATAAATTGGATATTCAAGAATTAAGTATTGCCTACACATTACTCCTTAAAAATACATACTATACTTATAGAATATCATTACCAACTGATAACTGAAAAATGGCCGCCTGTCAGAAGGCGACAGTACACAGTACATAATACATAATATTATATATATATATATATATATATATATTTTTTTTTTATGCAAGTAATCTGTTTGTAATCGAATGATATTGTCGTTTAAATTTAATAACACACCATTAACCGTTTGCTGACATACCTACTATAATAATTTCGTTTGCGTGTCGTTCTTAATAACAATAATTATCATTATGTCACGGCAAAAAAAAAAGACTCTTATTGTTTATTAATAACAGTAATATTATTATGTTGATAACAGTAGTGATAAAATGCAGAGGTTTTTGTTTCTTATCAACATTGAACTCGCAATTTTTTTTTTTTTTGTAATCTCACTGATTAGTGATTACGTTCACCATTTTGTCATTGGCATATTTTATTGTATTAGTGTGACTTGTCATATTATTTTTGATCCTGTTTACTCACGCCCGATCTTATTATTTATTTGATTTTGTGTAAATATAAAAAAAAAAAACGAAAATCCTAATAATTTTGTTTAATTAATAATTAATACCGACTATATCAAGTTTCGTTTCGATTTGGTGTCCCCCCTCCCCCAAATCGTTTTCCATCGCTCTTGGTAAGCTATAGTTTTTTCAAACACCAAAAATCTGTACAATTTTCCATGCTTTTCATCAACAAAACGTGTTAAAAATGTATTTTTGAGGCTTTTGTATTGATTGTTTTACAGGTTTACAATCAAGAGATCGCATCATGTATACGACGTACCAGGTAATGCTGGCCATCGGAATGGTCATTACCGGATCCATCAACACGCTGAGCGTCAAGTAAGAATAAAGTGTCATTAACATATTTTAACTATGTTTGGTGTAAAATAAACAAAGAAAAAAATCGGACATTCTATGGAATCGGTATTAATTGTATAATACTTGATAATAAAAAAAAAACAAATCCGTCGTCAATACCAAGATGAATCAGATGTTCTTTAAAATTGTTTTCACGCCAAATCCTTTGATGTGATAAAACGACACAAATGATGTGTTTTTTCACTTTGATTCAAAATCTCAAATCGAAAACCCGCAAACTACCTACTGTTGCAATAGTAAAAGCTACTCGAATTGTGGCGTTCATCGTTGCACAGTAAGCGAGTAAGATTTATAAAAAAATGTAAAAATGTTTACTAAGTACAAATTCAGGCTTCTTAAAACAGACACTTTCAAATACGCGCTTCTTAAAACCATTTATATATATTATTATCATATTATTATACGTAATCGAAATAATATTCATTGCCAAAATTGAAGAAGCTATATATTTTGAACTACTGGTGTAGAAAAAATAACCTGTGGTAATGTAAATTTGATACTTAAATTACTTTGAATACCAAAACGTATTTGTATTCTATATAAATACACTAGTTTTTGTGGTGTAATGAAACTTACTACTTTTCGTTAGTTTTATGGTAATCTAAATATTTTATTACAGATGGGCAGATACTATTGAAGCGAACGGTACAGATGGAAAGTCTCGACCTTTTGACCATCCCTTTGTACAATCTTTAAGCATGTTTCTTGGGGAATTCTTGTGTTTGTTGTTTTTTAAACTTGCTTACAGATACCATGTTAGGAGACAGGTATACTTGGTATTTATTGTACGAATAGTTTTGTATCATTCTTGTTTTATACTAATTGGGTGGGTTTGCTTAACTTTTTCAGCTACCAATTGAGGATAGCGCATTAGTAAAAGGAAACCAACAGTTCAGTCCATTTATATTTTTCATTCCGGCCATGTGCGACATGGTTGCTACTACTGTTATGTACATTGGTCTTAACTTGACCTACGCATCTAGTTTTCAAATGTTACGAGGTACGTTCACCTTATTAACGATTATTTGTGTACAATGAAATATTGTAATTTTTTTTTCTTTATGATTTTTAGGCGCTGTTATAATATTCACTGCTATATTTTCCAAACTATTTGTAAATCGAAAAGTTTCTCTCCGACATTGGTTGGGTATATTTACAATAATGGTTGGACTGGCTACTGTTGGTGCGTCAGATTTCTTAACAACTAAAGACACAAATAAGAACAATTACACTACAGGCGGAATTATTACTGGTATTGTTAATATTTATATTAAATTATTAAATGTCACTTGTTTGCTACAACTAAAGAGTAACTTAAAAATAGTATTGCGAACCTTCTTTCTTAATGTACATAAAAAGAAGGAAGTATTTTGCAAAAAAAGAAAACGTTTAAAACAGTTTAAAAGTGTAGTTAAATTAAGAAATTGTAGTTTTTTAATAATAAATATAATAATTAAATAATAATGTTATTGATAAATGTCAATAATACATTTTATCAGCAGCTAAAAAGCAATAAAACTTAAGACTACTGATTAAAAAGCAAGTCTGAGCAAAGTTACTTTTTTTTAACATTGTAAAAAGATTTTATTAAAATATAAAATCCAGTTGTCTATTAAATGTTACATTAATATTATTAAACTGTTAATCAATTTTTAGCTTAATAATTGCTAAGAAGAGCAGTTAACGTCCACCAAATAATTAACTTTGTTATTATTTTACTGGATTATTCATTTTAAAGGTGATTTGTTAATATTGGCCGCACAAATAATAACCGCCATCCAAATGGTGTATGAAGAAAAATATGTGGTTTCTAATGACATTCCGCCATTACAAGCTGTTGGTTGGGAAGGTAAAGTGTTCAAGTTTTTACCAATAATTACTGTTAATGACAAATGATTTTTTTATTAAATTGTTTTCTAAATTTTGTGTTGTTTTTTTTTTCGCAGGCGTCTTTGGTTTTTTGATGATGAGTGTACTCTTGGTGCCTTTCTATTTCATTATAGTTGGTGCACCGATAGCAAATAACTCTCGAGGATCGATTGAAGATTTTCCAGAGGCTATTGTACAAATCATGAACAACAAAGTTATATTATTAGCATTGATTGGTAAAAATTATACCCGGCAATTGTAAGGACACCGTTTGTTAATAATATTTATTTTCCAGGTAACATCTTTAGTATTGCTTATTTCAACTTTGCCGGTATCAGTGTTGCCAAAGAAATATCAGCGACCACTCGAATGGTTTTGGACTCGGTCCGTACGTTTTTCATCTGGACTTTCTCGTTGGCAGTGGGATGGCAAGCGTTTCATTATCTCCAGGTAATATTTACAAGCCCGTTCTTAGTATATTTCATAGCATTTAAATAGTTTCATAAAAACTATTTTAATAAAACTTCAAATAACAAATTGCTTTAAACAGTTAAATAAATAAATAATAACAGTAGATACAAATTTATTTTAAATAAAGATCTCAGATTAAAATCTCAAATTGACGTAGTTTATGATTGTCCCCCGTAAACGTGTATACTACAAATATAATAATTTATTCTCCTTACAATATTTAGTTACATGACAACATAATATTATAAAGGTTTCCTTTAAACATAATTTTTTTTTTCTTTCAGCCTGTCGGATTTTTATTGCTCCTCATCGGTATGTGTATCTACAACAACATGTTTGAAGCCCTAATAAGAAGATCAAGAACCGTCGTCGCCTATCCTACGGACGAACCTATCATTAGCGCACAAGCGTAATTTTATCATTGAATCTCAACGTTTTAATTCTAAAGGAGTTCAGACAGCAGTCTTCTCTAGACGACTTTGCTTTGTTTAACTTCTAAAAAGTGTCAATTAATCAAATAATAAGTAACTTTATCTTTGGGATTAATTTGTAAGTTGTGGGTTAAAATATATATATATTTAAAGTTTTTCAATACGTATAAAAAAAAATATATTCAAAAGAAAACACAATATTTATTTTTTGAAAAAAATAATCTCTTAATAATTTTAGTTTTTGACGCCATACACTGTAATATTGAATTGTAAAAACAGTTTAATGTTTTCTAAAGAATATATTTTCATATATTTATGAATTAATTTTGTTTTATGTTGAAATTTGTGTTTAATGTTTTAAAATAAAAACCTCTCATTTTTTTTTGGTATTATATTATTAAGTTTTAATTTTCAACAGATATTAAAAATATTATATTTTATACTCTCATATTTCAATTTTGTTTTTAGCCTAGCCCAATCTACTCCAACACTAATAATAAACATTGTATTAATGTTTCTTCTATTATAATTAACTATTTAAATATTAAAAAAATAACAATTTATGTAATATTTTTTTATTATTATTGTTTCGTAGCTGTAATCGCTATTATTATATATATATATATATATGTGTTTTTATTTTTAAATATGATTTAACTAAAATGTATACAACTATAATTTATCAAACAAATTTTATTGGATTTTAAATTATGTTATTGTTATAAAGTATTATGTTAAATTTAAATTATTGTTAACCCAACTAGTACACTTTGAACTCCTCAAGTAATACAACAATATTTCTTTATGTTAGAATTTTCTAGACGACAGTTTTTATTGAATTTCTCGTTTCATTAACACATTGGTGAAGGGTGATCTCACTTGTAGTCTTTCCATACATTTGATTTTTTTTTTCTTTTTTATTGATCTATAAATTTAGTTCCTTATATTATTATTATTATTATTATAACTATTATTTATCATTACATATTTTGTCATTTTATTTTATTGTAAAGTTTATGATACATTCTGTGAAAAAACTATGTAATTTTTTGCTCAAAAATGATTATACCGATATGTTTTATATGTATTGTTTAAAAAAGTTGTGTGCTTATTTTTATTTGTTTGATTTCAATTTCCAAGTACCCTAAATTTAATAATATAGTTATTATTTTACCTTTAATGTCAACACTTAGCAAAAAAAGGCACCTCACTTTAATCTTTTCTTTCTGTGTTGGTTTTTACTGTGCTTGGGTTGGATTTTACTGGTTTGAAAATACTAACTATTGATTCGCATCGTAGTATTACTATGTATTACAACCAGAATAAAAGCAAGCGTTTATTCAATACTGACTTGCAATTTAGTTGTTTAGGCCATACAATAGTGCAGATAAAACCCACAATTTATCGAGGTATACAGGCAATAATCCCTTTCTAAATCTACGAGTTTTATTGGTGTTACGAAAATCGAATAAAAAGATAATACAGTTTTTTGTGCAATATAACTTGAAATGTTTTAAATCGTGGATTTATTTTTAATGAAAATCTTTTGTCTCGTGTAAAAATATGCCTAAACTGCTGCTCGAGTACAATACATTAGGTACTAATTTTATATGAGTACAATAAAATAATAGCATTATTAGTATATAATGACCATTGGCATTTGTAAAAATTATTTTAATTATTTATAATCTATTGACTATTCCTAGTAGATTATAATTATTAAGAGTTATGATAGTCGATAGACAATTTCCTTGCACAATACCCCACCGATAAACTCTGAAAAGTAGATTAGTTTTTTTTCTTTTAGCCATATTATTGTAAATGTGATATTTATATTCTACAATATAATAATAATTTATACTGTCGGACTCCTACTATGTACCCACTTGGTGTATAATATTTGTATTCGTCCATTCGCGTTCAGTTAATGCACAATACCTACATAATATTTATTTACATGTTATTATTACTTACACGATATTAATAATAATATTCAAGTAAGTACCGTTTGATGGCACCTGCAATTTGAATTGAAAACAATTCGTGCCGACTGTATTGTTTTTCAATAATAATTACCATCAATTAATTTATCAAATCGAATTTGTTCTCTCCGTTTACAACCGTTTAAACTGTCTAATAGGTCCTCAAAGGAGATATTATAAAATATATTACATATATCCGTGGCCATGGCGTTCACTCCGTATCAAATAATCCTGGCAGTTGGATTGGTCTTTACGGGATTCACGAACACAATAAGCATCAAGTAAGCAAACTTTGAAAGTTACTTATAACCGAACAGGTACACCCCGCCTAACAAGTAATATTTCTCGTCAAATAGTTGTTACACAATAGTACAAATACCACAAAGTTGAATAATATGGACCATTGAACTTGGAAACACACAGAACGAGATTAATCATAATAAAACAAATGAAACAACCGTTTTGTTTATTTGAAAAACAAAAATATAAAAATTAACGAAAAAAAATAAAATTTAATTAACCTAGCTCCCATATTTAGTTGATAATTTAGCAATTCGTCCAAAATAAATAAATGAAATTGGTACTGAATTTTATTACATAAAAATCTAAATAATTGAGCTATCATCTAAGACAATATTTATCATTTGTACATCTTAAAACATGCTCATGCGTCGTTTCAATTGCCCTTTGATCTCGGCTTTGTCTTCCAAAAGATTTAAAAAAAAAAAAAAAATACAACGAACGAGTGAGATAAATGTTCGTATCGAATAAATCATTTATATAGTATATATGTTTGTCTAATTAAAATTACATCTAAGAGCTAACGTCTGAATTCAGAAACTAATCTATGGTATATAGGTACAACGTACATGCATACTAATTAGTAAGAGACTAGTTGGATTTTATGGAAATTATACTCAATAAGTTGATAAGTACAATTTTTGCATTTTCATACAGTCTTGAAACTTGTTATGGTTGTGCAAAATTTATCAGCCCGTTTAAGGAAATACGAATCTGTAGTGCTCATACAGATATAATTATAATATCACACTAAAAGACTCTTGGTCAGCACAAATCGCGAGCTTAGGCTTATGTTAACTGGCGAAAGGCTTTTGAAATTGTGAAAAATTATTAATTTTTTTTTAAATAATATAATTTAATTTTGGATGGCCTCGACAGCTGTAAAAAGTCTAGCTAATAAAATAAACAAATAGATAATATTATAATTACCTATTTTACTCTATTCGTTTTTTTATCAATAAAAAAAATGACATATTAGGAAAAATATTAATTTAACGATTCTTTTTGGTTTCAAACTAGGAACTATAGATTTATAAGACTTATTAAATTATGTAATGCCATATATACGTTATAGTTTACATTACTTATAAAACAAATTAATATTGGATTAAATTAATTCAATGATTTAATCAAATAATACATGTAATCAAGGTCAAAAGTGTGTTTATGTTTTGACAGTAGTATAAATATATTCATTTGATCTAAAATTAATATATAATAGTATCAAACTGTTTCAATATAAACAAACTTGAGTCGTAGAGCACTCTATTTTAGCTAAGGGTTGTGCTTAAGTATAGCGCTCACAGCTGTTTGTTTTTTGAGGGTTTTCTCGAATTTGAAAGAGTCATGGTTTTCTTACATACCACACTACTCAACACAAAATATAATATTTCAATTAGTAATTCAAATAATTATACTTCATTACAGATGGGCGGATAATATCGAATCAGCTGGAACCGATGGAAAAGTTCGCAAATTTAACCACCCTTTTGTTCAGGCTTTAATCATGTTTCTTGGAGAATTCATGTGCTTGTTGGTCTTTAAAATTGCTTTTAAGTACCACATGAAAAGACAGGTTTGAAATTTATAGTATTGATTTTGACGTTATTATACATTAATTCATCTTTATTTATTGATGATTTATTTATAATGAGTTAATACATCATACATACTTATATATATATATTGTACAGGGTCATATTTAAGGGGGGGGGGGCACTTGCTCGAGGGCGAATTTTTTTATAGGCAGCAAAATATTTAAGCGAAATTAATTTTAAAATGAAGATTTCGCTAATAATCAAACAACGAAAAAATTACATTAAAAAAGAATAAATGTCATATTTATTCTAATTTTAATATTGTATTTTATTATGTTAATTTATTATACGAAAAAGGCTTTCAATTTTTTTTAATGATTAAACGGTTTTCATTTATTAGTTGTTAGATTTCAATATTGAAATAAATATTACGAACATCGTGTGCAGAAAATAGAATCTCGATCATGGATAAAATAAGTGTAATATTGATAATTAGAAGGGGGAAGCATATGCCTAGGGCTCCAAAATTTTAAATACGGCCCTAATATCACAAGTTATTTTGAATTGAACCAATAAGTTATTTTTTATGAAATGCATAATAATAACAGGTTAATCTGAACAAATACAGTGTATATTTTTTAAAAAAACCTTCACCCCTACCCCCCCCCCCACACTGTGCTAATAACCAACATTGTCATTCGTTATAGTATTCTGTGGAAGACAGTAGAATTGTAAATGGTAACCAAAAGTTCAATCCACTTTTATTTTTTTTCCCGGCCATATGCGATATGGTGGCCAGCACACTTATGTACATAGGTCTCAACTTTACATACGCGTCGAGTTACCAAATGTTAAGAGGTATGTATTATGCAAAAACTAATCAATTCAATGATTTATTTTTAAAAAAACATACAAATCTAAGTAAGAGACCATCAACCGATGACACCGTCGTATATTTGATAAATCATAGAAAAAAACAATAACTATTCACAATATGACAGCCTCCCGGTAGTGGACATTCTTGTAAGCATTCGACTATAGCATTATAGGCATTACGCTTTCATACATTGAGTTCAGTGTGTAAATACAAAAGATATGCAGATGTATGGAGTGTAAAATAAAGGGATAGGCAAATTAGTATATATAAAAGGAAGAGACAAGTAAAAAAAAAAAAAGATCAAAAATAGAGAATTATAGGACAAAGTAAAAGTGAACTAAGAGATAGAGCGCTTAAGACCTAACCTGGCCAAAATGTAGACACAAGAGCCGAATAGAACTTATTAAATATATTATTTACTCTCTATAAACATAATCTACATAATGTTACATCATAATAACAAACAAATATATATATATAATATTAATGTGTACTTAATTGATAATTGATATGTACCTATGTATTTTTTTCAAAGGTGGCGTAATCATATTCACCGCTATCCTTTCTAAAATGTTTCTTCGCAGAAAAGTTACCGTTCGACATTGGATGGGTATACTTCTAATAATCGTCGGATTATGCGTAGTAGGTATATCGGATTTGTTAGTATCAAAGAAGTCCACACAAGTCGATGGTTCGTACACAACCGAAGGAATTATTACAGGTAAAAACACATTAAGGAAAAAACAAGTTGATCTAGTTGCTAAAATATTTGTACTTTGGGTTGAGGACATATTTAAATTGTTTGCAAGACATTATGTTTAGACCGATAAATAAGTAAACTGAAAAACTCTTTACAAAAAAAAGATACTACCAGGAAGAAAAAATTATAAGGGTTTTTATCTAATAATTTAATACGGTGTTACGGAAAATAAAAACTTTAAATGTTCGAAAATTGCAAAAGAATGAGATTTTTGTTTTAGACCAAAGTACAGTTATAAAATATATGTTTGTATAATATTATGTATTTGGATATTCCAAGGCGATTTGTTGATATTTGTCGCCCAAATCATAACCGCCGCCCAAATGGTGTACGAAGAAAAGTATGTGGTCGCAAACGACATTCCGGCATTGCAAGCCGTTGGTTGGGAAGGTAGTACTCGTAAACGATATCTCAGTTTAATATTTTTGACATATTTTTTTTCTTCTCAAACGTTCAATACTAATTTCACAGGAGTGTTCGGTATGGTCGCGATGAGCTTACTCTTGATACCTTTCTACTTTATTAAAGTCGGCGAACCTTTAGCGAGCAATTCTCGAGGGTCGCTCGAAGATTTCCCAGACGCTATTGCACAGATTGTGAACAACAAAATATTATTTGCTGCTCTGATGGGTAAAATCTGGGAAAACTGACTTTTGGATCCTCTTTACATTACATTGTTATTATTTTCGTTCAGGCAACGTTGTCAGTATTGCTTTTTTCAACTTCATGGGGATCAGCGTGACTAAGGAAATATCTGCGACCTCTCGAATGATACTGGATTCACTCCGTACGTTTTTCATATGGACTTTTTCTTTGGCCGTGGGATGGCAAGCGTTTCATTTCCTCCAGGTAATATTTACACGCGCGTTTGAACTTGTTTCTTAGCATTTACATTATACAGTATTTAGCTGTTATGAATAGTCATCTGCTCTCATCTGCAGCCTGCTATTAAAATATTGTCAATATTAAAAAAAATTAATGTCCCATGTTCGTTTTGTCGTTTCAGCCAATTGGTTTTGGGACCCTACTGATTGGAATGTGCGTTTATAACAATATGATTATTTGATGGACGTGCACTTGTATCGAAACGCCCGAAGAAATACGAACACTGTATTATATTTAAGCCAGATCGAATGACCCAAAGAATTTAACTGTAGAAGTATTTAGTATAGTTTTAATAACGCCAAACGTATAAGCATTGAATGTTTGAGTTTTTTTTTTTTTAAATATAAAGAGTTAGGCGTGGTATGTACCACTGCCAATGATGTTATACTTCACTCTGCTTTTTTATGACCTAGCTCAAAACAATTGTTGATCTTAATAGTGTTAAACAAAATGAAATGTTTTAACGACCTACGCAATTATGTATTTGTATATGTATATATTTATAATAAAAATATATTTTTTTAATTTAAACCTTTTTCTGGAGTATAAAATACATGTCTAAAACCATACACGACACCGAGATTCTATTATTAAAATTTCGATCTATTGTCATGCATATCCTAAACAAACGACAGACAATCAGTATTAATAACCATTTTAATTATTAATACATAACTAAAAAATGACTTTTATTTCCTTATGTACCGGATCTAAAGCCCTTGTTCTAATTTTCAACATTGATTTAAAAAATTATGTACTTCAAATTTTTTATTAAGTCATACCCGTTATAACAATTATTTATTCTTGTTTACCAATTTTTTAAGAAAAATGAAATAAAATGAAACCCAATGTTGTTCATAGTTATTATTTCAACATAATGTTATAGCACAACAAATATTCATTTCCTTGAAAATTTCCGAAACTTTAATAAGAGCGGAAAATTGAAATGAAGTAAATGATTACACTGTTTTAACTTAATATGGAATATTTTTCAAATGTCATTAGGTTTAACCCTCTCCCGTTGGTGTGGAGAAAACGGTTTCATTAGATGGTCTACTTCAGCGTTTGAGACTTGAGCCAGAAAAATAAACTAATGGTAGAAAAATTTGAAATCTATGAACTGAAAAACAATATTCTAATTATTATTATTCAAAACAAAATGCAACATAAATAAACTAATGTCTAAACTCTAAAGGCATATTTGTTACAAAAACATGATATAATCGACTAATAATATTATTTTTTAGATATTAACTTAACCTAACCTATCTACATGTTAATGCGATATGGCATTAAAATAAAATCGTTAGCTATATATAACCTTTTACATAACTTCTCGTTAGTCATTAATAATTAGTAAAAACATGAGTTATTCAACAATAATAAAATAAATGTAGCATAATCAATACCTATGTCGTTATTAATAATTGATACCTTGTAAATAAGATTATTATTTTAATAACATTTTGTTATCTTCTTTTATTTTGTATTTTTAAAAAAATATAATAAATAATAATATATTATAATCTCTGTATAGATATAAAATGGCTAGACAGGGTATTCATAATTTCATGTAACACTTAATTTTTTTTACGATGTATTAAAATTAAAAAAAAAATAATTTTGTGAAACATTTTTATCAAATAGTAGTACCTAATTTAAAGTTTTTTTTTTTTACAGTCAGAAGCTTGATTTAGGGTAAGGGTTATTTTTGAAACTTAAATATATACATGTAATTCGTTTTTAAAATTAAGAATAATTTGCTGAAAATGTTAAAAACTGCTGACTTAAAAATGGTTATCGACCAGTTAAAAATTGCAACTAACTATACCTAATTAAAAAAAACCAATTCAATTTATACATTAGAGGAACATTATAAAAGAGGACGTGATACCTCCTATTTATTTAAGAGTTAAGTGTAGGTAATATTTTGCAAAATCTTAATTTAAAGGTTGAACTATGATGTGTAGTTATTAGTTCAGTATTTAGGACTCTTTTTTTAGTAGCTAATATATTCCTTGACAGCGATTTAACATTTTTTTTCATCTAAACATAGCTACGCATATTCTCTATTATTGGCTAAATAATAATCGTAGAACATTTTTTTTTACATATTTAAAATAATGGGAACTTTATCAAGAATTTATAATTGACTTTTGATGTTTTTCAAAACTTTTTTAAGTGCTTGTATTTAAGGTAACATTTAAGTTATCTAAAAAAAAACCGACGAGAACTTAATTAAAGTTCTCCTCTTTTCTGTGACCATTTCACTTTGACCTACACGCTTTCCAAACAAACACGATTTAACGAATTGTTTTAAAGAGTACAACGTCCTTTTCATTAAGCAATAAAAATTCATGTTCAATTTATACATTTTGAATTCATCGTCAACAGATTTAATGTGCTCATTGTTGACCATTGTTTATGTGTAGAACTTCTCATCTGTATAATAATCTTATAACAACGGTAATACCCATGGTCGTTCCGGAACGCCTTTTTTATGAATAACTACGACAAACAAATTAATAACAACGATAAATAATTAAGTTTGTGAGCGGTAATTGCACGTTTACGTAATTCGGACAAAAAAAAAATAACGTTAAAATAGATTACTTACACAGTAATTAATTACACCAATTATTGTGAATAATAATAATAATGGACGTACATAGTACAATAATATGGTCGTAGATTAAAAATATATACAGTAGGTATGGGCTAAAAGTTTGAACACACACACGAGTTAACAACAAATTTTTTTAGTTTTTACATTTATTTCACGAAAACAACTTAGGTACTTTATTTACATCGGTTTGGTGGGTTCAAAATTTTCTGATTATTCTTAATGTATTTTATTGGGAAATAAAATTTTACCCAAAACAAACTTGCTCAACGGCCACGACAGCAACCAACATGGCAATAACAGCTGTCAAGTGACCAGGTTTAAGGTAATATCGATGGCATCATTGTTGTCAACCGATTACAAAATGGTGGTTAACATATTTAAACGTTGAAACTTATCGGAGAAATGCCAAAAATTTGCGCCGAAATCAATAGAGGAAAAGGTGGTCACTTTCAAGAAAATCGGCTGAAGTAATTTTCTTATTTTTCGTTATCTTTTTATTAGGTTTCTATAAAATACATTAAGAATAATCAGTAAATATAAACATCAGAATTGTGTAAATAAAGCAAGTTGTTTTCGTAAAATAAATGAATAATAAAAAAAAATTCTTGTTCGCTTGTGTGTATTTAGACTTTTCGTCTGTACTGTACAAATGTACATACATAGATAGTCCACTGGCGTATGAAACACGGCAACCTTTTTGATAAAACCAAATGGACGCAACGAATAGATGCTAAATATAGGTTTGCATCCAAAATCGGGTTGCCGAAAAAACGTACGGCGTGGTATAACTATACCGGGTGATCCTTTTAACGCCCTACACCAGTATTCTCTTAAAATAATTGATTTTTTACAGTTTTTTTTTTTTGGAAACATTTTTGTTTATGCTACATACTAGACAATATTCAAATTATTATCTATTTCAGTATTTTCTAGGACTTTATCGACTTTCGAAACGGTAACGTACATATTTTATTGACTTTTTAAATTAAGAATAATTTGCTGAAAATGTTGACCGGTCGATAACCAGTTGTGAATAAATAGTTTTAAAGTAGTTCAAAAAATAAAAATTTTAATACTGTCTATTACTGTACTATAACATATATAAAAATGTTTTCAAAAAGAAACACTACAAAATTACAATTTTTTCACGAGTGAGCTATGGTAGGGCTTCAAAAGAATCACCTGGTATGTATGTAATGTTGTTTTTAAACTTATGTGTTATATTTAGAACAGTAACGTCGGAAATACTAACACCACACGGTAGAAAGTGTAATCATATTATTACGCTGGGAATTTACTAGCCCGATTTGTCTTAAAAACATGTATACTACTTAATACGGTCGATATAAGAATATGGGTCTCCTCATCAATTGGGGATGGTTGAAAAAATAGAAACACGGTTTCTAAGAATGTTAGCTTATTTAGCCGGTGAAGTTGGTGAAGACCTGAACATTATTGCTTCTAACAGTAATTTAAATAGGCTTTCTGATCGCCGGAAAGCCGCTGATATATTGTGGGTCTACTATTATTAACGAATTTAAGTACCTACAATTTAATACTAAACATACGAGGCGTACCTCCTAATTGCGCCAATGTTAATCACTTTTGAAGTCGGTGCCAAACAATCACAATAAGAATACAAAGAATAAAGGATGTCAATGAGATGTTTACCAATGGTTTCACGGTGTATCGTTAGCATGTCTATATATCTATTATCTAGGTAGGTAAATAATAATTATTTTTTTCTGATGTACAAAAACAAAAATATCGTTATTTGAAACATTTTGGACACCCCCGGTTTAAGACGGCGTCGTTATCTTTCGATCTGACGGCCGGCGATAACTGATAACAGACCGAACAATTTCGACAAGACAAGACAACAGATAAGAAGTAAGTAGGGGTAAAAACGATGAGCGATCGACCCGGCAACCGAGTAAAATCCTAATAACGTCATGTCTAATTCGAACGCATTTCGTCGACAGGTACTGCGTCCGTTGTTTCGTTACACTTTACACGCAGAACGCTCAGCGACATTTGCACGCCACCGTAGGTTCTTCGTGTCCACGACCAACATGACCGCTACCACCGCTGACGTTACGTGCACGCCTGTGTTGGACGACCAAATAGTGGCCAACAGTGCCAGTTGGTCGCCGAAAATGTTGGCATGGCAAGTGCACTCATACGGCACCCTGGACGATCTGGTCCTAACCAACAACGCCAGATCGCCCGTCGTGATCGGCCCCAAAGACGTTTTGGTACGCGTCAAAGCGTCATCTGTCAATCCGCTCGACGTTTTAATGACCGGTAAGTCGCTCGAGCCTTTTTTCGACCGAAGTTACAATTATTGTTGTTAAACAACGTTGTGTGTGTGTTTATCTATAGAGGGCTACGGGCAAGTCGTGTTGGGCACGATTCGTCAAGCACAACAAAAATCGTTACACAAACCAGTCGAGTTTCCGTTGACTCTCGGAAGAGATTTCGCCGGCGAAGTCGTCGCCAAAGGAGCTAACGTTACAAAAGACTTGAAAATTGGCGATCTAGTCATGGGCGTCGTTCCCCCTTTTCACCAAGGCTGTCACGCCGAGTTTGTTTCAGCTCCACAAAGCTTAGTTAGTAAATATATACTTTATAATCTATTCATTTATTTGTTATGTTTATTAATTTATTTATATATGTGTTCAGGTAGTTAAAAAGCCAGTCCATATGTCCAATGAAGAAGCGGCCGGTTTACTATACACGGGTTTGACTGTGTATAGTGCATTGAAAGTAGCTGGCGGACTATATGTTTTAAACGCTACTAACAAAAGCGTACTCGTGATCGGCGGGTCTGGCGGTGTCGGAAGTTGTGCTATACAGTTGTTGAAATCCTGGGGCGCTAAGGTAAATTAAATTGAGTCAATTTTGTTTATGTGTTCAATAAGTTTATGGTGTTTACCAACATGATATACCAAAATTAACCTATCGCCACTAAATAGAAAATATTATACATTTCCTTTAAAATTGACTTAGGAGTATGCCACGCTACTTATTTGTCTTTGTAGTAATTTAAGAACGAAAGTACAATGTTGCACAAAGATAGTTTCCTGTGGTGTTGACTTAAACACATTATATATTTTTGTTTATATCATAACCTTAATTGCTGTTTAATTAAATTTTAGGTAACTACCACATGCAGTACAAATGCCATAGATCTAGTAAAAACACTTGGACCGGACAATATCGTCGATTATACTTCTTCGGATATGAAAGAGCAATTGGAACAATTCGGAAAGTATGTAATCATTAAGACCTATTATACAATATTAGACATTTTCATTACTAGCTAAAGTTTTATTATAAAACAACCCTCTAAAGTCTGAATAATACAAAATTAGGTGATCGGAGAAAAAGTATTGGTGTAATTATACAGAAAGGCTTGATGATTGATTTTAAGTTTATTAATTCATTCCAAATCCTCTCTATAGTTTATTATCATAGGTTTAATCTGTTTGGATTACCGATGATTCGGCGCAAGACCATTTAACACATAACCGTACGAGTAGACATTTAATTATAAAGTACCTATTAAATGGGTTTAATTAAGTAGTTTCTTGACTTAAAATATAATAGTAAATTAAGTAAAAACGTTAGAATTAAAGCGAGTAATTAAATCTAATCATTTTTGGAGTAAAATTTTAAGTTTTGCACCAAATTGTCAGGACACAGTTAAATTTAGCATATCGGTTAGAAGTCATGATTTTAGAAGAAATACATTTTTTTTTGGATATATTGTCCTTATTTGAGTTTATTGATGTTATAATTAAATTTTCTTTATTATGATTTTCCAGATATGACCTAATATTAGACGCCGCCGGTATACCCTTCGAAGAAATAAGTTCTTTTACGCCTTTGCTGAAAGGCTGGAGTTGTAGCGGTTTCATAACTCTGCGAAGTCCTATATTGAAGAACACAGACTCGTACGGACTGTTCGGCGGAATGTTGAAGAACGCCTACGATTTAGTTGTACCCAACGTGCTGTCGGGTGCAATTTTCAAAGGTTCCACCATACGGTGGGGTGCATTTATGCCTCTGGAAGGAGGTGTTAACGAGTTGGCACAATTAGCAGAGGAAAAGAAAATGATCGTCCCCCTCGACAAAGTATATAAGTTCATGGACCTGAAAGAAGCGTACAAAAAGGTACAACAAGGACATCTTCGAGGCAAAGTCATCGTTACATTTGATCAAGAAAGCATAGACAGAGCTAAATTAACCTGTTGAAATTCCTCATTTTTTTTAATACCATTCACTCCACTATTCTCGTTGTTAGCTGTTATATTATTATTATTATTATTTGTATAAAACAAATAATTGTTGTTGTATGATTAGAAATTAAATTTAAAACTATTGTATAAATATGTAAAATTAAAAAAATATATTTTACTATAAATAAAATAATATATATTTGTTTAACTTTATCATTGTCTCAAATATCATTGTAATCGAATCGTTACTTTGTGCCTATATACATAATATATTACCAGATAATAAGTAATAATTCATAATTAACGTGATAACAGAGCTAAGAAGACATTGTTTTAACAATGATATGCTATTTTTTTTATTTTTTTGTCCGTGTCTGAACGGCAAGTCTATTGTACAGAAATCGTACCCTTGATGGGCCAACATTATAAAAAGTCCACCCCTATGCCTTCGAAAATCGAGAAAAACGCCCAAAAAAATACAGATTTAAAAAATGTTGAGTTAGCTCCCACACGTGTATGGAATATTCTTTAGATTTTAATATAACAGTACCAAAAAGAAGAAGTAAAACATATTTTTGGTTTCTTTCAAAGTTAATTTATTTTAAATTTTATTAAAGAAAAAATTGAAAAACTACGGTGGAAAAATTTAAACAAAGAAAAAGTTCCCACTCCTTGTTAAGGGATAAACCCTTCCTCCTTAGGAAGGGTTTATGATACATATATATATATATATTTTTTTTTTTTTTTGATTTGTCAACGTTAATCAATAGTATTCGCTTATAGTGTAGAATTTAAAATTCCTAACTTTACTACAAACTAGTCCGAAAAAATAGTTAAAACCACACTATTTCAATATTGTAAAAAATAAAAAAAATATATATATATACAAATAAATTTAGAGCTAAAATGATTTTCTATTATAGTATTATTATCGTATAAACTATAATTCTCCTATAATCCTGCTTTGCTGCTAAAAAACAGTCTCTCGTTTTCCTAGTACAGCTATTACAAAAATGTTTTTTTTAGCTTTTTAAAAAGGCCACAACCTAACCCGTAACGTTTTTATTAATTTTAACATTTAAGTTTTTTCTTAGGTTTTTACAATTATTATCCAATTTTAAAAATTATATACACGTTTCTTTACAAGTTTCATATTTTCTATTTGACGTATTGACAGTAAACAGTTAAAAATCTGTTTTACCACTACAATTAAATACAGTTTTATGATAGAACTTTTTTAATATCCATTTTTTTGGTAAGATTTAAGATTGGAGGAACTGCCCATTGGCTGTTTAGTTATCGTTTATTTTTTGAGTAAATGTTTAAAATATAAATTATGATAATAATAGCAGAATGTGATCGACTGGGGCGTGTAGGTAATTTGTTTGTAACGGGGGAATATTTTAAAGAGGCCACCAGAATGGAAAAATTGTGCTTTATTTCGCTTTAATTAGCCACCTTATCAACGATTTCATCTGAGTCCACGTCGTTTACAACCTTTTCTCAATAAACATAATCATACAAATGTCTGATGATTCTTTTTACAAGGTATTCTTCAAGTATGATTTAACATATTTTAGTTTCGAGGAACCGCGCTCACGTCTTACTCGAATGACTGAAAGAATAAAAAGTAGGTAACTTATAGCATGTGTGGTCTATGTGTATTAATAACGCTTGTCATGTTGTTGTAAAATAACAATAGTTCATAAGTTCAACTGTACCTAAACGGTGGATTTGTTTTATTGTATGAAAAAAATTGTGTGTGCTACCGTGGGGCCGTGGGGGGCCTACGAGAGTAGGTTAGACATAGGCCTAGGTTAGGTCTATATCTAACCTAACCTAACAGGGAAAATCCGTCTTTCCCTATTGGCCTATCCGCCCCTGAATATTCGTCATTTAAAGCATTTTCTTCTAATAATTTTATAGCAGTCATGTTTTTGCTCTATTAAATCCATCACGGACCGGGTAAAACCGGGTTTTAGGTTTAAAAATCAATTTTTTTAGCTTCCAAAACCAAGTCCTCCCTTAGAAAGTATATAATAAAATTATAATAGTAGCAATTCCATCGGTATAATTTAGAGCCATAATATTTTATTATAAAAAAAAAACGAAAACCATCAAATTAATAATGTACATATGTAAATCTACCGTCGCGGTTTCTGTGCGAATAACGGATTTGCGTGGTAATATTTTTGACCAACGCAAGACAATGATTTCGGTGGCGCAAGACCGCCGTTTGTAGTGGTGAGTGGAGGCGGCGGCGGCGGCGGCCGTGCTGCGTAATTAACAATGGCTGTGCCGCCCGGGCGCTTGCGCAACATCGAGAGTGCCAGTGTATCGACCGGCGGCGGCGGCGTCGTCGTCCCAAAAGCTCCCCGGGCCCACCCCCGTCGCAGTCGCCTCGGCCACTACACAATTTCCCGTGTACAGTCCGTTCGAGTCAGTCCGCGCGCACAACCGGCGTTGAGGGTGCGACACTTAATATTTATCCTCCGACTTCGGAGCGGCCCGACGAAATCCTCCGATCCGAATGCGGACGCCGATAAGGACGTCGCGTCGGTGGCCGCAGCGTACATAATAATATTGTAGCCGTTTCGACCGCCGTCGGCCAGCACCAGCTTTAGTGTGGGTTCGTGTAGGCCGCGCGGTCGCCCCGAGATGGGAACCGTGCTGAGTATCAGCCCGAAGAACCGCAAGTCCGTGTACCCGGCCATGGCGAGCAGCGCCAGCGCGGCCGAGTTCACGCTCAACAACTTTACGTACGAACATCTCCACAAGCACCGGGACGTAACCAGCCGGAGCATATCCATGATGTTGCCGGCCAACATAAATATCAACAACCACAACAACATCAACAACATCAACAACAACAACAATAACGTGGAGAACAAAATGATCGAGCGGGGTGCGCTGGAAAAGAGCTTGAAAAAACACTCGGCCCTGATCAACGCGATCAGCTGGAAACGGTTCAGCACATCGCAGAGCAAAAAGAAATTAGACACCAACAGCGGCAACGGTAACGTCGGCGGCGGTGGCGGCCTCAAGTCGACCAAGACCATCGTTCGCCAACCGTTGGTCGACAGCAACGTCAACGTCGAGAAGAACGTCCGTAGGTCGGCCACCACCACCGGGTTGGACGTGATCAACAACAACGAGAAACTGGTGCCCCGCGCCACCCTGGTACCGTCGCACACGTGCCACAGCCTAGTGCCCCGCAAAACCGTAATCCAGGCGTCCACGTCGGAGCTGCTCAAGTGCCTGGGCGTTTATTTGCACCACAAGTGTTACAAGCTCAACGATTTCCAGGCCGGAGACGCGGTCATGTGGCTCAGGACGGTCGACCGGAGCCTGCTCATACAGGGATGGCAGGTATAATATAGATGTTGTTTGTGTGTGTGTGTGTGTATTTAGAGTTTACGACGGGATCAGCGCGTTATCCTCGTTATTCCCGACCGCCCTCCCGCCCCCCTTTCCACCGCGCGCCGTGCACTGTCTCTCGTTGATATTCCCGTAGCGCCACCGTCGCCGCCTGGACGTTTTGCAAACGATTCGCCGCCGACGACCCTTCGCTGCGGTGCCACCGCGGGGCGCGCGTGCCAGGCGGCGCGCGTCGCGTGATTTACACAGAGTTCACCATTACAACTACTGGCACCTCCTCCCGCCGTCCTCCGCTGCTCCGCTCCTCCACGGTAGGATCCCTCGCGCTCTTGACGGTTCGATGACGTGTACTATAACTTAAGAGTAAAAACGCAATTTTCCGCGAACCCGCCGCCCCTCTGGGGACAAGCACACAAGACCCTCGGGAACATGATATCGTCGACGTCCCCAAATGCCCATGTAGCTAGCTCACCGATGCAATAAATTACACGTCGTTGCCCCGATGTACATGTATTTTTTATAGCCTCGCGTCGATTGCGTCAAAGTATTATTTTCCGGAGGGGTAGCGGTAATATCTGCGTCTTGAAGATTTCCCAAAGATAATGTTATACATAAAAGTACATTCGTATAAATCGAAAAGGGGATTTCCTACGGATTCCACGACTTGTCGTAACTTTTTTTTATTTCCCTCCGAAACTTACTGACATTCTTTAACTCTTGAATAGTTAAACGTATCTGTTTAGCAATTGATTCATATTTATCTATTATCATTAATCATCTCGTTACACTGTAAATACTAATACGACTGAAATGGTTGAGCTAATCGAGCAACATTTATCATTGTCAAAGACTTATGTCACTTTAACTGTAGTGAAAAGTAATCGAAGAACAGCTGAGTTGACTTGGTCGATGAATGCATCTATCATCATTACACACCTGTGTTGTATTTCTCCTTTGGCAATAATAATAAATATATAAATTCTGAATCAGTAAAAATTAAATACATTGGTTAATTACCTAATTTTGTATTAATGTTAATTACTTTATTAAGATGTATGGTGCAATTAATATGTTTGTATAATAGTTCCAAAAATTAAATCACACTTTAACTTTCCTAAGCGGTAGTTACATGCACTGTAAAAACTGCTTACATCAAATGTGTAAATTTATAATTATTTACCAACCATTGTTAGAAGAATAAATTGTCTAGTGCCTAAAAAACTGTTTTCAGTCTGATTTAAAACCATAAATCTAAGAATTACACTACACCCTTAAATCTACCTTTAAAACGAGTAAACGACCAATAATTGTTGTAACCTAATAAATTCAAAAAATGATTGTCTTATTTTTTTTGTAACTAAAAATATTTGATGTCATGTAACTATCATTATTTTTAGTAAAAAAATCTGTACTTTGAGTCTAAAATGGGCCAATTACAATTTTTAAGAAAAATTAGCTTATTTAATTCTCATAAACAATTTAATACACATCCTAATTTATTTCATTTATTATTGAAATCCAAAGTTGTAAGTTTTGGTCAGTCCATACTGGTCTTCTCTTTAGTAGTCCCCATTCCAATATCATCATTAATGTTTCACTTTTATCTTTATGTTTATTGTCATCTCTAATAACCGTGGCTTGGGTCAAGAAGAACGCATCTTACTTTTTACAACTTTCGGCAAATGAGCTTTTAAGTATTTATTTTTCCTGAAGATCTTTGTTGATTTTTTACTAAAATCTTCATAACTTTTCCTAATTTTTGTCGGCGATTGTAGTTTTTTACACAAGACAAAGATTGTGTTAGTTGACATAATATTTGGACGTCTAACTCGTGTTCGCCATGAAGTGACAATGCCCTTCTTCACCGAAGCCACACGCTTGGATTACTTTCCGTTTAATAAAACTATGCAGTAACATGTCCAGTTTAGGTTAGGTCGGTTAGGATAGGTTGGTCCTGTTGAAACTTCTCCTCCGACTCCCTTAGCATCGAAGCTAAAGTGTGGAATAGTATATTTTCTCGGCTGCACGGGAAAAACATTGAATCGTGGATATGTTTTTAAACTTCATCAATATCCCTGCTCTCGCTTCATATTTTCCTTCCCGCTCCTCCTGTATCCCAATCTAAGATTTAGAGGCAACCGCTTATGGCTGCCGATGCTCGACTATCGTCACGATATCACGACCAATGACGTGCTATGAAGTAGTCCACGGAAATTTTGGATTTATCCCCAGGCCATACACATTGGCGCAATTTCAGGGGGTGCTAGACATATTCAAACACACAAAACTTAACGTTAAAACCGTCCAAAAAGCGTAAATTTATTGATTATTACTAATTGTCAAACTACTGGAGTTTCGAGTAAAGCCCAGCGCTCATTGAAATTGCGCCAACGGCTGTAGGCGTGTTTAAAACGAACAGTAATAAAAAAAACCCTAGGAAATATCTAACGCAGACGCTTGTGTTTTGCAGGACGTGCCGTTCATCAATCCGGCCAACGTGGTGTTCGTTTACATGCTGGTCAGGGAGTTGGTGGACGAACGGGTGACCACCGAACAGGAGCTGCAAGCGGTCGTGCTCACCTGCCTGTACTTGGCCTATTCGTACATGGGCAACGAAATTTCGTACCCGCTGAAACCTTTCCTGGTGGAGGACAGCCGGGATACGTTCTGGGACAGGTGCCTGAGCATTGTCCGCAGCATGTCTGCTAAAATGCTGCGCATCAACGCCGAACCGGCGTACTTTACCGAGATATTTTCCGAGCTCAAGTCGTGCGGCACCCTAAGCATGGTGCTGCAGACGGCGTGATGAGCTGCACAAAAACCCACATTGTACATGTCAACGTCTACGATCCGGAACTCCTTTTGCGGAACACATGCCGTCCGATCATCAATTGAGACCCTACACAGGTGAGTTCAATGCACCGGGGTTTCTACAATCAATAGACCCGCCGTCTCCGCACCGTACTCCGTGACTCCGACCCCTAAGAACATGCCAGACTACCCGGCCGTTGTAGTATTAAAACAAACTATATACTACACGATATTATGCAGAGGGTTGTTTCGCCCGGAACGTGGGGCGCGTCCGGAGAAGGGTCGTTTACACGGAGGGAGCCATTTTTCAAAAAGGGTGTCACGCAATGATTGTACGCCAGCAAGATTCTTCGGAAAAAAAAAATGAAAATCGTTCATCGTCTGCAAAGTTTCGCAAAAAAGGAATTCCGTTTTGTTAAAGCTCATCGTTCGCCCGCATAATATGGAAACCTAAACTACGGCTACCCTGCGGTTAGGTTACCTGTAAGCTATAGACCGTTGTTTAGGCTTCCAAATGATTATTGCCTACTCGTTTGCGTAACGAGTGTAGATTTTTTTCTTCAACTTTTCTATAAATTATATTTTTATTTCCAGAAGAAATACATAATAATATTATAGTTAGGTAGCATAATTTATGTGTATGTACATAATAACAGACAAAACGTCCAGACTTGGTGGTCCCGTTTCAGCCGACTTATATACAAGGTTGGGCATATAACTCGATTTACTATACCCCGTTACAAGATACAAGTTACGCGCAATCGCCGTAACCAGTTACAAGTCACAATATGTAGTTACATTTAATTATGTAACGAGTCACAAGTTAAAACATACGCGCCTAAATTACATTTAATTATCATGTGACGAGTTATAAGTTACAATAGTTACATTACATTTAACTATTACAAGTTCGAGTTACGTAATGAAGTAACGTTTTAAATTACATGCTAAATAATACAATAAAAACATATTTATACTTTAACCAATTCAATTATTATAGTCGTTCAGTGTTATAATAGTATTAACGAGAAGTTATTATAAAAAACAAAGTGTTATCAAATATTTCAGATTAGTAAAATGTTTTTTTGACAGCAGCTATGATAACGTAACTTAACTCAATATAACTTAACCTAAGATAACGAGGCATGTTTGTATAGCTTGTTTCTTCTACGAAAAGCTTAAATCTGGTTAACGAGTTATACAAATTGCATCTGTAACTCGGTTACATGTAACTTTAACAAGTGTAACTTTAAAAAAAATATGTTCAACCCTGTTTATATTGTCGTATGCGGTATGCAATTTGCTAAAAATTATTTGCAACGAGCTTTTGGTGCGCACACACACACACACACTATGCGGGTAAACCAAACCTATATAATATAATAATAATATTATTTACTTATTATTATTATTACCATGTAAATACTTGATGGCATTAAAATTAACATAATATATTATTGTAATACCCTAAGCACGCGCATAATGGTAATGAATCATTTTTTATTTTTCGCTTTGAATATGATTTGTTTTAAAGAAAGTATTATGTTTTTTGAGGCGATGTTTAATTTTTTATCGATAACTGAAACGCTAGTGTACGCCAGATGCAAAGTGTCACTTTGCGCCTGCTCGTTACTGCGTTTGAACTATCGTAAAGCACGGGTTCAAAATTCCTCCATTTTTTAAAGAGAAAATTATTATTATTATTATGATTATTATTATTGTAAAAAAATATGTATAGTAAGATTTTGATATATTATAATAATGAAAATTAGATGTAATAAATCGAATTGATTTCGAGAATAGAAGATAAATTAAAAAAAAAAAAATATAGGTATGATAATAATAATATTTAGTTAAATAAGAGTTAAAAAAAAAGTAATAATTAATTAGTTTTATTTTTGACAAATGTCTTAGAAAATTACATTAGATCATTATAAAGAAAAATCCACACCAATCATTCCATATTATATTAGCTCATTAGATAACACGTTTTGAAAGTGATACATTTTTCATTTAAATGTCAAGTCCTTTTATGTTATTATTAATAGGTATTAAATTCCCCTTCAGAAGACTGAACGACGTTACGTGTAATTTTTTTTTTACCCTTTCACATGGCGAAAGATAATTTTAACCTTTTAAATCATTTACAATAAAACATATAGATAAATAAGAAACTTAATTTTAATTGATAATTAAAACTTAATTATTATTGAGAATCTATATTCATAAGGCTGGGATGCTGCAATTCCTTAGGTTAAGTGCATCTCAATATTGTTATTCAATACATATAGATGATTTCTTTTTCTTTTTTTTTGTCTTTAATATTTTTAATGTTTAACGTTAAGCTTCATGAGTATATCGTTACCATGACGGAAGTGTGTATTTGTTAAATATATTTGGTTTTCCCGGTCTCCTCGACGAAGCGGCGACGCTGTCCGACCGGGGGAACCATATACCATTAAGGTTAGGTTAAGTTTGGTTAAGTTTGGTTAGGTTAGGTTAGGTTCGGTTAGGTTCGGTTAGGGTTGGTTAGGTTAGGTTCGGTTAGGGTTGGTTAGGTTTAGTTAGGTTCGGTTAGGTTTAGTTAGGTCCGGTAAGGTTAGGTTAGTTGTAAACTTAGGTTAGGGAGTTTTGTTTTGTTTTATTATAATTTTTTTTTTTTACGGTATTAAGCGGTCGCGCTTAAGCGTTGACCGAAAGAATGAAACGTAATAAGCCATACAGATGAAATCGTCTAGTCAGTCGTGGTCGTGATTTCGATTGCGTTTCTCTTAGCGGAAACCTTCCAAATCCGACATGGCCTTTTTAGTATATAAGTGTTTACATTTAGTGTGTTTAATGTACGTTTTTTTTTAACGTTTAATATTGTATTTAATTATTATATAATATGTATTTATACTATAGTCGTCGGAGATACACTTTCCAATTCGATTTTCCAGTATTTTTTCGTCAACTACCCAACAGCGCCAACTCGGCCAGTAGTTTTTCTAGTCAACCTACGTCTAATAATAATATATCCTCACACGGTTTCATATTATAATAATGATAATAATATTACCCGCAATATCACACACACACACACATCAAACCGCATTTTTGTACATATAAGTTTAATTTAAACAATATACATATTTCAATTAATTAATTAATTATATATTATTGTAATCAATTTAAGGTATTTTAAAAGAGGTGAAAAATGACGGTCCTGACAAGCGGTTTACCTTTACCGCCAACTCTAAAACTCCTTCGTAGCACGGGTTAGGCTAGGTTAGGTTAGGCAATAACAAAAATATTAAAAACTCTTCAGACCAACCGTCTTTCACCCACATTTACTTGTTTTGATTATTATTATTATTTTTTTTTAACTCTGTTAAATGTTTTGATTTCCGTTTCGTTTTGTTTATGTTTTTGTTTTGAACGAAAAAAACAAAAGAGGCAAGCTTCAATTGATCTCATGTTTTAGCTTTTCATGACGACCACATTGGAAAATATGTCGTCGTTTAGTTTTTTGTCCCTGGGAATAATCCGAAAACGATTCTCCTTTTTTCGCGGCATACCTGTTAACACAATATTTGAAGAAAAAAAATAATACTCATTTTTTGCTCGTATACTTTATAAATTATAACTTATATTATTATCATTATCATTATTATTATTATTATTATTATTATTATTATTATTATTATTATAATTTATACTACGTTAACGGTATACGGTAGCTTAGCAGAGAGCTTTTAACCCAAAAGAGTGTGCAATTTACATTTAACAAAAAAATAAAAATAAGAATCCCAATGAAATTGTTTAGAAATTATATGTTTTATAGACATGTATAATAATGCGTTGATTTAATATGCATCGATTATCGTAATGTCATTTTTACTACCCCCGCTGTCGTTCACAGAAAACAAAAAGCCCCCTCTCCACCCCCCCCCCCCCCGAAAAAAGCCATTTTATTATAAATAATGTACGTAAATTTACATTGTATTAATTATGTATTATTGTATTAATATTATATTATTCAATATTACGTTTGTATACATAAACAAAAATATATATATTTTTCTTTTTTGTGAGTACATATTTTGTCTGTGCGTTTGCAAAAAAAACATCATGTTTTTTGTGTCTGTATAATAATTAATTATTAAGCTCTTCACGCCCAACACACCAAAGTTGCCACCATCGGCCTAATCTAAACTGACACAATTGTGTGAACGAAATTTTAGGCTTAAACTTTTGCGATGTTTGTTCGACGTGATTTTTTACAATTTTTTGTTTTTTAATGTTTCTATCTTTATTTCTTCTTTTTTGTTATTAAAAAAAAAAAAAAAAATTTCAAAACATGTGTTTTTTGTTGTTATTTTTTTTTTAAATATAATAATGATAAAAAAAAATCCAAAAGCGAGCTTGGCGTGCAGTTAGCATAAATTAATCATAACTTTACAAGTACAATTTGGGAAAATATTTTATGACTCAACAAATTATCTTATATAATATATTATCTGCATTATGACGTTAACGATTGCTGCACGGTTAACGCACAAAAGACGATGATCTTGCTCAGAGCTTAAGTCGCTTAAGGTCGCTATTTATAACAATAGTCTATCCATAATAATATAATACTATTATGCCATATATATATATTATATATGTGTGTATTGCAGACAACGAACAACAATCGGAAGAACAGTGTTTTTACCTGCAGCTACTATATTTAACACTTTCTAACCACTTGTTAACAGTAATTATCGCATGTTTAAGATGTATTGTAACCGACAACTGCATTGTTATGAAACACAATTATTGGCAAATTGATGTCTCTGCGATTTCGTAACACCAGTTGCATGATATTGGCAAATACATCGTTTGAGGTGTTAACTTAAATTACAGAAATTAAAACATTGTCGGGTGTTCGACACGCAATAACGGAAGTTAAATTAATATGTAATTTAAAACATTGAAAACTTTGCGTTATTGATTCGAATTAAAAAATAATTAAAACAGCCATAAGTACCTACCTACGCAGTACACTCGGTGACTCTCAGTTCTTAACAATAGGGTACTACGCAGAATACTACCGGAGTTTAATTTAGTCGACAATGAGGTTTCTGAAGTAGGTCGAGGACCTATTATGGGTGTTGAACAAGAGGAGCAAGGTGGAGAAATTAGGTACTCAGTATCGTATATCAGTTTTTTTTTTTATTACATTAATTATTATAAACAAATCAAATTTTGGTAAAATTGTGCTTCGGCGGATGACAGTGATAGTGTTAAATGTTTCATCCAATCAATTGCGTCGCCATTACGTTGGTGTACCTTTTTAATCCAACCTTCGACTTTGGTTTGTGGGCACTTTCCACTGCATGTTTGACCGTTTGGTGTAGTCCAAAAATCCAAACGGGCTCCGAAAATCTCCATCTATGTAGCAGGTATATAGTTGCATTGGCCTTGTTCGGTTCTCGAGCGTTGTCCAACATAATCGGGGAAGATCAAGGTCCCTTTAGATCCTAAAGACCATTGATTTATCGTTCCCCAGTACGAACCATTAGGAATATTACTAGGATTTCTGGTGGCTATTTGGCAATCAACACATACATCGAAATACATACCTGAGCAACGCCAAATTCGGTCTACTACATGTCACCGGTAAAATCCGGTCTATTATAATCTACATAAGTACCGGTTAATTATTTAATAACAAATAAAAATACAATACATGTAGAATTCAATTAACGACAAATACATATTATACAATATACTTCATGGATGCACATAATTACACAACACCAACCCGACGAGGATTGTATTACCAAAGACGTACAATCTACATAGGGGTTTGTAGTCGATTCATCTTAGACAATAAAATCCTTGCAGGGTAGTGCGAGTCAGTTATACTTACTTAATGTAAGTAATTAGTATCTGTAAATTAATGTGGAATAAAATATGGGGAATCTAAATAATTGTTATTAGTTCAAATGATAACCGGATAATTTTGTTAAGAAAAGCGACAAGGAGGTTATTTTTCGAAACTGGTCGAGCATAAAAAATTCAACATTTCCAGTGTTTTTTTTTTTTTTTTTTATATAGACACCTTTACCGATTAACGATATAAACTAATGAACTTTTTTAAGTCTAATCGGTTAAGTTAGGTAAAAATAATAAAGGTAGTTAGTATTTAATATTTTGATCATAAGTATACCGTTTTGTCGAGTGGTGTTGTTTTTTTGGCCGATTTTCAAAGGCGAACAGGCGGCAGGCGACATTTTTAGGACGAAAACCGCAGAACAGACGACTATCACCGCAGTCGGACGTCGCATCATGGTTTCTCTGGTGTACAACAATAAGACGACAGCGGAAGACGGACAGCGGACAGCGACGGCAAACGGACAACGGTTACCCATCCGTAATCCGAACGATATGTGCCATCGGTCGCACGTGACTGCCGTCGCACTGGTTTGTCTTCTATATATATATATATGAGTAATGACGTGTACGGATCGGCGTGGAGGGTACAGGCATGACGCGCTCTTGGAATTAAATAACACACGGGCGACCGACCGACCGACCTAGTGAACAATAATAGTAATTATTACTGTTGTTACAATATTACATATTATTAATTGTTATTATTGCGCCGCCGCCGCCGCCGCCGTCTGTGCGCGCATCGTTTACTCGCGCGTTTGTTTGTTTTCAAAAACATTTCGATTTTGATAAGCGGACGGTAGGCACCTATATCCAATATAAATGAAAACAATAATAATACATGCAAAAGCGTGTAATAATTATATGTAAGTGTGTCGCCATTCGGCGAAATTGACCCGGTTGTGTGTTGCATAACATTATCGGAATTCAATAAGCGGTTGTTCCGCAGCATTGACGCGCAAGAACGAGGACGTTGTGCCAGCGCCCAACTGATGCGTCCCTGCACCTGCGTGATCGCATAACATTGCTTATCACAGTCGGTCACGGATACTTTTATGGCCGGTACCAGAGATAACGCTGACTTAACCCCCCCCCCTCCCAAATATTATTTAAACCAGTGTTTTTTTATTAATAGCTTTATTTAACAAAAAAAAGTTCACGACATTGTACAATAAGAAATAAGATAAAAAGAATTGTTCAAATACCATAAAAAAAACCTATTTTAGGTCGTTTTTATTCATTTATCTAATTGGTATGGTAAGTACAATTAAATAGTGAAATCACGCCGAGGGTCTCAGGGCAACAGTCCATACCGTCATTTTGGCAGGTTTTCAGGAGAGCCAAAAGACCGTCTGCCTATAATATTTACTACTCTCCTATATCATTTAAATCGGTAACTTTGTGCAAAATGCCTATCTTTATGGACTTGAGCATATTTGTTTGCAATAAAGTGACGATTATGTTAATTATCAGGGCAGTGACAATCGGGATGTTGACCAATAAAATGTTGCCTGATCCAGAAGAGCCACAGGCAATAAAATTCATAGTCGAGCTGTTTTACTACAAGAAAATTAACTTTTATTCAGCGTTCTGGTTAATTAGGAATGGGCAGGCACACAATTTGGGTACTGCCTATTCCTAGGTAATCAAAACGCTGAATACAATTCAATTTAAAGTGAAATATTGATATTCTTAGATGAGGAAATAAAAATAACACAACGTTTTCCATGCTGTTGGATAATTGTGTTTTAGTGAACAAACAAGTTGATAAAAATACAACGCGTGAGCATCTAGGTATACAAAACTCCTTAAAAACCGTCCGTTTCTATATTATGTACATAAGGGGATTGCACGGGGTCTGTTTTTAAGGAGTTTTGTATAAACAGTTGCAGTATTAAAGAAAAAAAAGAGGTTTTAATCAATTTCGACCATGACAACTAATTTACCGGTCAATTTTTGTAAGCTTCGGGTATTATTTTTAATTTAAATCATTTTTTCTACGAGTAAATGTCATTTTGGTTTATTTTAGACCAAAAAGCCAGTCAAAATTTCGACTACATACAATGGTCCAATTTCAATTCTGTAAAGAGATTCGAGTTCTTTAGCTACATTACTATGCTATATAAGAAGGAAGCCGATTTTCATTTAAAAATTTCAGTTTCTTGTAATTAAATAAATTAAATTTGCAATTTATTCAATATTAAAACCCAATTTTTTACATAAAAAAAGTAAAAAATCAAAAATTTGTTTCCTACATAACCTAGTTAAGTTGCCAAAGAACTTGTGTGTCGGGCCATCCTAAGTAGTCAACATTTTGTCTGGCTTTTTGGTTTAAAACGTTAAAACAAATAGACTGCATTATAACTTTAAGATTATATTTTTAGTATATTAACGAGGAATGTGGGGACGATTAAGGGTCGTCCGTTTATAATAATTTGTTGAAAATATTTGTTTGACACTAGTTAACCCGTTTATACATTCACACATTGCAACCTGAAAATTGATTACCAACACAAAAAAACTCAAAAAAAGGGTCCTATTATTGGATAGGTAATGCAAAATTTCAAAAAGACCTGTCTCATGGATGCTTGCATGAGACAATAAATTATATTTTACACAATAGAGCTCGTTGACAATTATTATTCCAAACACTAATTATAACCCCTTCTAGAGAAAAAGGGATAACTTATTCGCTATCTAAAGTATCATATTATATTAATTTGGTAATGGATGTATTAGACCATTCGTGGACTAAGCAAAACATAGTTTAAAAGCTTTCTTTAAAAATATATGTTGTTTTTTTGTTAATATTTTTTTTCAGCCAAGTTTTAAGAACTTCACATTTCTATAAAGTTTCCTTTTCAATAGTTAAGTTTATCTTTTAATAGTAAAAGCGTACGTCCTAAGTCGAGTATGCCGACCACTCATTCTTAATGGTTTTGTTGAGAATTATTTTATTTATAAGCAATGTATTTATATTTTTTACTCATATAAATGTATAACAGTTAAAATATACATACAGTCAGCAACTTAGGTGTAAGTATTAAAATAGGTAAGATTGACATCGAGTTAATTAATTAGAAATTAAGTTAACAAGCTTTATTAAAAATATATACAAAATTTACATTCAAAAAACAGTCTAGAGAGTTACACTAACTTTTGTAAACAGACTCTGTAAGGCATTAAGACGTTAAGATACTTGTTTCATTTTTTTTAATTCTTCCTTGACATGTTGTGGTATTTTAATTCTATGTCTCTTACGTTTCGTTGTATTTTTTACTTTTTCTATGACCGTCTCATCGACAATTTTCTTCTTCTTAGGTTTGCAAGATAATGGATTTGGACCTTTTGCTCTTGTAAACACTCCTGGATAGCTAGTCGAATCTTCCGTTGTACTAGTGACAATTCCTGTTGTTGAATTTTTCATAGATGTTAAAACTTTGTTTTCATGCTCCGTTAACTGAAACCTTAAATGGAAAATAGAGATCATATTTTGTTTTTTTTTCAAAAAAATGTTTTACAATATTTTAGTTTTAGTGTTTTGTCCAGTCTTACCTGGATTGTTTTCTCTCTTTAGCTTGCACTAAAGATGCTGGTGACGGAGCTTTCAGAATAATACTCAATCCATTAAAATACATAACCGGAACGGCAGGAAGGTGATACAAAATATTTTGAAGCGCCTTATCTTGAGTAGCCACAATATACCTGGAAAAAAAAATTGTATTTTTAAAAATACAATTTGTTTAACATAAGACAAATATGCAGTTGCAATTTTGAATTTAAAATGCATTACACTCCATTATGTTGCTTACGCTAATATTGATAATGGAAATAACTTTCTGATGACAATTTACCTAGTGTTCATATTTTCTTTAGTCATTGACGCTATGCAATTGGCTCCGGAAATTGTTTTCTTGGAATGACCACATTTATGTATACCAAATGATTTTACTATATGCATAGCAGGTCTGACAGCAGCACCTAATTAAATGTATAAGTAAAGTAATTACTAAACTTGTTTAATTGTTGAATTTGTGAAATACAATACCTAAAGCTTCTGTTTCGATTATAACACATTGCGTAGTCAATAGTTTTACTTCGCCGCCTAAATATTTTGGAATGTCTTCACGTAATTGCACTCTGTTCTGAAATAATTTTGTATAGTGAAAATATTTTATCATACTATCAACCCAACATAAATACATATTATAATGATTTAAAAACGAATTTCTAAAGTTCACTTACTTGAGCTGAAGCCATACAAAATGTGCCATCGACAAGAATTTGAAAAGGTTTTCTGAATCCGAAGTTGACACAATAAAAATTGATATTACGTTCGGCTTTTTGATGGCGTTTTAAACGCATATTGAAGTATTAAGTTGAGTTTTAACGTAGTGTAAAATGTAAACTAGACTTCTATAAAACGTTATACGACAAAACATGCCATGCTTTCAATTATAATCGTTATCGCTTATCAAAATTCTAGTCTTATCATAATTTCAACATAATATTTACATACTGTACTTTGACAAAATAAACAAGGTTATGTCGATTACCTGTGATAACCGCGAAATGACCGCTGTTGTTGTGTGGCGGCCGTATATTCCTATCGGGAGAACACCGGCAGCCATATTAGAAAAAAATGATAACGTGAGTTGCTGACATACCTTTACCTATTGTATTCTTACAGCGGTAAATGGTAATATATACATAGTAATTAGTATCAAAGTTCAACGAATTTATATAAAAAATGATTTAAATAAATTTTCAAATTCTAAATAAATAATTTTTAAATTAAATAAAAATATTAATTAAATATAAATAAATTATAAAATCAAATATGTATACATTTGAAACAGTAAAAATTGGGACATTAAAAATTATATAATGTCTTAAGTAAAACTATTTCAAATAACTCATTATTATTTTCAAATTATCATTAATTAACATCATTTATTTCAATTTGTTATTTAAATAAAAATTGCCAAATCTGTTTGATAAAATGGGTTGAGTACGAAACATGACATGACCTTAGAATTTAGATTAATAAAGAATTAGAAAACAGCATACATACACGGCTGGTTATGGTAGGTAGTAAACACAAAATAAATCTATGTATCATCGGTTTTTTCGGCCCAACAACGACATTCACAATTTTTCGATAAAGAACTTGAACCATGCTGTCGATTAAATTATATAATGTAGCATACAATGTATTACGTATTATAAATGTAATATAAATACATGAAGTGCGATGTTTGAAAGTTGCCCTCCCGAACATATTATTATACTAATATGATAAAAGTAAACTCTAAAGACATTAACTATAGTTATAGTCAAAAACTGATATCATCGAATTCTGTGATTTTTCGAACAGTATTATAGTATTTATCAAGTTTGGAGTTACTACAATGCAATTAAATACTAAATTATCTTTTTATTTAAAATTTGCCACGAAAATCATTCGTCGGATTCAATAGGTTTTTTATTATTGATAAGAGATAACACTTTTCTTTTTTTCCATGAGAATTTTCTTACACGGTCAGTTTTTTTAGGTTATAAACATCATAACAATCCTCTCTCCGTTCAACAATTTGCATAGCCTCCTCGTTACGTTCTTTCGCGTTTCTGTACCGACTTGCACTCAACGTTACAAAAATGGTTGTCGAAGATTCCAAGGTATGTTTTTATCCATTTCAATCGGCTTACTATACGGTTAAAAACACTTATGTTTTATTTATTTTACAATCGTTATTACTTGGTTGAAAATAAAAATTACTCATTTGAAGTATTTACACAGTCCCAATAAATCAAAATATAATAATTAGGGTAGCTTTTTGGATATCCTAAGTCCCAATCCAATTTTCTTAAAAATACACAAATTAAATCAAATTCTAAAATTGGTTTGTCCCTTCTATTTTTTTTTTTACATTGTGAAAATCAGTTTGGCGATTGATAAAAACTTATTTCATCAATGATTAGGCTTGTTGATTTTGTAATTTTTGAATATGCACCGAGTTGAATGTATTTCAAGTTTTAGCTTACCTGATGCTAAACCTACTTAACAAGTGCAACACTAAATTTCTCATATTGCAATATACTCTCACGCATTACTGAGAGTAATACTCATTGAGAAAACATTCATCGTTTTGTTATCAAACAATTCTAACGTTAAATGTGTTATTAGAGAGGCGCTAAGAACAAAGTGTCGGCGGAGAAGGCAAAGAACCGCATGCGCGAACTGAGGATCCGCAAACTCTGCCTGAACATTTGTGTCGGAGAATCTGGAGACAAATTGACCCGTGCCGCTAAGGTAAGTTGTGTTATTGTTATTACGACATGGAAAATGTAGTAATAACAATACAATTACTTTTTTTTTAGGTATTGGAACAGTTGACTGGTCAACAACCTGTATTTTCTAAAGCTCGTTATACTGTACGATCATTCAGTATAAGAAGAAATGAAAAGATTGCTGTACATTGCACAGTCCGTGGGGCTAAGGCTGAAGAAATCTTAGAACGTGGTTTAAAGGTTAATATTTTATCTAAAATAATAGTTTTTAAAGGATATATATAAAAGCGCTATAACAAATCATAATATATTTTGATTTCCTTGTAGACCTATTAGTGTTCTCATTGTAATATGTTTGGTATTATTATTTAATTATTATTACTAAATCATGGAAGATAACACTAAACATTTTTTAGACAGTATGTAGTAAAACATTTCAGTAATGATTTTAAAAATGTTTTATTATTTCAGGTTCGTGAATACGAATTGAGACGAGAAAACTTCTCTGATACTGGCAACTTTGGGTTTGGTATTCAAGAACACATCGATTTGGGTATCAAATACGATCCCAGTATTGGAATCTATGGTTTAGACTTCTTCGTTGTTTTGGGACGCCAAGGTATGTTGACTTTGATTTCATAAAAACTTTGCAACATAATTAAAAAATTGTATAATTACTATTAAAAAATATATTAGTCAATAAGTAGTAATTGATAAAAAAAAAAAAAATGTCAGCTACGCTATTTTGCTGTAACGCTATCAAAATATATACAATTTTAAAAAAAATACTTTCAACATATAAAGAAATCCAAAAATAAAATAACTGCTCATTAGTCATGTATTTCTAGTCTTTGTGAAAATCGTTGTACATAATAAATTTATAATTTAAAAAAAAATATTATTTTTAACGAGTACCCATTATCTGAACGTAAGACATTTAAGGTGTTTGATATTTTGTCACAAAATAAGAAATATTAATGGTTAAATTTTACATGAAAAAAGTAAGAGCTGAACTAATGTATCGAAAACAAAACAATTGTTTGCATCTGATTTTATTTTTTTTAATAACATTCAACTATATGAATTAAAATGGTATACAATGTCTGTTTAATAATTTTCTTCAATTCCACCATTCACTTGCATAATTGATCCCAAATATTTACTCTTTCAGAACTGTAAGGGCCTGTTATATTTAAATTAATCAATTAAAATAAAAAAAATTATTTTGATGAGGCCTGTGTAAGTCGAATTTTTGTAAAAAAATTACAAGTACGCTAGGATGTAGGCCGCGGCTTCTAGCACACCTTGAATAAATGTCTAACTCGTTGAACCGACAAGAAAACCTTGAGAGAGAAATGAGTTATTGGCTTAGTAGGGATTTATGGCAGCTGGTCAGTTTCAAATCGCCCTTGTAAAATCACTGAAATCGACTTACACACTTATTCACAGTTGTTACAGATATAATGGGTTATTGTATTATTGTTGACCATAAAAAATTATTAAGTTGCATTGAAAGGACGTCAGATTAGAGCGTTCCTAAATACCTTTTTTAAGTACATGTAAAAGAGGACCCTTTTTTAGGGTTCTCAAGCAACCATAACATAAATGAACAGTAGATAATTTAATAATAAAAATTCAACACCATTTTTATTATTGCACGGTATAATTTTGTATGTAAATGAGAAGTTTTGGCGTTATCACATAAGTAATTTTATGTATTTGTTTTAAATAGGTTTCAATGTAGGACACAGAAGAAGAAAGCAAGGAAAAGTTGGATACCAACATAGGTTAAACAAGGAAGACGCTATGAAATGGTTCCAGACCAAAGTGAGTTATTTATTTTTAAGGTTAAAAAATGTCCATGGACTAATTTTTTTTATTGTTTCTTTTTTTTCAGTATGACGGTATCATTCTTGCAGGGAAAAAGAACTAATGTTTTTAAATATATATTTGTTATTTTTCCAAAGAATCTTTTTGTTTTTTTTTTTACTGACCTACTCAAACATCAACTTAAAGGAAAACTTCCTGATTGAACTAGATAGATCGGACATTCCTTTCAGTCGTTAGTCGTTACTAACATTACAAACGATATTTTATATTATGGAAACGCACCATAATTTTTTTTATGTTTCATCAATTAGCCTTTGTCATGGCAATTTTACAACACTTTCTCCCACATATAGGGTTTAAAATTATGATATTACCTTACTAAATAAATTACTTGAACTCCTAGTGGAACTTTGATATGTGTCAAATTCAATTCGCTTATCAGTTCTGTCTAGCATATCATAGATATTGTGTATGTTAAACAACAGAGATGTATATTAGCGTTATGTGTAATATGGTTGTAGGTTTTTTTAACCCTTTCAGACCCCATGTCCCCTTAAAGAGACACTGTGTTTTCGCGGTATTTTAAAGATAACTCGCGTGGTTTTTATGAAAATCAGGTTACCCAACGTTAAAATACGCAAAATTCAATTTCCCACAAAAAATATATTTTATTGATTTTTAGTAGTGTCAATATTTTAGTCTAATCAGTTTTTAAGGTCAAATTTCGATTACTTTGAAAATCGATATTCCATGCATTTTGATAAAACCGAATAAGAAAAAAATTGATTTTTTCTAACTACAACTATTTCAACTAACAGAAAAAAGTCAGGTCTGAAAGGGTAATGGTAATTTTTCTAAAAAGACATTCAGTAAAGAAAAATTTGAATATCTGTTATTCAATTGGGACTATTATGAAGATTTGAGCATCTTTTTTACAGTTGTGACTATACATGAGTGATTTTACCATACTTTGTTAACTAAAATAAATAAATAGAGATTATACTTAAAATGCAGTATAAATCTACTTAAAAAACAACTCGGTTTTTAAGATAAAGCTTATCTTAATTCCAAATACTGAGATATTTACTTTTAATAATTTTTACGAAATTATATATTTGAGTACGTATTGCTATAAAAGCGATTTATGATAAGTAATAAGTGACACTTGTAAATAATGTTTGTAGCTGTAGAAAACTTGTAAAGCTTTGTTTATTTAATTATATACTTCTCAGTCTGTACTTGGTTAGTTTTAGTGCACTTTAGTCGTTGCATTACAGTGAATCCAATATAAAACCAGAAACAACATTTTTAATTTAAAAAAAAACTGAATTATTTCTTTTTGCAATACGTGTGTACACTTCAATGATACGATACAGAGGCCAAGGGTTTTTTTTTGTGCAATTTTCAGTGTCTGGATTATCATAGATTTGGTTTGTATTAGATGTAAAATGTTTTTTGAAAAAGTGCGTTTAATTAATACATAATATATTTAGTATTAATAGTACTATATTGAGAGGCTGGATGCAAGAAAGGCATTTTCACAGACATGCCCTTTTTGCTTAAAATGTTTTTTTGAACTCTGCGATCTCTACGCTACAAGTGTATACAATTTTAGTTCGAAATTTTAATAAAAGTGTCACACATTTATAAACTTTTTTTATCTCAAAACACGTTTTTCTTGAAAATGCCCTTCTTGCACCCAGCCCCTCAATTTTTAAAGCATAAGCTATAGGTAATGTACCTATGATGTTTCTCGAATCCTAACTATTACAATGCATATGATTTATGGTTTTATGAATAAAGGACATAGCCCGGTTTCTATATAAATAATGCCCACAAACGAAATTAAATTTCTTACCGCCCATATTGGATGAGTAATTGCGGATTTTGCATTATTTAGCATAACTAATCATCCGAAAAATCAGTGAAACTTCATGGCGCTTATTTGCATCAAGACACAGTTGTGTGAATTTTTCTATAAAATTTTGTATGTTAGAAGTCTCGTTCAACTCCACATTTTTTTGCGATAAATAATGTGTCACCCATTTACATTCCAATGTGTCCTTAATTTCAGATTAACCGATCGAATTTGGTACATACTCGACAACACTTTTATAGGTTTTACTTTTGACATGTCCCGGCGGCCGAGACAGTCCCGCCTTACTTTAACTTTTATTAAGTAGGTACCTATATAAAATTCCATCTGGTTACTGTGGAATTAAGCAGCATTACTGTCAATGTTCTAACGGCAACTGTACTGTTCCCAATAATAGCTGCAGTACTTTATTGTTTATTTTATGCACGGTTCCTTTCAAAAATTGTAAAACCAGTAGAAATACTAAGTAAATTACTTATTTCTAAAAACCTACAGGCTGTAATCCATGAAGATAGCGATAATGACCAAATTAAGACATTAATACTACATGTTCATAAAAAAAGTTATAACCTCGGTCGTTGTTTATGTTAATGTTTTAGGAAATACATTTTTTTATTTGTCATGTCTAAGCCTAAGCTGTTGATGTTTCGTGATGATTATGCCAAACCTGCAATGGACATGCTAAGAAATAGGTAAAACCGGTAGAGTTACATAAATTCAATATAATAGTTATCTAATAAAATAAAATAGCGATTTCTTAAAAAAAAATTGTCTACCAATATTAGAATGTTATCTTATTCAATTTTAGATTTAATATAGAAATATGTAAAACCAGCTACGGAAAAATGCCCACTACTCAAGACATCATCGATTGTATTCCAGGATCATTTGGATTATTTTATTCAGCAACCAAAGTTGAAATTTCGGAAGATATTCTTAAAGCTGCCGGTTGGTGTTTAAAAATAACTTACTTAATAGTTTCCATTAAAAGGTAATGGACTGATTATGGTCAACTAAATATATTTAATGGAGAGCAGAATATAATTCTCTAATATATCCCTTGAAAGGTGACTTTGTCAAATGAAGACTAAAAATGTAAATGTTTTTAAAATAAGTTTGACAGTTTTGAATAACTTTATAACCATATAAATCTTAAACTTGGTTTTTAGGGGAATTATAACTACACTCGATACCATAATAAATGTATTGTGTAATCATTTGTGTGAAGGGGATTACATGCGGTCTGTTTTTTTGCCGTTTTAGACGAAAAAGCCAGATCTAACTTCGACTACTCCTAAGTGATCTGATTTCAATTCTGTAAGGATATACATGTTTATTGTCAACTTTACAATTTACTAGGTTATATAGTAAATGGATTTTTGATTTTTTGATTTTATAAAAAATTTTGATTTTAATACTAAAAAATTACAAATTTAATTAATTTAATAACAAGAAACTGAATTTTGAAATGAAAATGTTAATGGTTTATTTAAAGTTAATTGAACAATTATAGTCAATCAAATATATTTAAATGTGTCGTTGAACACTTGATGATAAACGTTCATGCAAACAAATCAGCAGTAAGTATTTAAAGAATATAAAATAAAAAAATAGAACACATTATTAATCCATTGACGTGTAAAAACATTTTTGTACTTATTTTTTCAGGATTGATTTGTACCTGCAAAATAAAAAAAAACGTTATAAAATGTTATGTACACAGTCATCTTTGCTTTGACTTTTTTTAACCTTCCTGAGAGCAAAATTGTAATTTTCTAATATACCCCTTGAAGGGTGAGAGAGAAACAACTTTTATTTAAGCGAACTGCCCGACGGCAGTACTATTTTTTCAATGAATACTAAAAAAATGTAAATGTTTTTAAGATATTTTTTGACAGTTTTTTAAATGAAAATCGGCTTCCTACATAACATAGTAAAGTAGTCAAAGAATTTGAATCTCTTTACAGAATTAAAATTGGACCATCCTATGTAGTCAAAACTTTGTCTGGCTTTTTGGTCTAAAATAAACCAAAATGGCTTTAACTCGTAGAAAAAATTATTTAAATTGAAAAAAACACCTTGAAGTTTATACAAATTAACCGGTAAATTAATTGACATGGTCGACATTTATTACAACCACTTTTTTCTTAAATATTGCCTAAACACAACTCCTTAAAAACTGACCGCATGCAATCCCCTAAATAGAAATTATTGGTTAAATGATTTCAGGACCCAATTTCAAAGTCATCGGGACAATGTCTGTAGGCTACAATCACTTTGATTTGTTGTTATTAAAAAAGTACGGAGTTCGTTTGGGTAACACACTAGGAGTTCCAACCGAAGCAATTGCCGAATTGACCATCGGCCTATTAATTGCTACAGCGAGAAGATTTCAGGAAACAAATCGTGAGCTTAAAACGTATGTATATTGTAGTATGTATGCTAGGAATAATATTATAAGCATTAAATAACTGTATATTATAATGTATCTGTTTTATCATTATTACTTTAGAGGTGGTTGGAAAACATGGACTCCTGATTGGTTTTTAGGCTCAGGATTAGCAAAATCTACTGTGGGAATTATCGGTTATGGTAACATAGGGGCCTCTGTTGCTGAAAAATTAAGTTGTTTTAAAATTTCTGAACTACTGTATTACAGCCGGAGTGAAAAACCCGCAGGTAATTCAAACAAAACAAAATATAAAACAGTTTAATAATAATTGTAAGTTGCGCAGCGAAAGCTCTCGGTGGAAAATTAGTGTCAGTCGACGAATTAGTCAAACGTAGTGATTACATCATCATTAGTGTTGCTTTGAACAAAGATACCGAATTCATTGTGAATAGAGATCGAATTTTCAGTATGAAACCGACGGCTGTGTTGGTCAATGTTGGGCGAGGAAGTAAGAAAATTTATTTTGTGTAATATTACAATTTTTGGATTTATACAACATTTTTTTATTATAATTTAGAGCTTGTCGACCAAAACGCTCTGACTGAAGCTCTGCAGCAAAAAAGAATAAGAGGAGCTGGCTTGGATGTCATGACACCTGAACCTCCAACACTTGACGACCCATTAAAGAAGCTCGATAATTGTTGTATGTGTATATATATATATACATTTTTTTTTTTAACGTCATTTTGTTATAAATATTTTTTTTGCAGTTTTATTGCCCCATATCGGCAGTTCCACTTTTGAGACGAGAGTTTCAATGGCTGTGTTAACGGCAAAGAATATTTTGGCAGTTTTAGACAATACTCCTATGCCTAATGAAGTGAAAATTGAATGAATATATTTATAATAGCATGGTCAGTGGTGCTCGCAAAAAGACGTCTAAGAAGGTGGTTTGGTTTCATCTAAATATACAGCAAGGGTTAAAACGTGAATGTGCGACACTGTATCGACATTGCAATATTTGAAATAAAAACTTCTATCTGTATTTAAACACTTTGTTATTTTTTTGTTAGTTTAGTTATTGAGTTATTTAACACAAATTGAAATCTAAATTATAGTGACCAATTATTCCATACATTGGTTTAGACATCTTCGTTGTTTTGGTGGGACGTTAAGGTAGTATGTTGACTTTGATTTAGTAAAAGATTGAAACATACTAAAATATTATAAAAAAACTATTAAATGATCTTACCTATCTTAGACTGCGATGCCAGTTCTAAGATAGTCCTAAGTATCCTTAAAATATGAGTATAACTTGTTAGAATATACTTTATTACTCCACTGACATATTCAAATTATTAGTTCAATAAATTAATCATTCGTCTTCTTATAAAACGAAATCATATACAAAACAAATGTCTTCTAATAGTTAAGAAATCAAATAATTAATAATATAACAATTCAAATACAGAAAAAAAAATATCATGAGATTGTTATTATTTATGTAATATTCGACCATCCAAGTTGAGTCAGAGATCCCAAAATGATGTCAAATTAATTGTTATAATTCGCAAGAATTTGGTACCTAATCCACTTTTTCACTAAATATGTTCAAAATCATATTAAAATACAATGTATTTCAAATTTATTATACAATTCGTGTTTTAGAATTTGGAAGTCTACAAAATGTGTTTACAAATCAAATAGTAATTTTATAGTTATTGTTATTGGTTTATCTTTTAATTTAAACTATTTTTAGATACATATTAAGTATTATTTCTGATATAACTAGATGACATTATTAATAGTTATCATTTATCGAAGTGATTGACTGACTCTTTGTGTGAACATCATTTTTTAATGCACCTATTTAAGAGTATGAATTAAAAGAAAGTGTTACCATTTTAATATGAAATTGCCATGGAGTTATTCTTACATACAATACAAATTTTTACAATCATGCATTATTCAACCGTTCAATAAATATTAATTATTTTTACATAATAACCGTTTTAATATTGTCTGTAATATAATACCTTAACGACCTATCGTAAGTATTATAAATAAATAATTTGTTTTGTTGAAATAAATTTGTTGACGGTTGTTAAGTAAATTATTAATTGTCATTTTAGTAGCGCAATCGGTGACGAATCAACGTTTTGATTTAGTTTTGAAAAGTTGTTAATTTTTAACATGAAAAGACGCGATTGGAAGTTTATTAAACTTTTTTTAATACCTACTTAATAGTTAATTGAAACCAGAAACTAGACGATGAATAATGGATGTTGGATGAATAGAAGAGATACATAATGTAATAGCTGATCACCTGAACGGGATATGTAGCGTAAATTAAAAAAATTATTGTTATCTTTATTACTTTTTTATAAAACTATTATTAACGTCTAATATTATTATTAGTGTTATTTATTTATGATAATCTCTATTATCATTGGCGAAACGTCATTGAATACTATGCCCACTTTTATATTATTAAAGTATCAAATATTAGTTTACACATTTTTAACAACATATTTGTATATAATAATTATAGAAACATCATTGTACATGGAGATACCACGTTAAAAAAATAGCCAAATACTCTACCTTAGTCCTCATGGGTGGTTAGGAAATGAGTGTAAACACAAAACTATGTTATTCTAACGTCAAATAATAGATATCTATCTATAATATACTCGTTGTAACGTAATTTCTTTCTTTTTAATAAATCTTACCATTTCTTCAAAAAAATTCTAGAAAAACCGCCTGTTTACACGACTATAACGCCTTATTTTTATAGTTTAAAGATGTTTAATTTAATCATAAAACGATGATGAGCAAAAACGTTTCTTAACACCTTCCACGCGAATAGACCATTCCAACCACAGGAATAACCATTTTTCTTCGTAAAATGTTGCTATATCTTTTTAGTTAACTTTTATTGAGGTCGCATTTGTCTACACAAGTTAGAAAATAATTTAAATGGTAGTTATATAAAAACAAAAAAATAGATGCCATAAGTTTTGAAATATTCATGTAATATATCTTAGTCACACTTCGTCAGAGAGTTACAACGGGGAACAACACAATAGTTTATGACAATAAGTTGGTATAATATAATAATGAGTAGATAATGTAATAACTAAAAGTTTAATCTAAGGTACTACTTTTTGGAGTATTTATATAAGTTTTTAACAATAACGAATTTAGGTGGTAACAGATAACAAAGATGCACACCCAGCACACGTCGTTTGCACGGTCATTCATTCTTGCCTTGTGTAGGCGCATCAAAGTCCCTATATACATATTATTATGCATGTTGCACGTGATCGGTATACATTACATCCACAACATCTCCTAATATATAATAATATAATAAGTCTTCGAGTAATAAAGATTATAAAAAAAAAGTCTTTCAGTTTAAGTACGTTATATTAAAAATTGGAAACTTTCAAATATGACTTTTCTTTTACTGCCGGTAATAAAGATAAAGCTTATCTAAATTTTAATTTTTTTTTAATTCCTATTTCTATGTAGGAAGTTGTTACAAAATGCTAATAAAATCAACACTTATTCTGCGACTCGAGTTCAATGGATTTGTTTACGGAATTAAATACCACAGAAAAGACGAAATTCAATGTATGTCAATCTTTGCAAACATTACTTGGTTACATTTATTGAACTTGAGTCGTTGCATTACAGTGAATCCAAAGTACAATTTGAAACAACAACATTGTAATATTTATTTTTTAAAAAACTTCTTACGATACGTTAGTATAATATATATTTATGTAAAAATATAATTTTTTTTTATATATTTAGAACTTCATACTAAATTTAGGGATTCTTCATACAATTCTTTAAAGAGTGTAATTAATTAAAAATGATTTATGATACGATTTTTATAACTTTTTTTTAATTTTTAGAAAATACATTTTTTCATTTGTCATGTCTAAGCCTAAGCTGTTGATGTTACATGATAATTTAGCCAAACCTGCAATGGATATGCTAAGAAATAGGTAAAACTGGTAAAGTTACATAAATTAAATATAAGTTATCTAATGAAATAAAATAGCGATTTCTTAAAAAAAAAATGTCTACTAATATTTAAAATGTTATCTTATTCAATTTTAGATTTCATATAGAAATATGTAAAACCAGCTACGTAGAAAGCATTCCGACAGCTCAAGACATCATCGATTGTATTCCAGGATCATTTGGATTATTTTGTTCATCATCAGTCATAATTTCGGAAGACGTTCTTAAAGCAGCCGGTTGGTTTATTAAAAGTTAATTAACTAAGTTAATTAAATTATGGTCAATCAAATATATTTGAATGTGTCATTGAAAACTTGATGATGAACGTTCACGCAAAAAACATTAAATGATTTGCAATTTAATACAAGTAGTAGTACGTATTTAAGGAATATAAATAAATAAAGCACATTATTCATCTATTGACGTGTAAAAACATTTTTGTACTTATTTTTTCACAGATTGATTTGTATGTGAAAAATATAAAACGTTATAAAATGTTATGCACAAAGTCATCTTTGCTTTGACTTTATATTTTTTTAATCTTACTGAAAGTAAAATTAAAATTCTCTTATATACCCCTTGAAGAAGGGGTTCATACTATTTTTAATGAAAACTTTAAACATTTTAAAATTAAGTTTAGAGAATTTAGATTAACTTCAAAAACGGACCGCATGCAAACCCCTAATAGAAATTATTGGTTAAATGATTTTCAGGACCCAATTTCAAAGTCATCGGGGCAATGTCTGTGGGCTATGATCACATAGATTTGTCGTTATTAAAGAAGTATGGAATTCGTTTGGGTAACACACTAGGAGTTCCAACCGAAGCAATTGCCGAATTGACCATCGGCCTATTAATTGCTACAGCGAGAAGATTTCAGGAAACAAATCGTGAGCTTAAAACGTATGTATATTAATTAGCATTAAATAACTGTATATTATAATGTATCTATTTTATAATTATTTCATTAGAGGTGGTTGGAAAAGGTGGACTCCTGATTGGTTTCTAGGCTTAGGATTAGCAAAATCTACCGTGGGAATTATCGGTTATGGTAACATAGGAGCTTCTGTTGCTGAAAAATTAGGTTGTTTCAAAATTTCTGAACTACTATATTACAGCCGGAGTGAAAAACCCGCAGGTAATTCAACCAAAACAAAATAAAAAACAGTTTAATAATAATTTTAAGTTGCGCAGCGAAAGCTCTCGGTGGAAAATTAGTATCTGTCGATGAGTTAGTCAAACGAAGTGATTACATCATTATTGCTATTGCTTTGAACAAAGACACCGAATTCATTATGAATAGAGATCGAATTTTCAGTATGAAACCGACGGCTGTGTTGGTCAATATCGGACGAGGAAGTAATAAGGTTTATTTTGTACATTATTGCAATTCTCGGGTTCATAAAACATTTATATTATAATTTAGAGCTTGTCGACCAAGATGCTTTGACTGAAGCTCTGCAGCAAAAAAGAATAAGTGGAGCTGGCTTGGATGTCATGACACCTGAACCTCTACCACTTGACGACCCATTAATGAAGCTCGATAATTGTAGTACGTGATTTTATATACATATATATATGGCCCGTTGAGCTACATGATGATGATGATTTATATATATATATTTTTTAAACTTTATTTTGTTATGTATACTTTTTTTGCAGTTTTATTGCCCCATATCGGCAGTTCCACTTTTGAGACGAGAGCTTCAATGGCTGTGTTAACGGCAAAGAATATTTTGGCCGTTTTAGACAATATTCCTATGCCTAATGAAGTGAAAATTTAATGGATATTTTTATAATAGCATATTTAGGGGTGCTCGCAAAAAGACGTCTAAAATGGTGGTTTGATTTTGACTAAATATAGCACAGATCACAATGAATAGAACTTGAATGTGCGACACTGCAATTATTACATTACAATTTTTAAAATATAAACTTCTATCGGTATAGGTATAAATATTTAGTATTTTTTTATAAGTTAATTTTTTGAGTTATTTAATAAAAATTGAAATCTTATTTATAGTGACTCATTACTCCATACAATGACGATTGACGACCAATCTTCATGAATCATCAAAAGCTAAATCGTGTGGGGCAGTGGGTGATTAGAATACAATTATTCAAGTTCCTTGTTTTAAATCGTCATTATTACTATTTATATAATTATTCAAATATGTTAGGATATGGAATGGTAGGGTGTAGTTAGAATATTATTATCCAAATCCCGCCTTTTGAATATATATAACTATTAAAATATGCCAGGCCCCGTCTGACTAAGGAAAAATATGTGATATGTAAAACATATTGTTTTTTGTTCTAGTGGCAACACTGCATTATGGAAAAATGTCTGGTAAAACACGATGGCGTACATTTTTATGTGAATTTTAGCATTCATTAATATATGTTTGCAATTTCCCCTCAAAACTTGTCGTTCCACCCTTTGGATTAAATTTTCACAGTGACAATGTTTATTTTTAGTTTCATAGATTAGAAGTCCGTTTGTCAAAATGCTAGCGTAGCACAATTTTTTTGTATACAATAATTTTATAAAGCCATCTTATTGTGTTATTATAAGCCGATATTTATAGAGATTCAGTAAAGCTAGTGATTTTCCTTTTTCCGAAGTAATTACCTTAAAATTTTGTTTTCTATATTTAATAAAATATTGAAATATAACGCACTGAACTGCCCGTAGTTTATATACTAAACATGGGTAATGTAGAACATAACACTTTTGCAAATAACAGTTTACTATGTACCTACCTACACCAATACTCGTTATATCAATGTTATTTCTCTAAGGGCTAAAAGGCCGCCGATTTTTATTTTTTTTTCAACAACATTTTTGTAATCTTTTATATTAATTAAATTCGTATAGTTTTTTTAAAATTAATCTAACTAATTTTCTAATTGCTAAATCAAAAATCTGCCTTTTAGCATCTATAGGAAAAATAGTATGCTTCACATAAAAATAAATTAAATCCGTCCAATACACGTCAGATACGCCAGAAAAGACTTCTACGAAAGTTATTTTTAACAAACTTTGGCCATAACTCGGAGAAAAAACGTATTATAACTAGAAAAACTTAAAATTAATTGGCATATTAAAAATGGCTACTATAATAGATCAATTTTTGTAAAACATTGCCTATCCTTTGCCCCTTAATAAATAGCACTTTTCGTTCCCCTGAATAATTGCATGCCGTCTGTTTTTAAGGAGTTTTGTATAGGTAATATTTTAATAAAAAGAGGTTTTAATAAATTTCACCATCAATTAACTTATCGGTTAATTTGCATAAACTTCAGTTAAAATTATTTTTAATTTAAATAATTTTTTCTATGAGAAAAAGCCATTTTGGTTGCTTTTAGACCAAAAGCCAAAGTTTTGACTACATAGGGTGGTCTAATTTCAGTTCTGTGAAGAGATTCGAGTTCTTTGGTTAGTTTACTATGCTATGTAGGCAGCCGATTTTCATTTAAAAAAAGTTGGTTTTTTTTTGTAATTAAGTAAATTAAGTTTGCAATTTTTAAAAATTGAAACTCAATTTTTTTATATAAAAAGCAAAAATCCGTTTATTTTGAAAGCTAGTAGAGTTGCCAAAGAACTCGTATGTCTTGACAGAATTAAAATCGGACCATCCTAAGTAGTCGAAGTTTTGTTTGGCTTTTTGGTATTAAAAATATTTAAAAAACAAATCACATGTAGTCCCCTTAAGATAAGGCTTATCTTAATTCAAATTTTTTTTACGAAATATTGTAGAATAGAGTAGGCTAAATTTAATCTATCTGTGATAATTTTTTAATTATTACATATTTATATAGTTCTCGAATAGGTGTTGGTAATTGGTATACAGGCGATTCATGATAATTATTAAGTAAACACTGTACAATTTTTTTGATAATATTCTAACTGTACCTAAGTGGTACTGAACTGTAGTCTGTAAAAAACTTGTAACGCTTTGATAAACTTTAAATATTATTATAATAACAGCTAAAATTGCTGCTGACTGCAGTCCATTATTTAATTACATACTTCGCAGTTGCTAGTTTGTACTTGGTTACTTATAGTGCACTTTAGTCGTTGCATTATAGTGAACTTAAAAAAAAAACTTGAAACAACAACATCGTGACATTTATTAATAAAAAATAGGTACATTGAATTAATCCTTTTTACAATACGTGAGTATAATAATATTTCAATATATAGAACGTTATTTTTCATTACCTATCAAAATAAATGAATTAGGTATAATATTAGCTATTTATACTTAGAAATAGCGAATAGGTATTTATTTTGAAATAGAAAAGTATATGTGTAGTTAAACGTAATACCATCACATAATATTATAAAACATTTAAAACCGCAATTGTGCTACAATTCAGTTTAAAATTATGATTATGTGATCTACAAAATATCCATATTTGTCTTAGTTAAACATTACATGTTGTGAACTTCCAATACGAGAAGTAAATATCCGTTTGGCTTTACGGATACTTACAGGCTTTGCGTAGGTCAAACTTATTACAACGAAAATAGATTGTACTAGTTTGCCCCTTTACTAACCCAAATATCCATGTACTTTTCATTGTAAATAACCAATGAAGTTGACATATATTAGACTTTTCGATAAATGCAAGCTACACAAATGGCATGCAATTAAAATGACTTCAGACCAAAAGGTTATTTTTCAAAAATTCACAAAAAATATCTTCTATAAATTATGAACGTGACGTACCATTTTTAAGACTACTTCATAATATTTTTTAAATGTAATAATATGTATGATACTTTACAAATTATTTATGATACAACTTTTTTTATTTTTCATTTTAGGAAATACATTTCTTTATTTGTCATGTCTAAGCCTAAGCTGTTGATGTTACATGATAATTTTGCCAAACCTGCAATGGATATGCTAAGAAATAGGTAAAATCGTTAGAGTTACATAAATTCAATATAAGTTATCCAATAAAATAAAATAGCGATTTCTTAAAAAAAAACTGTCTACTAATATTAGAATGTTATCTTGTTCAATTTTAGATTTAATATAGAAATATGTAAAACCAGCTACGGAAAAATGCCCACTACTCAAGACATCATCGATTGTATTCCAGGATCATTTGGATTATTTTGTTCATCAGTAACGGTTAAAATTTCGGAAGATATTCTAAAAGCTGCCGGTTGGTGTTTAAAAATTAATTGACTTAATGGTTCATTAAAAGATTATGGTCAACTAAAAATATTAAAATGCGTCATTGAACACTTGTTGACCATTAAAAAATTTAATAACTTGCAATTGAATATGAGTAGAAATATGTATTTATGGAATATAGCCTTCCTGAGAGCAAAATTATTATTCTCTAATATACCTTAAAAGGTGATAATACTATTTTAAATGAATACTAAAAAAATGTAAATGTTTTTAACTATATTTTATAGAGGAATTATAACTACACTTAATATCTAGTAAATATATTGATCAATAATGTTTGTTATTGGTAAATTGTTGGTTAAATGATTTCAGGGCCCAATTTCAAAGTCATCGGAACAATGTCTGTAGGCTACGATCACATAGATTTGTCATTAATAAAAAAGTATGGAGTTCGATTGGGTAACACGCCGGGAGTTCTAACCGAAGCAGTTGCCGAATTGACCATCGGCTTATTAATTGCAACAACAAGAAGATTTCAGGAGACAAATTGTGAGCTTAAAACGTAAGTATATTAATTAGCATTAAATAACTATATATTATAATGTATCTATTTTATAATTATTTCTTTAGAGGTGGTTGGAAAAGATGGACTCCCGATTGGTTTTTAGGCTCAGGATTAGAAAAATCGACTGTGGGAATTATCGGTTATGGTAACATAGGAGCTTCTGTTGCTGAAAAATTAGGTTGTTTCAAAATTTCTGAACTACTATATTACAGCCGGAGTGAAAAACCCGCAGGTAATATATCATATATACAAAAACAAAATACAAAAAAGTTAAATAATAATTTTAAGTTGCGCAGCGAAAGCTCTCGGTGGAAAATTAGTATCTGTTGATGAGTTAGTCAAACGAAGTGATTACATCATTATTGCTATTGCTTTGAACAAAGATACCGAATTCATTATGAATAGAGATCGAATTTTCAGTATGAAACCGACGGCTGTGTTGGTCAATATTGGACGAGGAAGTAATAAGATTTATTTTGTATAATATTGAAATTCTTGGATTCATACAACTTTTTTGTATTATAATTTAGAGCTTGTCGACCAAGATGCTCTGACTGAAGCTCTGCAGCAAAAAAGAATAAGAGGAGCTGGCTTGGATGTCATGACACCCGAACCTCTACCACTTGACGACCCATTAATGAAGCTTGATAATTGTTGTATGTGTATATATATACATTTTTTTTTTTAACGTCATTTTGTTACAAATATTGTTTTTGCAGTTTTATTGCCTCATATCGGCAGTTCAACTTTCGAGACTGAAGCTTCAATGGCTGTGTTGACGGCAAAGAATATTTTAGCGGTTTTAGACAATACTCGTATGCCTAATGAAGTGAAAATTTAATGGATATTCAACGCATAATCAATGGTGCTCGCAAAAAGGAGTCTAAAGAGATGGTTGGGTTTCATCAAAATATATAGCAAGTGGTAGAACGTAAATGTGCGACACTGTATTCACTTTGAAATATAAACTTCTATCTGTATTTATTTACTAGTTATTTTTTTATTAGTTACGTTATTGTATTTTTTTAACATAATTTCTAGTCTCAGGGTTAAACTAGGAACAATTATGTAGTGCTCTCTAAAACATATAATTTAAAAGTATCCAGTATTGTTTAGTTGAGTAGAAGTAAAATATTGTAATATGTGACGACTACAACGTAAAATTGACAGTTGATAACTCCAAAAATGCTCTTACAATTTAAAATGTCACTCGAAAATTTGGGCTTTCCATAATAAGTACACATTTTTCAAAAAATGTTGCATTTGTTGATCTCTGATTATTTTTTTATAAAATTTTATAAACTTAATTCCTAGCTAAATGTACAATTTTAAAAAGAAAAAGTTTTGAAAAAATATAAATTTTACATTAATTTGTTTCTTAAGTCTAAATATTTTTTTTTAGAGTTTACTCTAATTATTATAAATCAATTTTAGGAAATTATTCTAGTTTACAAAACACGCCTTTAAAGACCGCCGTATCAGTGTGTTTTACAATTTTGTAGGCGATTAAAAAAATTCTGCGAAATAATATTTTTTGATTGTTGTTTGTAGTGGAAAAACTGATTTTTATGGATTTTAATAAACTGAAATCAGTTCGTTTCTATCACGTTTAGTTTTATACAATTTAGGCATACTCAGTTTGACATTTAGAATACCTACATGTTAATGACACATTATAAAACAAAGTAAAATTATAGATAAAAACATATATTATGGTATGAATGTACACGATTATTTAAGAAGTATTTTTCTTAGTCATAATTAAATTTTAAGTATACCTATAAAATACATTTATTTGGGTAGGTTTTTTATGAGATTATATAAGATGAACAAATTAATTATACCATAGACTAAATAATATAAATTATAATATTTAATCTATAGTTATACCTAAGTTGTATCAAAACCAGACGCGTTAGAAACAAATTTGAATTCAGCGCCAAAAAAGTGTTTTAAAATCAAGTTACAAACAACAAAATAGTCGCAGGACTATTATTATTATTATTTTATTGTTCGTTGCCAAATTTTATTTGCACCTACTGACGTTAGTGCGAATTTGTATACTATAAAAGCATTATACTTTTTTATACAATACATTACTGTATGAAATAAATTGTGCGATTCTGAGAACCGGCAACCGGTTCACGCAAGCCTGGTGTGATTATTATAAAGTATTATGTACACTTGTTCTTATCTTATCTAAAAAAAAAAACGTATTCAATATTCTTATTTCTTATACGTTTTACATGTTATTATTTTAGATGTTTACATATTTAATATTATAATTTTTATTTACAACAATAGTGTTAGGTCGGGGTCATCGTTCTATTATTAGTTGAGTATTTCACCTTGTTCGAAAAAAGGCGATAAAAGCTTATTTCGTCGATAAGTAAGTTAAATATTTTGCAGGAGCATATAATTATTTAATCATCTGGCAATTTCTTTAACTTTATGAGGTATGTATTCGTAGTTTTAATTTCGACGCGAGCAAAAATATTTTTTAAATTATCCGTTAGGAATTTTAGATACTCGGAGAGCTCTAATGGTAATTTACTATTAATCAAGTGCATAATGTTTTGAGTTAACTTAAATTAATTATTAATTTAGAAGAATAAATTGGCTACAATTAAATTAATTATTTAATTCATGACAACGTGTTGTAAGTAATCGTAGTTAGCTGAGTGACAATATGTATTATTAATACAACACCTAATTAAACTTTCCATTACCTAGTTACATTTTTAACTTAAGTTAATTACAACAGTTTTTCTAATTTTATTTTTAAGGAATTGTATTAGATGTTTTTTAATGTATCACTGTATAATATTATGTTAATAATTTGATAATGTTTTAATCTAATCAGTTAACAATACTTGAACATTATTTTGGTGTCATGTTCTGTAGCTGTATTGTGTATTTATTTGTGTTCTTTATTTGATTGTTTTAAAGAAATTTAATACATGTCGTATAATGTATACACATATATTATAATATTTTATTGTTTTTAATATTTTTTTTATAGAGAAATATTTAATTATGATCATTTTTAACAGAGTTCTATTTCTTCCGCTAAAGTATAACTTATCTTGGCCATTGCATATAAGTGTACAGTTGAAGTTCACAATGTCGTCTAAGCCCAAAGTTCTGTTGACACATAAAGCTTTTCCGCAAACAGCTATTGATATGCTTAGTGAAAAGTAAGTTTGTTTCCTTTGTTTTTCGATATTAAGAAGTTTATCGAAATTATTATTTTGCATTATTTCTCAGGTTCGATGTAGAATTGTGCAATAGCAAATCTGCCCAGATCACTCAACAAGATGTCATCGATAATATACCAGGAAAATTTGGAATTTTTTGTTGTCCTCCCATTAAGATTAATGAAGAAGTATTGAAGACTGCGGGTCAGTAAAACTTTGTATTTGGACAGTAGTATAGTTGTGGAAGTTTGGAATTATAACAAGAAGGTCTGTGGCCAAGCGGGTAAGGTGGGGCACTGTGTTAGAGCTTACTGTCACCGGTGCGGCTTTCGCTCAAGTGGATCAAGCAGATACTGCCCATCACTCATAGAAAGGAAGATCAAATTATAGCTAACTGGATGTATTTGAGAGTTTTACTAAAGAGCCAATGTGTATAAGGAAAATGTTATAGCTTGTATCGAACATTAGGTTAGACAAACGTAAATGGCTGTGAGACAAGACCAGATCAAAAATGAATATAAATTTGATGCATTGTATAAAAAAATGTCATTATTATTTATTATTATATGCTTTGTATAATGAAGTAATGTCTAACCTTTATAGGTCCAAGTCTTAAGGTAGTCGGAACTATGTCGGTAGGATATGATCATGTAGACTTGAACGCCTTAAAGAAGTATGGAGTACGTTTAGGTAATACACCTGATGTTCTAACCGAAGCGGTTGCCGAAATAGCTGTTGGTCTACTAATAGCTACCACTAGACGATTTTTCGAAGCGAACAAAGCACTAAAAACGTATGTATACCAAATTTTGACAATATTGGATTTTCATAATAAATATTTTTCTTGTCTTGTTGTATATTGTAGCATTAATAAAACTTATGTTGTATTTTTTAATTTAGAGGTGGTTGGACCAATTATTCTCCTGATTGGATGTGTGGTCGTGGTATACAAGACTCAGTCGTCGGAATAATCGGATGTGGAAATATAGGAACTTCGATTGCTGAAAAATTAAACAAGTTCAATATCGCTGAACTGTTGTATACTAGCCGAAGTGAAAAACCTGCAGGTAATGTACTTCTTTTCGTTGTCGGAAAATTTTGGTCTTAAAAATGGGGAATTTTTTTTTATTTTAGTCAAAGCGATTGGAGGAAAATTGGTCGCTGTCGACGATCTTGTTAAGCGAAGTGATTTTATAGTCCTCTCCGTAGCTTTAACACCAGAAACTAGGTTTATCATTAATAAAGACCGCATTGCTAATATGAAATCTAATGCAGTACTCGTGAACATTGGTAGAGGAGGTGAGTCACTGAAAAATTACTTAGACATATTGAAATTCATACTAAATGACTATCTCAAATTATTATTTTTTAGATCTTGTAGATCAAGACGCATTGATCGAAGCATTAAAAGGAAATAAAATTAGAGGTGCTGGTTTGGATGTGATGACACCAGAGCCGCTTCCACTCGACAATCCACTAATGAATATGGATAATGTTGGTATGTACTTACAATATAGTTATTTGAAATTAACTAAAGAAAAAAGGACTTGTACTAATCCGACTTGTTCTAAGAAACACATTCTTTCTTAGAAAAAAAAATACATTACTTTGCATAACATTTAGTATTCTATTTCAGTATTATTGCCACACATTGGAAGTGCTACAGTTGAGACACGGAGAGAAATGGCTGAGCTTACGTCTAAAAATATTATAGCCGTTTTAGAAAACTGTGTTATGCCCAGTGAAGTTAAAATTTAAAAAGTATAATATGCTGTTTTATTATATAAATATATATTATATTGTTGATTTGTATTTTTTACCAGATTACGCAAAATATTTTTTATACAATTAAAATTAAATTATAGGTAAAATAAATTACCCACAAAAAGGGATATTGTTGATTATGAAAAATTATTATGTTGTCATAACTTTTAGATTTTTTATGGCAACCTAACCTAGTGTATCCTTAGCGGAACAAATGAATTTTATCATTTTTGGATTAAAATCAACTATATAAATCTTGTCGTATAACTAGTAGGTTAAGTTCAACTTAACAAAGTTAATCAAATAAATACGATAACATAAATTCTTACTTTTTTTTTTTATCATAGACAATTTAATAAAATCAAATTACACAATCATAAATACAATAAAATGTTATATAGACAGTATTTTTTACTAATCAAGTACGGTCTCACGTCCAAGCGATTATTCTCAACTTCCCATTTATAACATTTCCTGATGATGTGTGACCTCCCCGACCTCTTTACAATGGTTTTTTTTCCAACAAACATTTTCAGAAAAAAAAATTTCTATAGTTTTATTATTTATGAATGTCCGTAAGAGATAATAATTAAAAAGTGAATTCATTAAGTTTACTTATAAATTTTAATGTTGACTAATGACTTAGTTGTCAAAGCCTTACTTTAATAAAAAAAAAAAGTTAATGTATCATTAATATTCTTACAGTGTCACCAATGTGTATAATAAATAACGACAAATTAAAAAATCAATCAACTTCTTTAATTAAGTGTTTAAGTAATAAAAAAAATAACTATCTTTTTGACAATGTAGACAATGAAAGTAACATAATATTAAAATGTTAATATCAACAATAAATTATTTTTCTTAGATTTAAATTAACATTTCAATTGTTTATACACAATATATAGATTATATTTCAATAGTTTTTACACAATTAGATTCACTCATGTCTTTTATAATAATGATTTACATATGTAATTTTGTACAAAAGGTAAATTACAAAATATATATAAATATATAATTGAGTACAAAAAAAGTTAACAAGTAGGATAACAGAATAGTGCGTGCAATTAAAGAGAATTAATTTGCTTAATGAGATTAATAATTTCAGCTGGAGTTATGTACTGCTTGCAATATTTGTATTCTAACGTCTGGTTAATATAAACAGAGCCTCTGAAATTTCTGTCTAAAACAATCGATTTGCTCACGACGGGTACACCGTAATCGTTTATAGACATTTTAGATATTACGAAACGAGCAGGATTTGTTACAGTACTTAAGCTCCACGAAGGCATTGTTTTAGACAGTTCAGTTATCATATCTTTTATATTGCTTTTTTCAAAAGCCATACTCTCTCTAATAGGTTCTACTTTGTAGTTGACATTGAGATCTTGATTTGATTTAGATTTTAAATCCACAATTATAGGTGCCGCGGTAAGCATGGCTGGAGTGACCTCTTTTGAGTACTGCTCACGAAAAACCGTTAACGGCTCGTCCAAAACTACACGTTTTACAGTTTCGTAAGGAATATTGTACTGCTTGGCGATATTTTCGATATCGCGTTCAATTGGTAACTTTTTAGTTACAATTTTTTCATTTGACTGATTATTAATAACTAAAGGTGACATATCTTGTTGGTCGTATGGTTGGATTGGAGATCTGGGAGTTTCAGAGCAACTAGGAACAACGTCAGATTCGCCAACTGCATTTTTTACTTTCTGAGAAACCGTAGCGCTAGGCGGCTTAGAATGCAAAAGTCTATTTTTATTCTTTGGTGTGCATTTAGTGTTTATCTTCAAATTTTTATTTTTTTCTACATCACTTGAACCGAGATTTTCTGGACAAATGTTAATGTCATTTTTTTTAATGCCATTACGAGTTTTTTTAGGCATCACAACACTTTTGTATAATACAATTTCCTCACTAATGTGTGAAGAACACACATTGGTTACAAGAGTTTGCTTCAATTCTTTAGAATTATTTGAAATGTCAACACCGCCTTCACTCTCTTCTGTAAGACAAGTTATCGTCTGTTCGGCAGAGTTATCAAAAACTTCAGCCCTATTGTTACTGTCATCACAATCAGAATTTATCTTTAAACTCACAGAAGAAATATCTTCAGTCGATTCTTTATTATTTAATAATTTAGCTTTTATGTTTTGGTGACTAGAATTTTCTTGTTTTCGATTTCTTGTAGCTCGAGTTTGAATCTTAATTGGTTGTGTATCGTTTGCCATCAAATTTACATCGTTAGGTGTACAACTTTTGGTCCTTACTTTCCTCGATTTTTTTTTAATATTATAAGGATCTTTTTGGAGAGGCAAGGTATCAGTAGACAAAGACTTCTCAAGTATTTGAGAAGATATTTCTGTTTCAACAGAATTTGGCATTTGATCAGGATCTAAGATGCAATCATGACTTTCAACATTTTTTTCACCAATTTTATTACTTTCTGTGGTTTTCTTGGCTAAATCTTTTTTCTTCGATAACGTACATCTACGAAATCTACTTCTGTATGGGACTGGAACAACTACATCATTGCTTTTAGTCGTATTAGAAGTACTTTCGGAATCGTTCACATTGTCTTTAGGCGCTTGTACGTTCTTTACACACGGTGTAGTATCTTTAATACTATTATCTAAATCATTATTTAAATATGGAAGAGTACCACTACTCAAAAGTAGATCAAAATTAATTCCAAAATTAGAAGCTCTGCCTCGCCTTTTTTTTGTATTCACTTGAGGTAAACCATATACTAATTTGGATTCAATAATCTCAGTTTGAGGTAAATCATTTATTTTAGATTCGATACTCTTAGTTTGTGGTGATTTTGGTTTTGGTACGCTTTTCCCTTGTTTTTGTTTTTTAGAACAAGTAATATCTGTAATATCTTCAACAGACATTTTATTTTCATGAACGCGTTTTCTAGTAGTCCTTTTAAATGATTGAACATCAGGTGAAGAACTATTTTTGGCGGACTTAATTTTCGGTTCAGACACTGTTTGTTTATTATAGTTAATCAAAGCATCACATTTTGACAATGTAACACAGCAGTTTAAATTTACAATATCATCGGTAAGAAAAGAATTTTTAGACACTCTATTGTTTTTTCTACCTCTAATGTTGTTTTCTGAAGGTTTTAGTTTTTCCATAGCAATTGTTTATTAGTAAAACAACCTGAGAACTACAATGTATCACTTTGAAATACAAGTTTTTTTTTCAGTACCTAACGCTTCAGTTTGTTCACATTAACATGTATTTATTTCTTCTCTAAGAGCACTTCAGCTTATGTGTACATTCCAACTCTACGAAATGATCTAAAACATAATAAATTTAAATTAATTTTTCCATGCTGTTTTTTATTTATTTTTTTGTTTACAGTTACTTTATTAAGTAAAATTGCACACAAAGTAAATGTAATTTATGACTCGCCTAATAAGCCGTTTTAACCTTTCTATTAGAAAGTTTTTTTTTTACAATTGGTTAGTTTGATAATCATTTATTATTATTTTATTTATTGACACCCAAAGGGTACAGTATATAGATGTACATTTAATTAATATATAGATACAGATAACAAGACATAACATAAAATAATGAGAATTTATCATAGAAAAACTGTTTTTGGGTGGTGGTTACTTGTTGCCTTGCACATTAGTGGGTTAACCATTTGGTTGCCTACCCAGAAAGAATAACAGCAAGCAACTGAGTTTTAAACTGCGATTAGGACATAAAATCACTGCTGTGTTAACCCACTCGGATTTCAATTACTAGGTAATAATAAAACTATGTTCAACCTAAAGAAGAAGAACTATTCTAGACATCATGACATTTTTACCTGATAATTTGTGAATGTAAATCTAGTTTTGGGTAAATATTTTTTATGTAAACATAGTTTATATTAAAAGAAAACCCTTTTGATACGAACCTCAAGCGCGAAATGAATCGATGAAGTGTCATTTGAACTTGTCAAAAATCAAACACTGCCGAAAAAAACATTGATTGTACAGAGGTAAATACTTAAAAGAATACAATTAACAGAATAATAAGAAAACAATCACATTTTCGGTCATGGCAACGAGTCATAATTAAAGTACAAATAAAAACGGCTGTTACATGTAAATGCTTGGGATATTGTTATCTGTAAACAAAATAATAAAATCAGCCATGCGCTAATTAATGTGATAGCGCAGTTAGGTTGATACCATAGACCTGTTATCAGGTCAATGTTTGATCTACCTTTTTTTTAATTAAAAATGTTTTGTTAAATGATTATAACAAAAATTGTAAAGATTATGTTGACTTGTTATGGTAAGAAAAGGTTTGTAATACTTGACTGAAAATTATTTCTTTCGATATATATTTTGTTAACTACTAAGTGTACTGTAAACATGGTTCAGAGATAGACAGTGTTTTAACATTTAAAACAAGGTATGTGATAAAAATCTACATAATAATGTGGGATATTTTCATTATCCTATATATTTAGTAGTGATTATTTATTTATTATTAATAATTAATAATAATAATTATTTAAAGAAATAAGAAACTTAATGAGATCCTCCAACCACCCCTATAAAAATTTTTAATTATTAATTAATTGATTCATTTTTCAATATTAGAGCTTAAGATTCAAGTTACAACGAGTGTCTGGTGATTAATAAATCATTCTATGTATAATATGTGTTAGATTATAAACGAGTTTTAACGTTATTCATTTAGTTTATAGCAAATGGCATTTTTAAAGATAGGCATATTACATAATGTTTATAAACTTTGTGTTCGTGCATTTGTTTTTCCCAACACTGCATACGAGTAGCATAACATGTATAACAGTATACATAATAAAAAATAAAAAAAAAAGAAGTTTTAAGCGTGGCTCTTATAGGTGCGTTATAAAGTTATCAAATCTGAAATGTAATCATAATAGGAATTAGGATTTGCTTGTCGCGGCATCCATGGATTATTCGCACATGGTACCCTGTTACTGAGGCATCGAACTTATCCCTCGATACAGGGTTTAATCCGTGTTAAATGTTTTTCCCGGCCTCGCTCTTTACACGCCGCGTTTAATCTTGTGTACTGTGTAGTAATACAAATAATTTATTTGTACAAGGTTATCTCGGTTTCTGTTTCTCGAGACGGTCACGGTCCGGCCGGTAGTGTAATATTGTGGATCCGATTAGCCGTCAGCTGATGCGCTCGTACCAAGTACAATACCAGGATACCAAACGCTCGAACCGAAACCTTGTGTCTTGTCCCGACAACGGAATAAACTGTATCATTCGGTAAGTACAAATAAATTTGGACATAACGTTTTTGTTAAAAAAAAAGATATATATATATAATTCTAAAAGTTGTTATGACGTTATTTTAAATAAGTTACAAAGGAGTTAATAATGTTAGACTATTATTCCCCCCCCCCCATTAGAGTAGGATGAAATTTGTTTGTTTTGTTTTGGGGACACTTTTCGAATTTAAGATAGGTAAAAAAATAAATCTGTTGAACAGGAAAATATTTAAAATATTTAGACAACTACTACAATATTTGAGATCTACCACTAAAAATCGTAAACCAACACTGCATAGTGATACACATCGTGAGCTGGGTGATTTTGAAACCAGCACGATTTTCCATAATCAGTTTTGATCAGTAAAATATCGGCTTGTTTGATGTTCAATGTTTATTCGAACCCTCTTGTACTACATTGTGATCATTAAGAAAATATAAAAGTTTTAAAAAATTGTTTTTTTAGCTGGGTTTTGAAGCTAGACGCTATTTTAATCTATTCTGTGATGATATTATAATATTCAGATTTCAGTTTCACTCTCATTTTCATCGAGTATCGACAGATTTTCGACCGCGCTTTGCTTTGCTTCGCTTTTCGTATGCACTTATCATATATATACAACATAAAGTTAATTTCAAAATCAGCCATATTATGTAAAACATTAACCACATTGTTGGTTTCGAAAACGGCCACAAGACGAAATTGGCACCCAAAACCACAGCCATATGAAAATTATAAAATATCTTCTTACCGCTTGTAATCAATAATCATATTTTTGTAAAATAAATCTTCATAAAACAACGCGCGCATGTACACTGAAGCTTTGATATTTTGATATCGATACTGGAAGATCTCAAATTTTTTTGTGAAAATGGACTCAAATATTTACTATGTCTATACCGCCGTGACACCCGTCGGGCGAACGCCGTGCACTGTCACTGCCGCGGCAGCTTCTGATACCCTGGTAGAGCGTGTTTAATTTAGCGGTGCACGCGAACCGTTTCAAAAACCGTACCGCAACCGAGACCGGAAAGTTATGTACGAGCTTCGGTGTTTTCGTGGGCGAACACGTTGTGATTTTCTGGTTTTCGTGCAAAACACGCATAACCCGACCTAAACCAAGGGTTAAAAGTTGGGCTCCCCGCTACCGGGATCGCATGCGAACGACATGCGTGCATACGAGTGTAGTCGGTAGTGACTATATACACACACCGGTCGAGTCGCAACGCGGTCGCCGGCAGCGTAGTTTGCCCGGTAGTGGCACATCGGACCCTGGTAATCTTACTTGTCACTTTAACGCGATCGACATCCATTCCGTCCCGGTGGTTGCGCCCACCGATTACGTTATTACTATTATTACAGAGCTCGGTTTTGTTTTTTTTTATTATTATTATCGTTTTATCTCTTACCCGTGCTCGTTAAAAACTGTTTTTTTTTTTTAGTTCAAGAGGACGCCACTCCGTCTATTTATTAAGGAGTTGAGCATAGGCAATTTTTTTACAAAGGTTAAACCGTGATGTGTAATAATTATATTAGTACAGTAATTTGGACTCTTATTTTGGTTACTAAATTATTTTTCGGACAGATTTTCGAAAATAAAAAATGTTTGAGAAAAAACTGGCTACGCTTTTTTGAGTTTTAACAATATTGATTTTCAATACTGTTCAAATTTTTATTTAAATAAAGATAAAAAAATGTAAGGAAAACATTTTAAGCACTCATTTTGGTTTGAACGATCGGGTTATTATAAAATATTTCGTCGAGGCGACACAGATAAAGTTCTTAATTTTTAGATGATATAAGTAACTCACCTGTAAGACTATTTTTAGAAAAGCTGTACAAAAGGGCCAACTCATGTTTTATACTAACGCGTCAATTGTATTGTTATTTGTTTTGTCAGAATAATATCTTCATAGTATTTTGCATTTAAGATCTGAACATTTTAATTTGCTTTATTTGTTAATAAATAAATGTTTTTTTTTTTACTAATTTGAACTTTGATGCGTTCTAGTTTTTTTCACGGGGGACTTTCTAGCTAAATAGCGCAGTAGGTATTTATTTACCTTTATAAATACTCAATCCTGTTGTGGAAACATGTTGACTTTTATTTGATTTCAATATCATTAAAATTATGTGATGAAACGGCTATTACTATTTACTAAAATACGTTGCATAAAACACAATCCTACATAATTGTACCATACTGAAATATAATTTGCAAAAACGACATAATAGCAGCATATTATGGTTATAACATTTTACCACAGCTTTTTAATTTAGAAGTGTTTTGTTGAATTATATATTTTCATCAATGTCTAAACAATTTTGAGGCCAAGTATAAAAGAAACAAATAATAAAATACGAAGATAGCTGACGAGTGGCATTGTTTATAATAAAACGTAGCGTAGGCTTATAATATATATATATAATATTATAGACAAAAATTTACCCGAAAAATTCGAATTTATGATGAAAAAAAATTTGTCATTCACGTGTGAACCATACTATAATAGACAAGCATACTAACTGGTGTGAACGACGTAGCCAAAGTAAACAGGTACTTCAACGGTTTGTGTTATCAATTTAAAAAATGGTCGCTGATATTTCCCATATGAAACAACGACAATACTGGCCGCCATTTTAGTTTTATCACAATCTGTTCGCATACCTATATTTTTCTTTGTGGCGATAAACCCGAGAACTTGGGGGAGGGGATTTTTCCGCCAATTTTGTTTCATTATCTTTTATCAGTCATAGTTGTTTGTTGTTATAACTGATACTATTATTGAAAATTGAAATATTATATAATTAATCGATCAAACAAAAATATTGTCTTTACTCTTGGCTCGTATTTTGTCCGTTGAGATTATAGACGACGCTAAATCTGTAAGTGATTCAAGTAAGCTCGTTTAAATAATTAATATTGTGGTTATTATTTGCTTACATCGATTAGAATAGTATACTTTATACTATGTAAATATAATTAATATTATATTTCAGTTATTATGGATTTAAACGATAACGACAAAAGGATTTTAAATCGTCACAGTTTCTATTTCTTCAATAGAGATTTGACTAGTTTGAAGTTTATGCTTGATTGGGATACAGATGATAAATTTTATTTTAATATTGTGGATGTAAGTCAAACTTAATTAATCATTAAAACATTTAACAATTTATGGTTTCCAATTGAGGCCTAATTAATTTAAAATTTACATATATTTTTTTTTGTCTACCTATAAAAAGTATTACAATATTCAATCATGGTTTTCTGATTATTATTGAACAATTGTATTTTTATAGCGAGGAATTGGAAATATAGTGGACAAAGCTGATGGACATACTATGGTGTTATCGAATCCCAGTAGTTGTACATACCACCATCCACGCATACCGGCGTTTAATATTAATTATATAAAGGATTGCATACTAGTCCAAGAATTCCTCGATCCAAGAAAATATTTGTAAGTTAAAATACATTTCAACTTACAGTTAATTTTTTTTTTTCTGTACACTAATAATATAACAATGATAGCAATATAAAACAAGGCAAGATAATATATAGGTTGATATCCATGCAGTATAATGGTTTGAATTTGAAAAAAATTGACATGTTACGATCTTGTAACACTTAATTTTCAATTATGTAACCTCATTAGAAATAGCTTGTCAAGAAGATAAAAAATATGAATAAAAAGTATATTTTTTATGGTTTTTACAATTAAAAAATTGTCAATTTTAGCTATTTTTCTTTTCACTCACAAATCTCCAAAATTAAAGAACGAATTTTGTTGTTTATGGTCTTATTATAATTGCCATGTAGAAGTGCAATAAAGAGTTTCAAAACTTTATCTGAATAGTTCATTCATTACAGAGCTTTAAAGTTGTATATCATAAAAAAATAAATAAAAAGTTAAAACATACAATACCTATTATATAATTATATGTTTTATAAAATGTTTTTAAATAATTCTCCAAATTTAAAATCCAAGAAAGTCTACATGCCAATCCCGACTTGGCTAGCATTTTTCCAAGTTCAATAATCGAACCGAACATTCAAAATTTAGTTAGAAATAAAAAAAGTTGGTCTTATCATTATTTTAAATGATTAATTAATTAGTTATATAGTATTTTCGATGTTTAAACTATTTTTATTCAAGGATAACAGTTTCGTGTCCAATTGACTATAAAAAAAAGGACATTCTCTCTTGCTGGTTCCACAATCAAACAACGTGGTACGAAGAGTTGCCTGATATTCAGCTTAAAGAAAATAGTAACGGGATTATTTTGCCACCTAGTAAAGCATCAACTTCTACGTGAGTTACCTATAAATAATTTGTAATATGATTTATAAAAATTGTAGCAATAATAAATGGGAGCGTCAAATCTAAATAGGGATTTTGGCTTATCCAAAACATGATGGTGGATTAAGTTAAATGTTTAAAATTTTGATTTATTTTTGAAAATATTTATTTATTGTAATTTGCCCTTATTAGATTTGTAATTGATACATTTTGTTTTTCTGATTTAGCTTAAACAAAGATATAGAGGCTGAAGATGATTCAGATGGACAGAATAAACTGGCTAAAAGGTATATTTATACAAAATCTGTCATCATAAGTTAAAATGTGATCAAAGCAACAATTTGTTCTGATAGTAATTTAAAATAAAATCTTTTTATAAAAATGTTTCACAAATTCTTCGAAAATTTTAGACCAATTAGAACAATTTATTTTAAATTTGAATGCACAATAATAAATATTAAAATAATATAGGAAAATCAATATTAAATTGTTAATTTTTTTTTAAATGTTCTGTAATTTATGATGTAGTTTAATATCAGTTGTTATACTGTGGCACCAGAAAATTAGTTTACTGTTTAAAATGTTGATTTAATTTTGCAAATATTTATACATTGTAAAGTGCCCTTGTATAATTTGTAATTGATACATTTTGTTTTCTGATTTAGCTCTAACAAAGATAAAAAGGCTGAAGATGATTCAAATTTTGATCGTCCGTTTAAGTCTGGACAGGTTAAACTGGATAAAAGGTATATTTATACATAATCTGTCATCGTAAACCAAAATGTAATGTATTAAGGTATAAAAACAACACTTTCTTCTGATAGTAATTTAAAAATAATATCTGATTCAATGAGCTGTCTTCACTCTTTTAATTTTTTTTTATTAACGTCAAGAACTATAATCTTAGTGTCGCACAAGTTTTTTACTAATTGAAATAAATCATAAGGAGGAAATTTAGATTTCCCATTTTTTGTTTGAAAAATTTGATATAAATCAATTCATATCCAAGTAATATATCATTTTTAAGATTTGTTTTTTTGAAATATTGATGAAAATAAATTCCGATTCCTTTTGGAGTTGTTAGCATTTTGACGTGAAAACAGGGTAGTGTGTTATGGTTATCATTGAATAAGTTAGTTCATAAAAAGTTTAAAAAAAAAACCATTAATTGTCACGAAATGTTCATGTTTATATGCAATTGTGTGTTTAGGACAAGAATGGCTTACTCTCACAAGGAAGACTCGCTGATTGTTAAGTATTTAATTAAAAATAACGATGCGTTTAATGTGTTTGGAAGAGAATTGTGGCAGCGAATGGAAAGTTCCGGCGTAAGTTGATATAAAATTAAGTATAAACTAAACAAAATATTAAGGAAAAAATAAAATTATTTAAATCATGCTTTGTTGAATGAATACAGTTGTCTCTTCTACGTTTTTATATTATCTTTGATAAACAATTTTCAATTGGTAATAAACTAACAAGCAAAGCCAAACCCAATACACAATCAACTACCTAATAACATATTTAATCAAGTTAAAACGTAATTTTAAAACCGTTACCTACCACGTTCGAGTTTACATTGTTTTTATTATATTAGAAATATTTACTTTAAGTACACAAACATTTTTATCTATTTTAATTACAAAATATATTTCTAATAGTTTATTTATATACTGTGTATTGTTGCTTTTACAACAATGATAAGTTTGTAAACAAATTTATCAAAATCAAATGAAATTGTAAAAAGCCCACACGCTTGTACGTCTTAACCTCTTGCCATTCCGCTGTCCGACTGTTATATTTAAAAACAATTTAAAAAGACCATTATTATTTGGATGTTTAGATTTGTAAAATTAGAACGTGGCAGTCACTGAAAGAGCGGTACCTCAAACATATTAGGTATGACTTATTAACGGGAAATAATAAGTATCCGTTTCTTTCGAGCGCAGATTTAAAGTTGCTGAGACAAGGGTTAGTGTTTTTTTTGTTTGTTTTTACAGATACATTCAAATATATAATATTATTGCATTTATATTTGTCCATAGTTGATAAATTTTATTGATATTAAAATGTTAACAATGTTTGTCTGGTATAGTTTGAAAATTGAGTCATCCGATCCAAAAACCAAAGAAAAACAAAAGTTCTATAGTCGAAATCGGCAAACATAATAACCGAAAAGTAAAAGAAGTACAAGCCAAGGTCAGTAACTTGACCGGTTTAAGTCCTCAACAGTTTTCTCCACTGTGACGAAAAATATAAGAAAATCAATTTAAAAAAAGGTTTTAACTATCAATATTAATTTTGCATTAAATATCAAAATAAATATAAGTATGAAAAAGGAAAAAGTTTTTGTTCTCAACTAGTGAATTAATTGTGTATACTTTATTGTTCTTTACACATTTTAAATGTTAACCGTAAACTGTACATATTATTATAATATTTAATGTAAGACTTATTTATTTAGAAGACTTTTGGGTTTATTTGGTATTTTGTTTTTCTAAAAGCCTTGCCATAGTTCTATAGTTAAAAAACAATTTATGTTATTTCGTTATGATATGTTTATTATTTGTGTACTTTTTATTTTATATTCAAATAACAAAGGAATACAAATCCTACAATTATTATTTTTTATTTTTCTATAAACTCTTAAAATATAATAACAGATAAATTTTTTTCAGTATGCAAATATTTTTCTATAAAAATTAAAAAAAAAAAGTAAAGTGAATCAACTGTGAATTGTGATCTTCTGGCCAGCGTTGGAAACAATTGTTGTATTTTTATGTAAATATACATTTTTATTTGTTATAGTTGAATTTGAATACACTTTTTTTTAGTTTATAGTTTTTATGATATAAACTATAAACATTTTAAGATGTATAATGGACATATTTTCTATTAAAATTATTGTTTATCATGTATACACCTATATTGTCTATATTATGCATATATCTAGTCAGTATTATTTAAACCGTAATGTTGATAAACCGTCTCAAGTTTATGATTTGGTTGATTTTGTTGTACAGAATAATCTGACTTCCTCGGCCAATTTTTCCAATTTTTGGCTTATATTATATATATTTTATATTTATACAATGTATCGATTATTATTTGCGTACACTTATTTTGTAGCTCTAAGTCTGTTTTAATGTTTTATATATTTATCAAGAAATAAACAGGAACTCGGGATGATACCAATATGTGTCTATAGTTGTTAATAGTGTTACTATTTACTATTTTCACAAATACTTAGACAAAAATTAACATGTTCGTTTTTTTCGTAAAAGTTACTATGGATAATGAATGAATGATACCAATAGCGTTCTGAAATCCTATCCTTGGTATACTCTCAAATGCCTTCCTATATAATTCTAGACGTTACACATTTTTTGAAAGGTTTCCTCGCATGCCCAAAACTTTTGAAATTTTCATGTCTTTGCTCTAGCACATAACCGAAAAAAGCGTACCCACACGGTGATGGGGGGGGGGGTTGGGGATAGGGGTAAGATATAGGAGATAAGACATATGTTGTACGTTCAACGTTCAAATTAGAACTAAATGATAAATTCAAAATAGTTTAAGGGCCCAAATTCTCTATGAATTGTTTTAAGCCAAATATTAAACACTACAATATTAGCCAGAAACTTGATGTTTTAAAATACTAGCTTGTTACTGCTTCTTATTGTTCTTAATATACTATATCATTATCTATAATTCCACTACTACTCTAAATTTATTCGGTACTTCAACGAGACATGAAAATGCTCTTTCGTGGTTGCAGACACGGCTGAAAAACTTTTTGTACTTATTACGTGAAATGATTTACCATAACACTTGCAAGTAACTTGTACTCATTGCTTTTACTGAACACTGTATTCAAATAAAGAAAGACATTTCAACAATTTTATATTCAAAACCCATTTTATTGTATTTTGTTAAAACATAACATTTTACACCAACAGTAATTTCCTTTTAAGATATAGATTAAGATCCGGTTATGAGTAGGTTTTAACTTTTAATTCAGATCTGGATCTTCGTCTAATCTCGATCTAGGTTATGATCTAGCAATATTCTGTCTCTGAGTCTTCAAAGGAATCTGAATCTCCATATATCTCTGGATCTCTCTTTGGGTTCGCTCCTACGTATCTCCAACTAACGAATTTGTGTATAGGAAACGTGACATTGCAATATTCTCTAACAATTTCACTGAATAGTTCTAAATCTATATTTATGTGGTCTAAAAATAAATAAATAATATATATATATATATATATATATATATATATATATATAATTGTTAGACACTGCGTGCTCTACTTTAACTTAACTTGTTACAAGTTACTTAATTTTCATTACTTTTCAAAATACCAAAATTACAAGTCACATTTATACACATTTTGTTCTACTCGGTCTACGATGATTATAGACTAAATTAAAAAATTTAAATAAACCTAAATAATTGTCATCAACGAAACGCAATATCAATTTTTCAACCAAATATACACTATTTGATTGATTGTACATAATACTGGAACCATTAATTTTAATTTCGATGTAGAGATAAGAAGATAAGATTGGTTTACAATAATAGGTTTTTATTTCTCAATATAGGTAGCAAGTCTCTCGTTCAGAAATCATACTTAAAAGGATTTTTTTAGAGCGATGTATTTCAAAAATTCACCCCTTTTACTTCAATATGGTGGGCAAAAAGACCAACAACTTAACATAGGTACCTTTCAACTAATTGTTATGGCACGCTCTAATTAAAAATAAAATAGTTGAGTTATAGACTTGTATGAGATATTAGCGTTGACTCCAAAAACCGCACACTTTTGGTATGTTAAAACCGCATACTTTTTAGAATTGCTGTATCCAAAAACCGCACATTTTATAGTGATGTATAAATTATGATTTAATATTTATACATTTATTCAAAGAACATTTTTTAGGTACAACTTATATATTGAAAATTTTTAATTAATTTAGTTAATAAAAAATTTTAAAAAAAATTATCAAAATTTTTTTGGCTGTACTTGATTGCCGACGTTTTTAAGAAATTTCAAACGATATCGGTGCTTAAAAGTTCTTAAAAAATCTCCCTAAAAATTCTTCCCAACATTTAAACAAGTTTTCCTAAAAATAAACCCAATTTAATTAAAAATGATCTATTACAAATATTAAAATGTGTCTATTAAATAACTTTTTTTTGTTTTTCAATTAAAAACGGACAATATTTTGAATTCCCTTGTAGTACTGGTTCTGGTACTCCACTAAATGTTATTTGTACAGCATTATGAGTAGCTATCTCAAAATCGAGGTGGATATTTTTAATGTGCCTTGCGTTTACATTTATTACGTACCTCTTGTACGTTGTACCATTTTTTTACCCAATATAAGTGTGCGGTATTTGGCTATATAATTTACCTACCTGGCAACCGATTTATTTTTTTCTAAATACAGAACCAATGAGGGGGAATTGTTTTTCACACGACTTCCACTCGGCAACCGATTAAGTGTGCGGTATTTGTCTACCTGCCTTTTTGAGATTGAAATCATAAGTGTGCGGTTTTTGGCTGCAACCGATATTAGATATGTGTCTCTTAGAAGAGGTGGACAATTTTTTTTATTCTTAAGTAGTTTTGGGAAATTATTTCCCTAGAAGGGATGGGAACTTATTCTTAAGGTTTCTTTCGAGCAAATTTTTAGGACTTGAGGTCTAAAGATTAGACTGAAGGCAGTAACATGAGAGACCGTAACATACACAGTGTTTCAATTGGTCCGATTCACTTGAGTTGCACCCTCGATTTCAGCACCATTCGTGATTGGAGAGTGTATTTCATGACAAATATTAATATTATACGTTTAAGGAAAAAGTAACAAAAGATATAAATATATTTCAAATATTTGTATAAATTCGAACGACGGTACATGCAAATGCCAAATGCTTCACAGGGTCGCGACGATACTAAAACAAATACATACCTATAATTAAAAGATTACGAAGTATAGTTAATAGTTACCTCGTTCGTGAGCGGCAACGCCTTTTGCGTCCAAGGATTTTATTATGCTTTTTACAACTGCAGCGTAGTTACCAAAATACATTTTAAGATCTTCGAATGAAATACCGGGATTCATTTTTGGTAAATGTCTTACTCTCTTCACATGTCTTCTAGCGTCAAAAAAAGATCGTTTTAGCCACTGAAATATATATATTGTTTTTTTGTTAGTATTATTATATTTGTTGTAATGAAAAAATGTTCTTACAATTTGACTTATAAATCCATAGGCGGAGATTTCATTAATTTTTTGGGGGGGCTAGCATTTGTCTACCTAAAATGACCAGCAAGGGATTTACACTCCTAAATTATTAATATATAATACTATATAACATTACAAATGTATAAATAAAAATCATAATAATTATAATATAATATTTGTATATTATTTAAGTAAATACATATTATTTTAAGGCAATGTACCTATTTTAGATCCAAACATATCAATATTTTTTTCTACATCAATATTTAAATCGTTTTCAATGTTGTTATTAAGAATAAATAATTTTTATTCTAAAATGTAGTTTAATTGTTTTGATAGAGTTGTGAAATACTCAATGCTTTATGTTTAAATGAATGTTGAACACGTTTAGAATATTATACATGTGAAAATTTGTTTTTCGCATGTCTCTGCACACCTGTGCATTTTCTATCGAAACAAACTCTTTCTAATTTTAACCGTACTCTGAAACGACAATAATTTTGAAAGCTGGTATACATTTTTCAATATGTGTTCGATGCATAGTATGTTTTTAATATTTTAGTATTAAATCTTATTGTAAAGATGATTGGAAATTTAAAAAGTTGCAATTTTTTAAACAGAAACGTTGTACTTATGCTCTGTTATATTATAATAGACTTAGATTACTTAAATGTATTAAATATTAATAACGGTAACAGGGTGAAGTACGTTTTTGAGATTTCGCAGTCTGTCAGCGTTTGTCAGTGGTCTAAGACCGAAATTTAGGTGGCTAAAGTAGGCTATTATAAACGTTAATAAAATCAATTTTTCTTTCCAGGATCTCAATATTACACGATAAAAAGTATAAATAAAAAATTTTAACTTGATAACATTTTTTGAACCGGAGAAATTTAGTTTTTACTATTATTTTGAAAATAAAAATGCCATAACTTCATTAATTTTTTTTTGGTTATTGAAATATAAATGGACAAAAAAAATATTTTGTAAGTCACTTATTAAAATCATACATTTTTTTTTTATTAAGTTCTTAATGATAATAAAGCATAAAAAAATCGAACGTGTGTGTGTGTTTTTTTTTTTAAATAGTTTATTTTTGCCACCTAAATTTCATTCTTAGACCACTGTGCTGTGCGTCGCAGCGCGTTTTTTAAATGGTTAAAAAAAAATTCTAAAAAAGGTAATAAAAATCTCGGTAAAGTAGGTTTGTTCCAAATTTGTATAAGTTACACTATAGAACAATATAAATCAAACAATAATCGACAACGCATTATGTGATTTAAGTCCAGAGAACGACAATATTCGTATAAATGTTTATTTAAATAAATTCACGAAAATAAAATAAACTGTTATTCCATTATTCATTTATTCATTCATTTAATCATGATTTATTAACTATTATTCACAATAATTAAGGTTTAGATAAACGATTTATACCAATTTGTACGTTTAAATATACGTCTTAAATTATTCATAGAAATTAAATTAAATTAATTATGCATAACAGATAATATGTATGTATAGAAATCCTGCCAATATTGTAAAAACGTACAATCAAGTTTTATTGTCTGAAAAAATTAAAAATACTTACTTGTTCCTCGGTAAGTTGAAGTCCACCCTTCTGTGCATATTAGAAAAATTGCAAATTTAAGATGTGTTATTGTCTGAGAAAATAATAAATACTTACATCTCCCGTAAATACTGGGATCGTATTTGACGGTCCATCTTCCTGTATATATTAGACAAATTGTACAATTAAGACGTGTTATTGTGTGAGAAAATAAAAAAAAAACACTTACATTGCCCTGGGTAGGTGGTACTGGTGCCAAACTTGACGGTGGACCCAACTGTAAAGACAGGTCAATGTCTAGGTTCAACTTTGGTGGTTGGCCCAATACATGGTTAGTAATTAAACAGTTAGATGCTAACAAAATGGTGGTGTATATCGAGAACATTTTTTAATAGTACTCGAGTTTAACTGGACAACGAATGATTCGTTCTCTCTAAAACTGTTGGTTTTATAGTGATTTGAAGAAAAAAAAACGGCTATCGCTAAAACAAATCTCATTGAATAGAAAATATATTGGAAATTTATACCGTAGAACAAATCAAACAGTAAATTTCATAATTTATTTTAATTTTTTTATTAGTAAATTTCATTAAATCGACATTGTATGTGTTTTTTATTCGACGTGAACCGAAGAGAGAATATGATTTACTTTCACAAACAAGTGTTTTTTTTTAATTTTTATAATACAGAGTCCGGCAAAAAAACCTCCCTTATTTAGAAATGACGCTGTGTGAGTTGTGGTAGTGGTACAACGGTGGAGGGGGTATCGATCGATAGCGGTGTACGTGCCATTTCCTCCGACCTAACCTAAACCAGTTTGCTAGGAACCGTGACGAGGGAGCGGTCTGGTTCCAACAAGACGGAGCCACAGGTCACACTTTTAACTTTCGGGAAAGGCCTAGTGGCCTTCGTGTCATTTCCGGTGTAATGGCAGCCACTGCCTGGGTGATTGCCTTCTTAAGTCCACAAAGAAAAAAATCACCGGGCAATAAATCGGGTGCCCTCAGCGTTCAGGCGATGCCTCCTAGCAAAGAGAGAAGACGTCCAGGAAATAACTCTCTCTCGAGATTGCTAGGCAGCGCCGCGAATTTTTAGGCTCGACGTCAACCACGAATATTCGTGTGGTCGTTTACGCTTAACCACCTCTCTCCTCCCTTGTCCCTAGTCGCTTCCTTAATTAAAGCATCGGAATAAGATATTTTATTAAAGGCTAGTTTTTTAGCCAATTAATTATAATAAATTAAATAATATGTTTATTCCAGATCGCTATTCATATTTTTAAACATAATATACATATTTTAATAATAAATAATAATCAACCAACTATCTAACCTACAGTATTGACCAATTTATCTGACTAAATGATTAAAAAAATAATCGTTAAAAGGCATTATGCGATTATTGTAGAGGGATCGATACGGTCTATAATATTGTACGGTTTATAATCGAAAATGATTCACGTAGATCTCTATTTCATAAATGTAGAAAACCGTCAACAAGAGAGGTGGGCTGAAAAAATTCTAAACACTGTATTTGTTTAACGCAAGCTCTATACCGATGACTAAAATATAATGTTTACAGTCTTTTTGAACGTGTAAGAAATTTCCACGTTAACGTTTACTGTACTATATTCGTTTATGTAAACAGTGGAAATGGAACGCACATCGAATCACACAAGTATTTTTCTAGAGTAAAAAAATTGTATTTTTGAGTTGTAACGCTTTGGCGAAAATAACAATACTTAATAAAAAAATTGTATTTACTTAAATGAAATCGATATCATTTTGCGAAGAAACACACTCACCGGTTTGCGAAATTATTTAAAAACCTCACTTTCTGACAACCATAATAATTCATACACGTATACTTGGGTGTTATAATTAATGAATCACCCTATATATATATATATATATACATACACCCCGTGGGATTCTAATGACCAGTGGACTTATTGGTTCGTGTTGGCCTAAATGAGACCCCTAATTTTTTGAAGATTTTCCACCCACTTTTGTTGTCGCCGCCATATTTTGCGATATTATTATTATATGCCGGCACTACTCTGTCTTACTACACTTCTGTAAAATTACTGAGCTGTGCAACAAAATAGAAAAGGTATATCTAGTAATTTTATAATATTGTAAAATAACACAAACCTAAGTGGCTCCAATTATTTAAACTACAAAAATGCAATTAGTTTAAGAGAAACTTGACTATCTTACCCTTAATGAATCTATAATCTTACACTTACAATGTTGGAAAAGCGCTATTTGTTATTTTGATTTATCGAAAATATGAGAATAACAAGTTCTGGTAATAAATTATAAGGTACACGTTTAATAATTATTTGTAATGGGTAAGTTGTATGGGTGAAAAGGATAACCCAAGCAGTTTAGTAAATTTCAAGTTATAGCGAATGAGGTGTTTCGAGTTGTGTGTCTGTTGGTTTGAAATGAAAAAAAAATCACAAAACCGTAAAAATGTACCTATTATTAGTGTCTACAAAATTATATTGTCTTATCCGTTATAAAAAGCTTTGTAACGATAGTGTGTTAAATATTAGGGCGAATACGATTAGGTTGATCGTCTGTCTATAACAACTTATCGACATTGTTGTTACCTATTTGTCATAATTATCAATTATCAATTTATTGAAAATATTTTCAAACACCCGTCGACTGTCGATTCATTACACTTTGCAACCTAGAAATTCACTACAGTCTAAATGTATTTCCCAATTTCTTTTTCTTTAACTGTAGAAAAGTTTGACTATGAAATGGGCGATTTTTTTAAATGTTTACTTGTTCACTTACTCACTTACTACTAATATTACTTACCACTACTACTCACTTACGTGCACAGTATTACACATACTGTGCTCGGTTTGGATTGTACTAGTCTGAATTTACTGTCCACAGATTAGCATCGAAGCGTTTATTTTAAAGTGGTTTTATTACTTTCTATCATAATAATTTATTTAGGACTTTGACCTCCCCGCCCCACTATGCTGTTATTTTTATTAAACAAATCAAAATTACTTAACTACAAAAGAATGTTATTCTGCAAAAAATAACTAGAAGTCATTGGTCTTTTTAAACGTTTATTTGAAATTATAATAGACAATTAATAATGATAAAAGTTGTATATATTTTTGAATTTATTTTACAATTTGAATAACATAATATTAAACGTAAACTGTTTACGTGGCTTTGTTGACAAATGTGGTAATTCGAGTTGTGTGTCTGTTGGGTTTCCAGATATACTAGTATATACTTGGTTTTATAGTACGAATTTGTTTTAATTTTATTGGAATCCGTTACGGATTGTACCTAAGACGGGTTTTTTTCTCCACAGGATCGTACTTAAAGCCAAAAGAGACTCTGTCGTAATTGCTTACATAAAATTTGACGATTTCGTGCAACTCTTTTACTATTTTATACACTACGTCGATGGGTGGATATGACTCTTCTAACAACCGAACGAGTCTTGTAGCTCTGGAAACACCGTTATTTTCTTCTTGCTGCAAAGCCAGTAAGCAATGATTGTTACAGAATCCACGCGAGCTCTGTAAGGCGACGACCATTGTACGGATACAATGGTATCCATTGGACGACCATTGTATCCGTGGCGCTCGCAACAGTTGCATCGTGATATTCTTTGTCGAGCGAGCCACGGTCGAAAGTCAAGCGGTCAAAGTAACTCTTGAAATCGTCCACGGCTTTGGACACGTCCGTATGGAACGCGGTCGCCGGCGACAGCTGGCAAACACACAAAAACATGCCTTGCAAGCGCGTCAGCAATTCGTCGACCATTTCCTTGATCATTTCCAAAAAACATGTCCACACAATTCGACGATCCGAGCGCGTCGTTAATTTGTACACACTGACGGGCCGCGCCCAGGCTGTATTCGTAAAACACTTTTAGCGTGTCGGCGTACCGACAGCTCAGAAACTGATGAGCTTGACGGACTTTGTCTTCCGCGTTGTCGTAATTGACTACTTGGCCGTACCTGTCGGTTTCCAGTATATCTTGCACTAGCAAAACACGCCTCTGCGCCCTCTCCATCGTTTCCGCCACTATGACGATACCGTTGGATTCGTCCAAAGCCCGCCAACCGGGAGAAGTTAAAATAGCGTTCATAGCGTTAACGCGGTGTATCGGATCCAATTCTGCCGTTGAAGCTTGCAAGTAATAAAACGTTAACAAAATACAGAAAATACGAAGTCCGGCTATCATTTTTGCACACGTCGATCACAACACTCACACAGTTGTCGGTTAGGTTAGGTAGGGAATGAAAACATTCGCAGAAAAACGTACACCGATAATTATTAAATCAAACAAAATAGACACGTATTATATGTTTCGCATAACGTCTGAAACAGCATATGTATTGAACATCTGCGATAACAAAGGGTTAAACAATTTTTTTTTTTTAATACACATAAATAGGAATCGCCGCTCTTAAATATTTGTTCAGATGTAACTTTGAAATTAAAAAAAAAAACACAAAACCGTAAACATATATCTATTAGTGTCTGAAGAGTATATTATTTTATCGATTATAAAAATCATTATAATAAATGCTTAAAATCGTGTGTTTAATATTAGGGTGGATACGATTAGGGTTGATCGTCTGTTCATAATACATTGCCAACGTTATTACCCATTTATCGTCATCATTAACAATTTATCGGAAATATTTTCAAATACCCGTTGACTGTCGATTCACTCACATTTAGCAACCTAGAAATTTACTATAGTCAAATTGTACTTTCTTCAATAATAAAAAAGTTTGACTACGGATATTAAGGAGTAAACTTTTTTTATTGTCGAGTAATTTAATATAGAATGATTTTTAAGGTTTTTTAATCTTTTTATTTTTATTCTACCTACTCAATATTGTTATTACCTTAAGAACTTGTATGGAATATTCTTTATAGTATTACCGATTAACATTGCCAAACCAATGGAAAAATAATAAACTCTTTCCCCTAGAAGGGATAAACTTTTTTTTTAGGTGAATTTATATAGCTCATGATCTTAAAACTATAAAGAAGGTATATATCTAGAGTAAATCTGAGGTCAAACCTTTTTATCAAGGTAAATCCCAAAAAAGGGGAAAATTACACTTTAACCGTAGTCAATTCACAGGTAGCTATGTGTGAGTGAATCAAAAGTCAACAGGTAATTGAAATATTACCTGTATATATGTATTACGATACATGGGTAACTATGGCAATACATTTTTAGTCAGTCGATCAACCCTATATGTATCCACCTTTATACAAAAAATAAAATGTTAAGCACATAATTATCGTTAGGTACAATACATTTATCGATATTCGTAGGTATTTGTTTCTGTGAACACCGGACCACCCTTTCTTACTAAATGACTTCTACAATTACTACTAATTACTAATGTTCCTCACTTACTTATATTATTTTTTTAATGCGCTGGTTTTTACTGTGCTTGGTTTGGACTGTCCTGGTTTGAACCTACCATCCAAGGATTCGCATGGAAGCTTTATTTAAAAGTGATTTTATCACTTTCAGTCAGAATAATTTCTGTAAACCTATGACCCATCCGTCTCCACTGTACTGGCTATTTCTTTTATATTGAACAAATCAAAATTACCAAACTATTAAATAATATTGGTCTACAAAAAATATCTAGAAGATTTTGGTTTTTTTTAAACATATATTAAAATTATAATAGCCAATTAATAATGATAAAATTGCATTTCAAACTTTTATATATTTTGTGTTTAATTAATTTTTTTTTTTTACAAATTGAATAACATTAAACGAATAACAGTTGTAGCTTTGTGGCCGAATGAGTAATTTCAAATTGTGTATTAGTGTGTGATTTCCAATTACGCTGGACCGATACTCGGTTTTGTAATAAGAATTTGTTTAAACTTTTTGAACTAGTTACGGATTGTACCTAATACGGGTTGTTTTCTCAACAGGATCGTACTTAAAGCCAAAAGAGACTTTGTCGTAATTGCTGACATAAAATTTGACGATTTCATAGCGTGAACGCGATATACCGGATCCAATTCCGCTGTTGAAGTTTGCAAGTAAAACGTTAACAAAATATGAAAAATATGACGTCCGGCTATCATTTTTCACACTAAAAAGTTCACAAAGTTGTATACAAGGTTGACCGAATTGGCTGAAAATTATCGCAGAAAAATGTACACGGTTAATTAGGACTAATCGAAGAAAATCGACACGTATTTTATTCTTATTGGGTAATTAATAATTTAAAAAGTGGAGTAACATTTAAAATTATTGGCCCAAATATTACCTTACAGACAAAACAAATGTTATCTACCAGTTGTACAAATTAATCTGTACACACATTGACGAGGTTGAAATTAATTAAAGCCCCTTTTTTTTCTTAAACATAGCCTACATAAAACTCTTTAAAAACGGTCAGCCCATCGGGGCTTCCAGCTAATTTCAATAGTCCAGTTGAGTAACGATAACAATAGTTATAATATTTTATTCAAACAAACATAAAACGGACATGCTGCTCGTAAATATTTGTTCAGATGTTGCTTTGGAATAAAAAAAAACACTAAAACCGTTAAAATGTACCTATTAGGATTAATCATTAAAAAAACATTATAATGTTAATAATGTGTTTAATATTAGGGTGGATACGATTAGGTTGATCTAAACGTATCCACCCTATTACTAAAAATTAATTATTAAGCACAAAATTGTCATTAGATACAATGCTCTTATAGATATCTTAATTTTATCTGTAAACAATGGACTTCCCTTAATTACTACAACTACTACTTGTTTGTACTTAATTATTACTAACTGGTTTGTACTTTGTACTGTGGTTGGTTTGGACTGACTGGTTTGAACATACTGTCGACGGATTTGCATAGAACCGTTTATTAATTAGTGATTTTATCACTTTCAGTTAGAATAATTTCTGTAGACCTATGACCTCCAAGTACTTATTATGCCTCGATTCTACTGTACTGAATTAAACAAATCAAAAAAAGACTACTAAATAATATTATTCTACAATTTTAACGGTTTTTTTTTTTAATCGTATACTCAAATTATAATAGCCAATTAATAATAATAAAACGGAATTTTATAACTGTATATATTTTGTAATTTTATAAAATGTATTTAACAATTTTAATAACATATTAATATTAAACGAATAACTGTTGTAGCTTTGTTGGCGAATAATGTGTGTCTGGTGGATTTCCAATCACTGTGGACAGATACTTCCTTATTTAGTGAGAATTTGTTTAAATTATCTTGGAATTCGTTACGGGTTATAATTGATACGGGTTGTTTTCTCTACAGGATCATACTTAAAGCCAAGAGACACGTCGTCGTAATTTTTCACATACCATTTGACGATTTTGTGCACACTGCTTTTGATTTTCGTCATAATTCCGATGGGCCCGTGTGATCTTTCTAACGTCTGGATGTTACCCGTCACTATGGCAATAGCGTCGGCTCGGCCGTGCCGCGAAGCCGTCGTGCAAAAATTGTCAAAGTACCTACGCAGGCTTTGCAAAGCGTCGGCCATCGTGTCCGAGGTATTTGCAATTATCGATTTGTGGTATTCTCTGTCGAGCGAGCCGCCGACGAAAGTCAAGTGGTCGTGGTAACTCTTGAAATCGTCCACGGCTTTGGACACGTCCGTGTGGAACGCGGTCGCCGGCGACAGCTGGCAAACACACGAAAACATGCCTTGCAAGCGCGTCAGCAATTCGTCGACCATTTCCTTGATCATTTCCAAAAACATGTCCACACAATTCAACGATCCGAGGGCGTCGTTGATTTTTCCACACTGACGGGCCGCGCCCAGGCTGTATTCGTAGAACACTTTTAGCGTGTCGGCGTACCGACAGCTCAGAAACTGATGAGCTTGACGGACTTTGTCTTCCGCGTTGTCGTAATTGACTACTTGGCCGTACCTGTCGGTTTCCAGTATGTCTTGCACTAGCAAAACACGCCTCTGCGCCCTCTCCATCGTTTCCACCACTATGGCGATACCGTTGGATTCGTCCAAAGCCCGCCAACCGGGAGAAGTTAAAATAGCGTTCATAGCGTTAACGCGGTGTGTCGGATCCAATTCTGCCGTTGAAGCTTGCAAGTAATAAAACGTTAACAAAATGTAAAAAATACGACGTCCGGCTATCATTTTTACACACGTCGTTCACAAAACTCACAAAGTTAACGGTCTTGACTGTAAACCGTCGTAGTAAAACGTACACCGATGATTATTATTAATCGAAGAATATCGACACGTATTATATACGTACAAGCCGTCTGGAATACCATATGTATCGATGAACACCTGCGATAACAATAGGGTTAAAATGTTTTTTTTTTAAATAAACATAAATCGGAATTGCCGCTCATGAATATTTATTCAGATGTAACTTTGAAATTAAATAAAAACACAAAACCGTAAATATATTACCTATTAGTGTCTGCAGAGTTTGTTATTTTATCGATTTAAAAAATCATTATAATGATAATAATGTGCTTAAAATCGTGTGTTTAATATTGGGATGGATACGATTAGGGTTGATCGTCTATCCATAATAATTTGTCAACGTTATTACCCATTTGACATGAAAATTAACAGATAATTAAAATTATTCGAATAGGATAATCCTGGGATTGATTCGCACCGAAGCTTTATTTAAAAGTGATTTTATCACTTTCAGTCATAATGATTTCTGTAAAACTATGACCCATCCGTCTCCACTGTACTGGCTATTTATTTTATATTGAACAAATCAAAATTACTAAACTATTTAATATTATTAGGCTACTGTTATTGCTGTTTAATTGTTGAGCCGAATGTTTTTTGTTAATAAAGGCTATTAAAAAAAAATATATTTGTGTACAAAAAAAAAACTAGAAGTTTTTTTAATAATATATTTGAATTATAATAGCCAATAAATAATGATAAAATTGCATTTTAAATTTGTAAACATTATGTAATTTATTGAATTTATTTTACAATTTTTTTAAACATAATATTAAACGTAAACTGTTGTGGCTTTGTTGACAACTGTGGTGTTTCGAGTTGTGTGTCTGTTGGATTTCCAATTGTGCTAGATATATACCTGGTTTAACCGTACTTATATTATTTTTTTAATGTGCTGGTTTTTACTGTGCTTGGTTTGGACTGTCCTGGTTTGAACCTACCATCCAAGGATTCGCACGGAAGCTTTATTTAAAAGTGATTTTATCACTTTTAGTCATAATAATTTCTGTAAACCTACAGAAATACATAATAATTTCTGTAATCCATCCCCACATGTCTTGACCCCACTGTACTGGCTATTTATTTTATATTGAACAAATCAAAATAACCAAACTATTAAATAATATTGGTCTGCAAAAAATATCTAGAAGATTTTGGTTTTTTTTTTAAACATATATTAAAATTATAATAGCCAATTAATAATGATAAAATTGCATTTCAAACTTTTATATATTTTGTGTTTAATTCATTTTTTTTTTTACAAATTGAATAACATTATGTTAACGAATAACAATTGTAGCTTTGTTGCCGAATGAGTAATTTCAAATTGTGTATTAGTGTGTGATTTCCAATTACGCTGGACCGATACTCGGTTTTGTAATAAGAATTTGTTTAAACTTTCTTGGAACTAGTTACGGATTGTACCTAATACGGGTTGTTTTCTCAACAGGATCGTACTTAAAGCCAAAAGAGACTTTGTCGTAATTGCTGACATATCATTTTTATCACAACGTTTACACAAAGTTGACCGACAATTGGCTGTAAAAGTATCGCGATAAAATGTATACCGTTAATTATGACTAGTCGAGGAAAATCGACACGTATTTTATTCTTGTTGGGTAAGTACAAACATATAAGTTATCGAACACTGACGATAAAAAATAGGTTTTAATTATTTTTTCAAACAAACATAAAATTAGACTCGCTGTTTGTGAATATTTGTTCAGATGTTGCTTTAGAATAAAAAAAAAAATCACAAAATGTAAAAATGTACCTATTAGTGTTAATTATTTAAAAAGCGGGTTGATGATAATAATGTGCTTAAAATCGTGTGTTTAATACTTAGGGTGGATACGATATGGGTTGATCGTCTGTTCATAATAATTTGCCGACGTTGTTACCGCTATTTGCCATAACTGACGATTTATTGAATATATATTTTAATACCTGTTGACTGTCGATTCTCTCACACTGCACTTAGAAATGATTGTCAAAGTGTATTATCCCATTTTTTTTTCTCCGATAATCAAGACGTTTGACTACGGATTTTAAGGGGTAAACTCTTAAATAAATAAATTAAAATAGAGTGACTTTTTTTTATTACTACCTTAAGAATTTGTGTGGAATATTCTTTTAACACATAGTATTACCGATTAACATTTCCAAAACAAAGAAAAAATAATAAATCTTATCTCCTACATGGGACAGACTTCTTTTTAGACGGAGTTTTATGGTCTTAAAATTAGACAGAAGGTTTATCCTGCGCGGGGCTGTAATATCTTCAATATTATTAAAAATCTGAAGTCAAACTAATATTTTTTTTATCGTGGTAAACCAAAAAACGGGAAACGTTTTAGGATCTTTGTCGAAAATCATACAATACGGCAATATTAACACTGTATTCAATTTTGGTCGAGTAAGTTTGCAAGTAAGTCTGTCGGAGAGATCCGTTCCAACGGTGGCCGATGACTACTTCTTGGGCCTTGGGAACGCCGCAATGTTTGGTTGACCGGCGTTCCTAAGGCAACACAATTAGCATGCGAGTCTAATGCGTCTAATGGTCAGAAACGGCGACCGGATTCTCGCGCTTCTTTCCATTTCCAACAGGGCCCCGAATCCTCGCCAACGTCGTTTTACCATACAGGTCAGTACATTATTATTATTATGATGATGATTAATTATTGTGAACCCGGCTTTATCCGTGTATTTATTTATTTATTTTTTTATAGTTTATTTGAGTGTTAAGTGTTTTTCGTTCTCACGCGGCGCAGCTCCGAAACTTTATTCTAAAAAAAAAACGATTATAATAATAAACTTTTTACAACGCGGCAATCGCTACACGGTGGGTTTTTTGGTTTTTTTTTTTTTTACAAGATTTACTTTTTTAATATCGCACATTATTACTGTTGTACGGCGCGCGTTTGCATATTTTTTTTAATTTTACCCGGACCGACAGCGTTATGACGGGGCCAAATGTACCTTACATACACATTTTTTTTACCATTATCGTGACTGAACCCTCTATGAAGCTCTATGAAAGGTACAAAAATAAAATAATAAAATTATTATTGTACGAAAGTTGTAAAACTTTTCCGCCCCTCGTTAAAATATATAGGTTACGCGAGAGTTGTTACTTGTTTGTGTTCTACTTAGCTACATTAATTACATAGTTTTAATACTGTATATGTATGTATATAAATATATTTATAGGATTTACCGCGTTTTCTGGTTAATTGGAAAATATTTTACCGTTTAAAGATATTTACTCCGGCCGCGTGCACATGGAATTACATTGGAAGTTGATATTAGTCACCTTTTAATCTATTTTTTTTTAAATTTATTTAAATTTGTTAGTTAAATAAATCATAATTAGCTTAACGAGTAATGCATTCTATGTACTAGAAGCATCTAATTAATAGTTGTTAACATTTTTATCAAGTGAACGTCACACATAATATAACGTATTAAGGCGTCGATATAAAAAATTGTGTGTGAAAACTTTTAATTTAGAGCTAAAATGAATTTGTTTTTTTAATTTTTTTTATACGGTTCCACAGCTTTTGTTAATGATAATTTTTTAAGAAACAGCTTCATGCTTTCCCAAAAATTCAATTAGAAAAAATTGTCTTATCTTTTTGAAAATACTGAAGCTTAAACTGTGTCCTCTCAAGGTTAGGTTAGGTTAGGTTTTTAAAAATGAATTTAAAAAACTCAAGTCATTAATCAAGTGTTGAAAAATAATTAGAAAAGTTTTTTAACGTTAAAACATATTAGTTAGAAATAATATTTTATTAATCATATATATTTATATTAAATATTTATACACTTGGTTTCTAAATATAATTTGACATACCTAAAAAAATAATAGCCTTTAAATTTTATATTATGGGGAAACATGTTTTCTTTATTTATATATATATATATAGTTGAGTAGAACGTTATCAGAAGAAAATACTATGTAATGTAGAAATGTATACAATAGTAACGTCCATCGCAATGTTATTAGCTATTAGTTATTACTATGTTTTTATGGGTATTGTTTAGGCTTTGACTATGGCATTCCTAGGTATCAACAATGCCGTAGGACATGATCGATTTGACCCTTAAGAACGAAATCCAAGATTTCTATATCAAGTGTGATTGTATTGAATTACATAATAAGTCAATATATTATATTATAAAATATACGTTTACCTATTCATATCGGTGTTATAGATACTCCACCGATATAGACCTACGTGGTATTGAAATTCTATACATTTACACAAGAATAATCAATAGAAATGAAAAACTGAAAAAAACATATTTTATGTGTACATTGATTTTAATTTATGGAAAAAAAATATTAAACGCAGCAAACCGTATAAATAATTCTACCACTTGAATTACTTAAAAACGGCCGACTCAGTTACTCTGATGAAATAAATAATATTAAAAAATTAGCTATTTGGTCTGGTTAAAAACATAATAATATAGTTAAGACAAATTTTGAACATTTAAAAATCCTTAACCTATATAGGTAATAGATATAATATTAATTAAAAACAATTGTAAAACTATAGCACCTGACGGGTAGGCAGGTATTTCCAACAAATGATAAATAATATTTGTAATTTAATGAAAGTGCGTCGAATTAAGTTATGTTCTGTAGTAAACTAATAAATAGTAATGAAAATAAAATTGCACAAAATATGCTTACAACAAAATAACAAACATGGATAAACCCGTTTAAATAATGGTCAGGTATAAGTAAAATAATAATGTATTGCTTAAAAACAAATTAGAAGGTCAAAAAGTTAATTTAAAAGGGTTAAAGAAAATAAATTTACTCATAAATACAACTGCATGTTCGTCGGGTGGTCTTTATGTCAAATAAGGGTTTTATGCTTCACAAACCTTAATTACTATTTGCATATTTTATTGTGTCTAGACAATAAAATATACGTCGTGAATTCAAATTAACTTAAAATTACAAAAGAGGGAAGGTAGTGTTTGATTTCGATTGATAATGTCCAAAATTAATATATGTACACCGTACATTAGGATTTATTATAAAATTGGATTTGACATTATAATTTATAATTTAAATTTTAGTCTTAGAAAACAAACAAAAAAATTCAAGTAAATTACAATACTACCGTTTTACATAATATATATATACCGTCAGATATTAAAAAAAAATACCTGTAATTAATACTTAAGCGCGATCTCAGAGAGGATGGGGGGGGGGTGCACTATGCTTAGTAACTTTACCTCCCCTTGAACGCTTTTTTCTTTAAAGTTTTTAAAATATTACAAATTAGTTTTCTCGAATCTATCATCTTTGCGAATTAATCGTTGTTAATTTAGACATTTGAAAAGCCAGCTGGGTGGAGTTGAGGCATAGTGAGATCACTAATAAAAAACCACTTCGATGTGAATTTTTAGATGGTTAAAAGGTTAAACATCATATAACTATTACTAACAGACAATTATAGTATTTATAGTAGAATTATACTTTTTTTTTAGTTTCTCCTCGATAAAAAAAATGTTTGCATTTTTGACATTATTACAAGTAAATGTACTCACCTGTCCAAAAACTTTTTCTAAAAAAATAAATAAATAAATAATTCTATCCCGTCTAGGGCAATGGCCAGCCAACTATAATGTTTTTAGTTTTTGACTGTATGTTCTATACTACGATTTAAAATGGGAATATACTTATAGTCTTATCAAGCACCGCTTTGGTGTATGTTTTTTGACCTAAAGAGCTATTTGATGTTTCAAATATAGTTTATGTTGATTTTTTTTCATGTTTATCGAGCAAAAAATGATTCAATTAATTTCCTAACTTCTCTGGAATTCTTTAGGAATGCTATTCAAACGTTAATCCATTGTGCAACAAAACCAAAACCTTTCACTTCCTCTTCATTTGTCTGAAGGAAAATGTCTGAAATTTTTTTTCATTAAATACAAGGTAAATAACTGTTTAAACTCGTCCAAGGGCAACGAATATATTTAATTAACTTTTTAAATTATGAATGATTTTCTGAAAATGTTGACTGGTCGATAACCAGTTTTGTAGAATTACTTTTAATGGTATTAAAAGTTTAAAATTTAGGACGGAAGGAAAGGCGGAGAGTAGTATAGTTTTTATAAGCTCGCATTTCTCTACCGCACCACTCTTCCCGCCCTAAATTCAAATCCAATACTGGTTATCGACCAGTCAAAACGTTAAGTAAATTATTCTCAATTTACAATAGTTAATTAAATATGTACGTTACAGATTAAATTTTAAAAATTGATAGAGCTCTGAAACAAAAAAAAAAATATAAACATTTGAAAATTATCTAATGTTCTAAAACAACATGAACTGAAGGGTTGTCCAAAATTAAAAAAATTACAGAACTGCCATAATTGTTTTGAGAAAAGGAGTGTGTTATCTTTAACGAATCGCCTTGTGTTCTGGAGGCTTTTTTATTTTTTATAGTTGACTAAGTATGAAAAATTAAATATTTTAGTAGATTTCTATATTGTACATTTCGGGCGGTGCACTTAATGGCTGAACCGTCGATTGCCGGCCATCTACCCGACACTAGCCCGGTGGTTCCGTACATATTTTACCGCGCTTCCCTCGCAAGTGATGGCTGCAAATTGCGCCGTCGTCGTTGTCGGAAACTCGAAAATCGCGTTCGGCACGAATTTCGGAACAAACGGCGAGAAAAAAAAAAAAAAAGAAATAAAAGAGTAAACAAATAATACAAAAAAACCAACACGAGCTTTGCACGAGCGTATTAGGTACATATATACACAGGTATAGAGGTACGTTTTGTTTTTAAAACGCTCGGAACAGGAAGCTATTTATCGGGGAGTTATATTGTATGTTATATATGTGGCGGCCGGCGTGTGTTTTATTTTATAGCCGAAGAAATTATAAAGAGCTCCCTTAAAAAACACTCACCCCGGAAGAGGCGAGGGGTGTTAGACAGAGTGGACGGTGCCCCGAGGGTCTAACGACCGGTAGTCACGTGAATACGGGGGTATTTTCGTATATTACCCATGGACACGGGTCAAAGGCTTCGGCCGTTCCGTGACCTCGTTTCCAGACACTATGTCCGTCGACTGTCACATTTGCATATTTTATCGAACCGAAAGTGTTTCAACACACACACACACACACACACACGGTGTATGTATTATTATACCGTGTACCTGTATACAACAATACGTGCACACCCGCGCACTGCACAACTAAGAAATCTCGGGTTAAACGACCTACAAAAAAGCGATTCGCGGTCCAACGACTTTTTAATGTTTTTGTTTTTTTGTTTTTTTTTAATTTCGTCGTTATTAATTTTCTCGGGACACCGCGTTAATAGGTATGACGTAAGAGAACGGAGCGTGTTCGTACGCGGTCGTGTTTCCACGGTAATAATAATATTATGTTATAATAACGGTATTTCGAGTAGACTACGGTCAATTTGTTTATATGTAACATATGCATAATAATATGTTATTGGGGTGGATACGAGCAATTTCATCATGTCGCCATTTTCGCGTTACGCTGAGATACAAGTGACACGAGTCGAGTGACGAGATACTAGATTTAAGACACGAGAGATAACAGAAAAGAGATAAATGATGATATAAGTGATACACGATAAGAGATTAGACATCCAAAGAGGAGGTAATGTAGGAGGGAACTAATTTTCCTATCTCTCTTGATCTCCCTCCAAACATGCTTGAAGCGATACGAAAGCTTATGGGTTTTTAATTTAATTACTTGGTCAATAGGTTTTTTGACATGAACGTGTCTTAGAATTTTATCTCCAAGTACCGGATTCAATGTCTTTGATTCAAGGGAAACATTAATTTATTTTTTTATTTTTTTAGGTGCAATGAGGTATGGCATGTTTTCGGCGAAAGTTGTACAACTAGATGGGTGTCCTGGGAACGGTCGTGGCCGTCGGTCTGCTGGTGACCGCGACGGATATCATTATGACAATGGTAGCCTGCAATTATCCGGTGTTCGAGGGTGCCGCCGAACTCAGGGACTTAATGATCCCGGCCGGTGTGCACGTCGGTTCTCTAATTTACCGGCTTAGGGCTTCTGACCACGACAAGGACTATCCGCTCTATTTCCAAGCCACCGGTACACATTACATGGAATATAGAAAGAGTTCAGTTGACACGCGAACATAGACTTGGGGGCAAAATTACTTTAAGAGGACCCCGTTTTACTGACCTCTCTCTCTCTCTCTCTCTCTCTAAGATATAATTATTCAAACGTGATTTGCATTTATATATATATATTGTTATTTCATTAGATTTCGGTAGCTACGTGGTGAAGATTGAAAATCTTCCATGTTCGCCAAACAGTACATCGGGTTGTCAAGCGGACGTTTACTTAGACCGAGCAATCATACCTGGTCAGACGTTCCAGTTTCGGATCACGGTAAGAGATACAAGAGGGGACACTACCACTGTACCTGTTCGGCTTGTGGCTACCGAGGCACGGAGCGACATCGAAACTATATTTCCTCACATTCCGGCCATTATAATTGTCCCAGAGGTAAAGACCGGAATTCAATGGTTTTTATTTTCACCGCATAACGTGTGTGTTGATATTTTTGTGCACAGGACGTCAAAGTGGGAACCGAGTTAGAATATGTGATAGTTAGAAAAAATTTGGAATTGCGGAAATCTGCTGGGATCGAATTGAGAGTAAGAAACAGACACAATTCCCTGTAAAATCACAATGACACGGTTTTAAGTGTTTATACGTTGAACGTTTATTCTTTGAGTATTTTTTTAAAAATAATTAAGTATTCCTAAACTGGTTATTGCCCAGTCATAATGTTTAGTAAATCGTTCTTTATTTAAACGTTCAATAAAATATATGCGTTATCATTTAAGTTTCAAAAGTCGGTGAGATCTTTTATAATTGTCTAATATTGCAAAACAACATAACTAAAGTGTCTCCAAACCTTTGAAATTACAATTATTTCAAAAAGAAAATGAGTGTATTACCGTCAAGGGGAACGGAAAATGCCTAATTTTATACAAATAAAGAATAAACCGCAAAGTCACTTTCTGTCTACCGAACAAATTAAAAAAAGAAAATGTATTATCAAGTTGAACATATTCTTTTTGGGGCTAAAAGGCTGTTTTTATTATAAACGTTTATATTTTCCTTTAGTGAATTTTAATTAATTTCCCAATAGCTAAATCATAAATAGACCCTTTTATACCTCATAGAGAAAATAGTAAGCTTCAAACCAAATAAAATGGAAATCCGTCCAACAGATATGCCGGAAACTCACTTCTACGAAAGACATATTTTATCGAACGTTCGCCATAACTCGAAGAGAAACAATTTTAAAAGTCTTACAATTAGAAAAACTCAATAGTTTTTCACCTTAAGAATATTCGAAACGGTCGCTCGATTCGTTTTTATCACAATATTTTGCCTATCCTTTGCTCCTTAGCGCGAACCACCCTGTATGCACTTGTGTCTTTGTGTGTGTCCCTCAGGGATCTCCCGAGTTGACCGTCGGCCGACTCCGCATGAACAAGGAGACCACCACCGGTACGATATCCGTGGCGCAACCGCTTGACTTTGAGACCAGGAACATGTACAGACTCCAAATGGTCGCGTTGGACATGTACGTGGAGACCGGCAAAGATTCCAGAAACGCCGCGGCGTTCGAGGTCATCGTGGTCGTGGAAGACGTCCAGGACACGCCGCCGATATTTACCCGGCTGGAAACAATAGTGCATCTGCATAACAACGTGTCCATTGTGAGGCCATTACTTTTTATTATTATTTTTTTTAATACACATAAGTATAGTATACACGTATTGTATTGGCGCGATTGTAGAAATCGAATTTGATTATATTGTATACAGGGTGACCCCGTACGATGAAAGACATACATTTTCTAGGGAAATATTTTGAAAAGTATATTTTTCCTATACTCGTGGGTAGGTGATATTTTGACTATTTTTTCAATAATTTGTGAATATTTTTATCTTCACCCCTTATGCGTAAAACAAGTGAGGATCTCGTTTTTTTTTTTCAAATGGGAGCACAATATGTTTTTAATTCAATAAATATGGAGATAAAGATCTAAAAAAAAAAGTATTGGTAGCCGTTGAACTTAAATTTAATTTAAAATTTTATCAATCCCTTTGTTTGCTTTGACTTGGTATATATATATTAAATTTCCTCATATATGTTCGGTTGTCCATAAAACAGTAATCGTCATCGTGTTTAAATAAGATATGAACCGATTGTCTATCATTATCTCAAAACATTTTAATAGTTTTATTTTATTACCTTATTGTGAACACAAATATGGATTTTATGTGTTACTGAGTTTTGAACAACTGAAGAAATATGATAATAATTATAATGGGAAATATAATATCTACACCAAGTCATAGGTCTCATAGCAAACGAACAGACTGATACAAATTTAAAAAAAAACTGAAACTAATAGCTAATATTTTTTTTAAATGTTTTGTCTACATAATTATAGAGTTCAAAATATATGCTCCCATTAAAAAAAAAAGTACATACTTGTTTACATGATAAAAATGTTCAAATTATTGAAAAATATAGTAAAATATATAGCTACGAGTATAGAATAAAACTAGTTTCCAAAATTTCATATTTCCCGAGACAATGAGTGTCTTACATCAGATGGATCACCCTGTATATAAATGCGCGCGCAACGGATTGAAACAAACATATTCTGACTTCTTGTAGTTTATGTAGTGTAATATGTAGCTGTAACTGAAGAAAAAATCGAGTGGATGTAATACAATATTGAGGACAAAAAAACCCTAATAAAAATGTTCGGTTGGCATGATAAATTGCAGTTGTTTAATAAGATTCGTACTACTTGAACGGGTCCACGTGAATGACAACATCGCAAATTTTGCTTCTTCTTCGGATTTCTCAAAAACCGCATACACACTATAAACCATTCATATTTGCTCAATTTTTGGCTCTCGACTTGTTGTGTTTTTGTGTAAACCGCATACATAAATGTCTGACGTTATTGATAAAAAATTGTTTTCACGTTCTTAGTAATAACTCTAAAACGCTTTATAGTTAATCCATATCTCAAATGTCACCAGGGAGGTTTAAAGTTTAACCTACTTATGCCAATTAAACAGTTATGGCTTAACTCTTATGGTCAATACTCGTATCCTGATAAAATAAACTATTTCCTAGTTATTGCTCTGAAAATATAAAATTAGTTTTACAGATATTTATTAATTGCTCGTGAGATAATAATAAATTATAATACACGCAGAAATTAAATTAAATACTGAATGGAAATATTATTGCGGATAAAATAAGTATGTTGTTGCTGGTTAGTGGTGTGTCGAAATATAAAGGCGACTGGCCAAGACAATGGTAGATATATTTTGATATTGGTATTCGATAGTTGTAGAGAAGAATATTTTGCATTGAGAATTCTGCGAATCAAGTGCATACATATTGTAATATGTAAAATAGGATGAGAGGATGAGTTGTTTAAATCAATGAAAACAATCGATTCAATGTAATTCCTACTCTTAATAATAGATATTGTGAAATCATTATTTTTAATTATAGTATAAAAAGAGGCCGTTGAAAGTAATAATTAAATGTAATGAATTCAAATAATATATAGTAGGTACGCGTCAGAGTATAATTAATTCTTAAGGTAGTAATAATATTGAGTAGGTAGAATAACAAAAAAAAAACATTGAATCGATTTATTCGTGTAGCGTATCTATAGATAAAAAATCATAACTGAATGGTACTATACACTGTAATACTATATAGTGTATGTACAAATACTCGAAAATTTAAAAAGTTTGCCCCTCAAAATCCGTAGTCAAATAATTATTACAAGATAACAAAAAAACAAAATAGAAAATACACTATGACTGAAGTAAATTTCTAGGTTGTTATGTGTGAGTGAATCGACTGTCAACGGGTATTTGAAAATATTGTTAAATGGTTAACAACAAAGTCGATAAGTTATTACGGACAGACGATCAACTCCAATCGTATCCACCGTAATATTAAACACACAAGGTAATCAGGCACATTGTTATCATTAAAATGCTTTTTAAAATCGATAAAATAATATCCTTTTCAGACACTCATAGGTATATTTATACGGTATTGTGATTTTTTTTTTAATTTTCAAAACATACATCTAAATAAATATTTACGAGCAGCGATTATCAGTAATCGACCAATTTGTGAGCGTTGTAAAAATGATAGCCGGACGTCATATTTTTTATTTGTCAACGTTCTACTTGCAAGCATCGACAGCAGAATTGGATCCGACACACCGCGTTAACGCTATGAACCATATTTTAACTTATCCCGGTTGGCGGGCTTTGATCGAACCCAACGGTCTCGCCATAGTGGTGGAGGAATGGATGGAACGGGCGGAAACCCGTGTATTGCATGTGCAAGATATACTGAAAACCGACAGGTACGGCCAAGTAGTCAATTACGACAACGCGAAAGACAAAGTCCGTCAAGCTCATCAGCTTCTGAGCTGTCGGTATGGCCACGCGCTGAAAGTGTGTTACGATTACAGCATAGGCGCAGCCCGTCAGTGTGGAAAAATCAACGATGCCCTCGGATCGTCCAATTGTGTCAGTATCTTTATGGATATGATCAAAGAAATCGATGAACTTATGTCGCGCTTGCGAGGCCTGTTTAAGTGTATTCAACAGCTGTCGCCAACAACAAAGTTCGACACGGACGTGCCAAAAGCCGTGGACGATTTCAAGAGTTACTACGACAAATTGACATTCGTCAGTGGTTCGCTCGACAAAGAACATCACAAATCGATAATTGCAAGCACCTCGGATATGATGTCCGTCGCCCTGCAGAGCTTGCGGAAGTTCTATGACAGTTTTTGCAGACCGCCTTCGCAGGAAAACAATGGTATTTCAATAGCTACGGATAACGTCAGGAAGTTAGAAGGATCACGTCCGCCTATCGAGTTAATGTATAAAATAAAAAGACTCTTACACAAAATCGTCGAATGGTATGTAAGCAATTACGACAAGGTCTCATTTGGATTTAAGTATGATCCGTAACGAATTTCAAGGAAATTTAAACAATTTCTTACTATAAAACCTAGTATACGTCTAACATAATTGGAAACCTAACAGACACACAACTCGAAACGCCTCATTCGCCAACAAATCAACAACAGTTAACATTATGTTATTCAAATTGTAAAATACATATTATAAAATTACAAAACAAATATACAACTCCAAGTCTCTAAAGTTATTCTATTTAATCATTACTAATTGGATATTTCAATTCAAATATATGATTAAAAAAACAAAAAACTTCTAGTTATTTTTTGTCGACTAAAATTATTGAATAGTTTTTGTAATTTTGATTTGTTTAATATAAAAGAAATAGCCAGTACAGTGGGGCCAAGACATGTGGGAATGGATGGGTCATAAGTTTACAGAAATTATTACGTCTGAAAGTAATAAAATAACTTTTAAATAAAGCTTCGATGCGAATCCTTGGATAGTAGGTTCAAACCAGTACAGTCCAAACACAGCAAAGCAAACCCAGCACAGTAAGAAAATAATAAAAGTCAGTGAGTAACATAAGTTAGTAGTAGTAATAGTAGAAACTAGAAGTCATTGAGTAAGTAACGTCGTTAAGTTATTACAGACAGACGATGAACCCTAATCGCATTCACCCTAATATTAAACAAACGATTTAAAACACATTATTACCATTACGTACAGTGCTTTTTATAATCGATAAAGTAATATACTTTTCAGACAATAATAGGTATATTTTTACGGTATTTTTTTTTTTATTGCAAAGAAACATCTGAATAAATATGCACGAGCAGCGATTCAAATTTAGTTTGTTTGAAAGAATAATTATAACCTATTGTTATCGTCAGTGTTAGATATTTTATACGTTTGTACTTACCCAATAAGAATAACATACGTGTATAAATTCTTCGATTAGTCATATTTAAGGGTATGCGTTATTCTGCGATGATTTTACTAGTCTAGTTCAGCAAATTTGTGAACGTTGTGATCGAAGTGTGTAAAAAAAATGATAGTCGGACTTGATATTTTCTATATTTTGTTAGCGTTTTACTTGCAAGCTTCAACGGCAGAATTGGATCCGACACACCGCGTTAACGCTATGAACGCTATTTTAACTTCTACCGGTTGGCGGGCTTTGAATGATCCCAACGGTATCGCCATAGTATTCGAATCGATGGACGGAGCGCAAAATCGTGTTTTGCCAGTGCAAGACATACTGAAAACCGACGAGTACGGCCAAATAGTCAACTACGACAACGCGGAAGACAAAGTCCGTCAAGTTCATCAGCTTCTGAGCTGTCGGTACGGCAACGGGCTAAAAGTGTTTTACGAATACAGCCTGGGCGCTGCCCGCCAGTGTGTAAAAATAAACGATACCCTTAGATCGTTGAACTGTGTAGACAACTTGTTGGAAATGATCAAGGAAATGGTCGACGAACTGCTGTCGCGCTTGCAAGGCATGTTTTCGTGTATTTGTCAGCTGTCGCCGGCGACCGCGTTCCATACGGACGTGTCCGATGCCGTGGACGATTTCAAGAGTTACCGCGACCACTTGACTTTCGCCGGCGGCTCGCTCGACAGAGAATACCACAAATCGATAATTGCAACTACCTCGGATATGATGTCCGACGCGCTGCAAAGCTTGCGTAGGTTCTACGACAAATTTTGCCTACCAGCTCCGCAAGACGATCAAGACAACCGTGTTTACACAGTTTCGGGTAAGATCCGGATATTAGAAAGATCACGCGGGCCCATCGAGTTAATGCATAAAATAAAAAAACGTGTGCACAAAATCGTCGAATGGTATGTAAAAATTACGACGAGGTTTCTATTGGCTTCAAGTATGATCCTGTACAGCAAAAAACCCGTATCATGAATAACCAGCAGTGAATTCAAAGGAAATTTAACCAAACTCATACGAAATAAACAAGCATACTCCAGCATGATTGGAAATCCACTAGACACACATCTCGAAACACATTTTTCGCCAACAACGCTACAACAGTTATTCGTTTATCAATATGTTATTCAAATTGTAAAATACATTTTTTAAAATTACAAAATATATAAGAACTATTATAAAGTTTCATCTTATTATTATTAATTGGCTATTATAATAAAGTAAGAAAGTACTGCACGTAAGTTAGGAGTAGTTGTAGTAGTTAAGGGAGGTCCAGTGTTCACAGATAAAAATCAATATATCTATAAAATGAAAACCTAATGATAATATCGTTTGCTTAAAAATTAATTTTCTCTATGAGTATAAGTTTAGGTTTCACTGTCTATTAACATGTATTGCGATTATTATCCATACATCGTAATAAAAAATAAAATGAAAATTGGTTTATTATTTGTTGACTTTTTATTCACTCACACGTAGCAACCTAGAAATTGACTGCGGTAAGTGTAATTTTTATTTCTCATTTTTTTTGGTTTGCCTTAATAAAAAATAATTTTGACAACAGATTTTTAAGAAATTTGAATATGTTATTTACTCATAAAATATATTTCATAGCGTCGAGGTACCCAACAAGTATATTGGTTTATTTGTATATCGTCAACCATTGCAGCTGTACTCAGTATTGCAAAACGAAATATTGTCGTCAAACGTATAGTTTAATAACTGTCAACTTATGCTACCGATTGTTCGACTGCTCTGAAAAATCTCACTAGTTTCCACAAATATTTTTATTCCGTTACTTAGAGTAACTCTAAGTAATTAATATAAAAAAATAATCAAAATATCAATTGTTAGAAAAATTGCTCTACATTTTTGGCAAATTATTCTTTTTTGTACATTTTTTTAGTGTTTTCTTAATTTTAAAGGGAAAAGAGAGATTTTTTTAAAATTTTTGTCCTGTTAAAGAACCTTTCAGGTATGATTTCTGATCTATAGATTTGCATAACGAAGAAATAAGTTCAGCATTTTAAAAGATATCATGTGTCTAGACACAAAAAAAATAAAAATAAAAATACATTTATTTAAAATACAATACTTTCTATCAGCTCCGCATCGAAGCTAAATTTATACATTTCTAATAAAACGCTACTCTGTTTATTTGATTATAAGAAATAAGAGTTGCTGAAAATGAATGAAAAACAAAATTTGATTTTTCACAGGAGGTTTATTACCCATTTAATTTCTGGTCAAATCTACCCATTCACTAAAAAACTAAAAGACTATTAACTGTTAATGACGATGGCGTTATTTCTTTTATTTTATTTTTTTGTTTTCCGATTTTAATAATAAAACAAAAATAGGGAGACGTCGTCACCAAGGTAGAAGCCGTGGACGGGGACAGAGGACATCCTAGACGCATTAAATACGGATTGGTGTCGGAAAAACGACCGTTTACGGTGTTGTTTGACATAGGCCTATTTACCGGTAAGGCTTGTCGTTAAGAGAGTACCACGTATAGTTTTCGAAAATAACCATTTGTGATGAACCCACGCAGGCGAGTTGAAACTGATCAGACCCTTGTCGGAGTTGGCCGCCATATCCAAAGCAATGCAACCGGCCGTGTTGACTGTGATAGCCGACGAAGAAGTTACCGGTGTCGACGGAGAAAAACCTGCCATGTCTACGGTGGCAGACATAGCGCTGATATTAGAAAACGTAGTTAACGGTCCGCCGTATTTCCATAACGCAAAGTGAGTAGCAAGACATTTTTTTTTAAAAAACCTTATTTGTTTCCGCCACTCTACGGAAAAACATTTAGTCATGGATATGTTATCTCTTATCACTTATATATATATATAGTTTATTATCTCTAACTGAAAGTGTAAACCGAAAATGGCGACACGAAATTTCTCGTATCCAGCCCAATGACATGTCCGTGTGAAAAGTTGTAAGAAAAATGACTACGGCCCGGCCAAGTCGACCTCGTCGATTATTTTATTAAACATTAACCAACCTGTTGAAATGTGTACGTTTCGTTGCATTATAGTTACGCTTGTCGTCTGAACGAGAATAGTGGCCAGGGAACGATATTGGTGTTCGGAGATGGATACGTGACTCGAGTACACGACGACAACATGGTATTTTACGACGGCTGTTTTATTTATTTTTGTCGGCGGATCTACCGCCGACCTACCGCCAGTTTTGTTTGCTCTACACGCTGTTCTTAACTCCGTGTGCATTTGTATGTGTACTCAACAGGGCAAGGATTCTGTGTATGCATTGACATTGGAAAACAATAACGGCACGTTTGAAGTCTCTCCGGGTGTGATCGACAGACGCGGTCGGTTCACCATCATGGTGCGCAACAACAGACTTTTGGATTTTGAGAGTCGATCGTCCGTCTCTTTCGAGGTCGAGTATTCTAATATACCTCGTTGCTAATCATTCCTGTATAATACCAAACAGTGGCGTCACCAAACGTCGTTTTTCTAATGGGGCAAACGTTTTTTCTCAATCGTTTGGTTTGCTCGATTATTGTAAAATAGGTTATTATGTTTTTATGATGATCATACTCCATTAAAAGCGTTCTGGAAAACCGATATCATAAGGAAGAATCAACCGATAAGAGTAATATGATATTGATAAGTAAGACGACTAACTGAGTATGGGACTCGTGATGGATTCCGATTTAGGTGTCATGCTTAAGATATAACGGGGGTTGGAAACGACCTACGTGGTTGGATTTATAGAAGCCTTTAAATGAGACGTGTGTGAACTCACTCATGGTGATCCCGGTGTTGCTAGTGTTTCTATTCAACTCAAACGATTCGTGCTGTTGGCATTTGCAGGTGGTGGCGACAGAGTTGTCCGTGCCAGGTGACGCGAATCACACACAATCCGCCAGGACCTCGGTGGTGGTCTTTTTGGACGACGTTAACGACAACTTTCCGCGGTTTACCAGCGTCTCGTACAAGGCACAATTGCCGGAGAATGCCACTGCCGGCGTCAGGGTGTTGACCGTGGAAGCCGTAGACCCGGACACGGGATCATTCGGCAGTGTCAGATACACAGCTCTACTAGGTCTAAAAAACACGTCATTGGTGCTGGATTCCCAGACCGGAGCGATCACGGTGTCCAACGACAACCATGGCTTCGACCGCGAACAATCAGCAGGTTTGCAACATGCAGTAATCAATATTGACATGAATATATCTTACGGCCGGGGGTTTGTCGAAAATTTGCATGACCCTTTTCTTGGGCAGGGATAAGATAGTGCATATTTGAAAGAGGAGAGGATGGAATAATGCACATGGTTAGGATCAAAAGTGCCGTAAGACATACCCGTTACCCATGATCCATTATCGTTCCTTCAAAGGAAAGACGGTATTTTTTACAAGTGAATCGTCTCGTGCAAAAGTGCTTCCATTTTTGAGCATCTTAATTGATGAGTTTTATAGATTTTGGAAGGTTAAATACAAAGCAGCGTTAGGCCAGAATTCGGTATCTTGTTTTAATGTTTCGTGCAAAAATGTACCCCAATTCCTATCCCCCCCCCCCCAAATATATGACATATCTCTTCTTGCATGAGACAATTCAAGTACAATTTAGAACCACAAAAAAATGTATAGTTTCACGGTATATATTATGTTTGTGTTTCAAAAATTTAACTACCAATAAATTAAGAGACAAACATTTGTGACATCATGATTATACACAAAACAAGTTTGTCAAGAAATCATCTCACGAAACAGCGTTGGCTGACGACTATGTCTAATGATTTTCTGTATTAGAATATAGATTAACTGTAGAAGCTCGAGACATGGACGGGAACGGGTTGGCTGCTAGTGTTCCACTTATTATACAAGTATTGGATATTAACGACGAAACACCAACGTTCCAAGACACCCCTATTCAGTTTGTTTTAACGCAAGACATGCGAAACTTCACGGAACGAGCTTTAGTTAAGGTTAGTCCGCTTCTATCGATCATATTTTAAATTTTGGGCCAGTCTGATCAATCATAAATACAATTTGAATATCGATGAACATGTTCGCCATGCAGTCGGGTAAACTGTATGGCGGGTAGTCAAGGGTAACATCAGGATTTATTTTTACCTATTATTTTGTCTGTTGTCAAAAATTAAACATCAATAAATAACATTACAATATGTGTTCCTCGGAAAATAACTTATATTAATATTATTATGTAAATTTATAGAACACATAAGTAGGTAGGTACCTACGTATAACAAAAAAAAAAAAAAAATGAAATAAACCCTAACCTCGAGTCGGGATCGTTTATTGCTTAGATGATATTTCATATAATAATAATAAAATTATAAATCAAAGTCGTTTTCAGATGTTTTTTATTTTTTATTTAGGCAGTCGATAAAGACGCAGAAGCTCCGAACAACGTGGTTCGTTACGAGATAATAAACGGCAACTACAACAATCGCTTCACCCTGAATTCAGAAACCGGTAAGGCTCATAGATATTCATGTGTATGAATATGTAAAAAAAAAAAAATAACATGGTCGTTACCTACGCTACGTTTTGTTTCTTATGAAATATCGTCTTATTATTATCATGCGTGTGTGTTACGCACAATATTTACGACTCCTTTGTAGTCAAAACTTATATTGTTGTGTCCACTTGAAAAAAAAAAAAACAGTCGACCGGTATTTTGGACTAGCGATTAAAATATAATATTATGTGAAAAATTCAACGTATCCGTTTATCTTTATCGACTGATCCGAAAATATGTATGCAGTGTGTGTGTGTGTGTGTGTATTTTTAATATGTGTGTTTTTTTTCTCATATTTTTATTTCTACACAGGCGAGCTGTTCATATCCGACGGGTTGTACGATACGAGTAGGTCCAGAAGGCAATCGACCAACAGCGCGTTTACGACGCTCACAGTCAGAGCTTACGACTTAGGTGAGGCGTTTCGTCGAAAAAAAAAGTTTTTTTTTCCTTCTAATATTATAGCTAGAGTCACTGAACTCAATATATATGGAACGCTCATTTAGATTGAAAAATCTCAAACCCAAACTGGGAGGCAGCCATTTTGTGTACCAATTTCATGGAAAGTAAAAATGCTACGTTACTTTTCCATGATACATTTTAAAATGTTAGGTTAGGATAACCCGCCATACATTAGACGAATCATTGAAAAAACCACAAATATCATGGACAAAACAATAACTATATTGAGTTCAGTGGCTAAAGTCAAAGTTTTGAATTTACATTTAAATACAGTGTTGACATCGTTCCTTTTAAAAAAGAAAATAGTTCCCGTTTCCCTGCATCGTTCTTAAAAAAATTTAAATTAACGACCGTGTTCAATCGCGCTATTGTAAAACCACTCTGTTCAGATTCTTAAAAAATAAATAGTAATAATAACGACACGACTATGGAAGAAGAACCAAGAATACATTTTTTTTAGCCACAGGTTTTCTCTAGGACGTCTTATTTTATTTTTTAATCGCTCTCAATGTTGTAAGCAACTTAGTATTTAGAAAAATTCAAATTTTCTAATATTCTTCAGCGCATTAAAAAAAAAACTGAACATTTTTACATTAATTCTTAGACCCGTTCTGAATTCAGTAAAAAAAAAAAATACAATAAAAAACTCTACTTGGTATTTTAGAAAATTACTACTACAAAATGTTTTTTATTTAACTTTTGAAGAAATTGACAGAAAAAACTCCAAACTAGAAAAAAAATTCCAGAAAGGCCAGATTAGGATTCAGTAACAAAATAAAATCAAAATGTATGTACATATTTTAGTTTTTGTACCCTGAAAATGGTAAACTTGTATTGTACACTATAATTACCATAGTTTATCACAGGTTTAGAATAAAAATAACTACGCTATGACCCAAATCATTTGTTTCCATTTTTAGCTTAATAAACAAGTGAAAACATCATCTAGTTTCAATAGTATTTTGTAATACTATGTATATATATATATAACAATATACAAAAAAACTACGGATATAAATTAGAAATTAATAAAAAAAAACTACTTAAAAATAATATGAATTTTTTTTTTTACATTGCTAAAAGAAAGAAAGCATGTAGTCTTAATTTATATTCAGAAAAAAAACATTGGAATCCGTTTTGGCTGGACTAGTTCCTTAAAAAAAATGACCCGATTCCTAATTCCATAACAGCACTGCCTATTGAAATACTGCACGGTAGTACTTATAGATATATGATATCTAGGCGTACCACATCGATGGTCAACTGCCCAGGTGAGGATATACCCACCGTCTTCGGGTGCCAGACAAATGTCGTTTTTGGTGCCAGCTACTATGGACTTGGCGACGGTGCACAGTTTACTTGAACACCTGACGGGTGCTAAGGTGACGATAAATTCGTTGAAGCCCAATTACGGAGGTTCTCTTGGCGATTCGAAAATCGAAAAGTACATAAGTTCACGGATTATTTCAAACCGATTGTTCGCCCAATTAGTTGTCTTAATAAGGTCATTTTTTTTTTTTTTTTAGGAATATAATAGCCGCCACTGTCGTGTACAACACCAATACGGTTATTGACGTTGAAGAGCTTCGTAAATACTTTTACCAACCCGGCGGGTCTCATACGGCACAAGTACGTGTAAAATAAGGAAATCAATATTTCCCTCGGGTCAAAGACATATCAAAGGTCTTGTGATCTTAAAACATCTGATTTCAAATCGTTTTACTATTCAATCAATGTTTGCCAATCATGCTTTGCATTGTGGTCACCTAGTAAAATCTGATCCTTTGTTAAATCATCTAGAACGATTGGTCTGATTTAATGTGATTTTTGAAGTCGGTTATTTCCATTCATATGTTTTTTATGCTTACATATTATATTATGGTTGTGACGTTTTTCCCGTTAAATAAAACCCTTCCAAAGAATGTAATATTATAATATTTTTCATTTCAATACTAAGAATTCGACTGTCGTAAAAATGGCGTTATACCCATAAAAGGGTATACCCTTTTTTTTTATTGTTTCAGCGTGTTGCCTTTAATGTTTAATGCAAAACATTGTAATAAACACGGTTTTGACTTTAGGATGTCGGCTGGCCATCTATAAAGAAATATAATAATAATAATAAAAAGAGATTTTTATCTTTTCAGTCTGTTTACCATGTTGACCATCAAGAAAAGGATATATCGTTTTGGTTGAATCTATTGTTGTTAATAGCGATACTGTTGGCGGCGTTGGCGTTAATATTTTGCTGTTGTTACCAACAGTATCTTCGTTTCGCGCAAAAGTGAGTTGTTACCAAGTATAATATGTTTATATTATATTGTAATAAAGATTATGTTAGTACTCAAATACAACGTTCTCAACAATGGACGGGGGCTATAAAAAAAACAGCACAGTGTTTTTATTGGAAACATTTTGTAGTTATAGTAATAATAAGTACTATAATAATTATTGTGATATTATTATAGTTACAAGGTTTCCTCGTAAACTAAATCCACATATAAATATACATTTAAAATATAAATTACATTATTCAGAAACGCTATTAGCTGATCCACGATTAAACATTACTTCAATATAATAATAATATGAAGTTGAAAATTCTCTTCAATTTGGTCTAACAATAAAATATATATATATAATAATTATGAGTGTTAGCTGTAATACTATCTGTTTGACAATTCATAATGTATCATGTTTTATTAATAACTATTTCCATAAATTCCCACGCAGCAATATTAAGACGTTGATATTTCTTAAATGTTTTATCAAAGTTTTGTTGAAATCATTACAAGTATAATGTTTGGAATATAACGAATAAATTTATAATATTCAGGAACTAGGTCGTTAATGTTCATAAAAAATGCTGGAGTTGTTTAAATATTAAGGCATACAATTTTATCTATTTGATACGATTTAATCTTATAAGTCAAATGAGCGAATTAATCAAAACATTTAGAAGGACCCAATTATTATTGTTGGAACGTGTGTTTTATTAATATTTGATGAATTAATATTGTATATATTATATTATGACAATTATTATCACTATAAAAGTATATACTACTAAAACGGTTAAAAATTGCTGTGTGAGGTAAATATTTTCAGAAAATACAAAATAGTTTATTAAGACGGTATAACGTGAATATTATAAACCATGTAAACATTTTCGAAATAATAGAATTATTCATTTATAGAAACCATTTTTTTTTTTTTGGTAATCACATGTATTTATTCATTGCATGGTTTATAATCGTTTACCTTGAACATCATTCGGTAACGTCGGAGAGTTATTACAAGTGAATTATTATTATTGTTGTTGTTATTATAAGTTTTAATATTATAAGGTCCAAGACAAATCGGTAACGATTATTGTGAGGAGTGTTTTTTTTTTAAACATAAAAAATGTTGTGTTGTTTTTTAATAATACTAGCCGATGTTTGTTTGTTTGCAGCAAATTCTACCGAGGTTTCTATTCAGAAAACAAAGGCGTTCAAGTGTCGTCAGCCGGCAACCGTCAGCCGACGGAAGAACCGAAAAACAAAATCTACATACTGAGCGAAAAACCCGGTGGTTCGTCGCCTGTACGGTTAGCTAGAAAGACAAAAACCATAATTCTACCGGCCAAAAAGAAAAGCAGCGCCGCCGAGTCTCTGCTCTTGGAGGACGTGGAGGGTAACGAATATCGGATTTTGGACAAACGCCAGAGTTCTTGGTCAGAAGAAACGGCCGACACCAGGCAAGAGATGTTCTTCAAACAAGGAAACGCCGAAATCTTAAGAATCATGTCCAACGACTCTTTGGAAGTCATGGACTCGGCGTCCAACGTGGGCGCCATCAACGTGTACGACGAAGCGGCTGGCAAAAAAGTGATAATGAACAAATTCTTGAACAGCCAGACGGATCAATCGGTTGCCGAAGACAGTAACAGCTGCTACCGGCCGGATCCGGTGACTAGGGAAACGGCGCAGCCGGAGGAGAAAAAGAAAAACGACTTGGAAGAAGAGCAAAAGAAAATGGCGGCGTTCCAAAGAGACGTGTTACTGACCAGGTAAAACCAACCGGCGATTTATACCCAACAAAAATTTATTAGGTAACCGATAACACAATTGTAAGAAATAGAAAATCAGTTCATATCATAAGACACACTAATTAAAATGTCTCCTGATCCAATATTTCCAACGTCTCTCCTTCAAGGTTAAGAATGATTTTTTTATACTAAAATTCGGACTTTTAGCTGTGATGCGTAGTTAAATATATTGTCATGTACTTTGGAAATACTAAAATACTTTTTTTATGATTTTTCGTTAATCATTACCCGTTTATGTATGAAAATGTAGATTTTTGGCGGAAGAACAACAGAAGCTAATGACCAAATTGGAGACCAGAAGCTTGCCCGGGGCCAACATCGCCACCCAAACCGAAGTGAACGCCGCGTCCCAGACAACGAGCTCGTGTCTAAGGGGCGATCGCCGGAGCCGGGGCCGGGGTTACGATCAGAGAGACGGCTTTAGATCTGCTCAAAGTCAACGGAGATCGTCCAGTATGCCACGTGGCAAGTTCAAAAACAGTCCGATCATTGAGGAAACGGGCAGTGGCTCCGGCACAAGTCTACAGTCGAGCCAAGCTCAGAACGTTGGCAAAGTCGATCAGGAAAAACGCAAGTCTCGGTCCTATTGCAGCCTAAGAGACCTGGAACTCGACAGACAGCTGCAGTACATGACGCCGTCGCTGAGGTCAAGAGCTTTAGCCCGGCGAAGATTGTCGACGTCGTTGCCGCCGGGCGGTGTAAGGTTACCCAGAACAATGCAAATGCTGGAGAAAAAGAGCATTTTCACTATTGCTTACGGAGACGTGGCCACGCAGAAGATCAACTGTAGCGCCGATTCGTCCAGCAACTGGGAATGATTATTATTTTCAACCATTTTTTTGGTGGATGACCATCATTGTTTTTTTTTTTCCTATAACATATTTTATTACGCATTTCGAATTTTAGCTTTGTTTTGTTTAAATAAATATTTAAAAATAGTAAAACAGATCACTCGATTTATTTCCTATGATTTTAAATGGTCTTATTAGCTGATAAGGAATAACACGATAGTGAGAATAATTGACGGTGATAAGGATAAATAAACTGATAACAAGTATATTATGGTTATTACCCAAGTGTTAAAATGATCGACAGTCGACAGCTGATAAGATGCGGTTTATCGATAAGGGAATCAGCTAATAATATAGTGATAAGAATTAATGGTAAAAGATGAATGGACGGAGTACAGAGTGATATGAGGATAGCTGGTGTGATTGAACGAGATGTAAAAAACCCAGCTCTATGGAGGTGTAAGGTGGCCGACCCCATGTGGTTGGACGTGCAAGGCGAAGATAAAAAATTAATGGTAGAAACTATAATGTCTATTAACATAGTCACACTTTGACCCTTCCAGCTTTTGTTTTTGCTTTGTATTTTTTACAGTCCCTTACAATTTTATACACAATTTTTAAAAATTTAGTTTTTTCCCTTCGAGTATTACATTTAATAGTACTTCACTCGAATACCACTTCTACGATACATTTTTACCGACCTCCTAACAGTCGTATGTTAAATATTTATCGATGAAGTGTGTACGGATTTTTTGTCATTACTATTTTGTATTCGTGGGAGCAAGTAATATTAATAATCATGTTTCGTAGAAGACAACGCAACTATTAATGTTAAAAAAAAAGTTGTACAGAATATAAAGTAGTAAAGAACTGTGTATTATTGTGATTCTCGGTAAGTAAAAAAAAAAAAATGACTAATGTAAATTGTAAACACTGTGAAAAAAACCTTGCTAACGGCCATTGTGGTTGAACCGTTGTACCGATAACAAAGAACCTTCACTTTACTTCTCCCGAGCACAAAGTAATTTTGGGTGCGCTACTGTTTCCTATTCGTTGTAATACTTAAAATGTGTAGACTTGGTTTAATTTCTATATGGCTCTGCGTCGGGTGCGTTAAAGTCTCCCCAAAGTATGAATTATTGCATACTTGTGTAGGACAATCTACATAAAATTAACTTTTTGATATTAATCATAGCTACTTTTAGTACAGTGCATAATACTCAAATAATTATTAAATCTTTAAATTAATGGTTCACGGGCAAATTAGATAAACCCCAGAAATGTACGAGAAACGTACACTGTTTTTTACATAAATCTCACTAATCAGTATATTGTTGTTTTCATAATATTACTGTAAAATGGTCGTTAGAATATCGTTGAAAATCGTTTTTCTACATTCTTATGGATTTCTTCTCTGGCAACTGGAGCGGTACCTGCGACGAGCAATAGGAGAGCGGCTACACCAAGATTTACAGAGGATGAGAAAAGCTAAGCTATTACTGTTGATCTCTAACACGTGACATAGTTCAGGTCCACTGCACTCCATTTCTGGTTTTTGGTATTTTTTTTCCAAATAAAACGATAATTTATGGTTAAAATTTTGCGCTGAAAATCATTCATCTCGAAAACTTGAACAGACGGCAAAAACGGACGGCGAAAACAGTAGATACCTAAAACTATCTTAAAGAAAACAATTTCCTTCTTTTCAAGAAGAATCATGAGTAAGTCTTATGGCACTCGGCCAGTGGTAATCTTAAATGAACATTTACACGATTCAAATGTTCCTTCTTGTTGAATAAGCAAGTAAACAAGTAAAAATTGAGAAAATGAGAAAATAAATGAGTAAACGAGTAAATAAATTAAGAACATATAAAACGAGTAGAAAAAATATTTTAAAAAATCAGCTAGAGGAGTAAATAAATCGAGTAAATGAATAAACTAGTAAATAAATATAGTGAACGAGTAAATTAATCGAACGGGCGCGTAAATAAATCGAGTAAACGAGTAAATTAATTGAGAACATAAAACGAGTAAAAAAAAGTATTTTAAAAAATCAGCTAGAGAAGTAAATAAGTAGAGTAAATAAGTAAACGAGTAAAAAAATGTTTTAAAAAAATCAGCTAGAAGTGTAAATAAATCGAGTAAACGAGTCGAATAATTCGAATCAACGGGTGAATAAATCGATATGAGCGTAAAACAATGTTCTTATGGGACAGATTTTGATCTCGCTAAAATGCGAATTTCGAACTGACCCCAGGGCCCGGCCATAAAACACATCGTGTCTGGCTGCCCGGGACAAATACCGTGTAAACCTGTGATAATTATACTATTTTATCACACCGTCAATCGCGTTCAATACAATAATTAATACAAAATGCCTACACCGTCAACTAGGACAGCAGCGGCTAGTGTGCGCATGCGGTACGGCTGTCCCGCATCCGTAACGCTCCGTTGGCCGCCTAGGCGGCAGGCGGCCAGGTGAGTAATGTCTTTAAAAAAAAGAAGACGCCGACTGGCGGCTACCGGGCGGCGACGTCCGCCGGCACGGACGAGCGCAATATATTATGTTTAATTGAACTCCTCAGTCCTCTCTCTCTCTCTCTCTACCACCCTCCTCCTACCGAATACCGCTCTGTTACCGCGGTTGCGGTTGTTATAATTATATACATACTCCCTAGCCGGGGCGACCGGTTTCCCGTGTTTCGATAGCCGCTGATAAGCCGCCACCGAACGTATACGTTCGTCGATTGTTGTTCGAACAGTATAATATTATAAGCCGTAATATTAGTATTATTATATACATTTTTTTTTTTTTTTAAACCGGAGAGATTTCGACAGAGACACAATGCGATTTCCCCTCCTCTCCCGTCCGAGATCTGTGACGACGTCAAGGGGGGACGACATCCCGTTTGCCCCCGCGGCAGGGAACGCCGAAAGAAAAAAAAAACCCTCCCGCTGAGCAAAATCACAAAAGACCCAAGTATACATATTATTATTATTATAGGAAACAATAACAATAATACCCGGTGACAGGGCATTGGCGGCCGGAGGAAAACGCCGGGCCAACATACGGATAACATATATATATATATATAGGAACACGGGCGTCGGCCATTGTCTATACTTACATACATAGGTGTATAACACGTGTATATAGAGTGTGTCTGTATTCAATTAAAAAAAAACTAACCGTCCACGGAGAGGGAAAGACAATAAACTCAAAGTTATAAATCAATGTATATGTGACGACGGAAAAACATTATACCTATACCTAGGTATAGGTGGTATACGCATTAAGAATATTATGTACTACAATATTGTATACGAGAAACGGGGGGAAAAAAATGAACGCACCGTGTTGCGAATTACACTGTACATATTATATTATAATAATGTAGAAACAATGAACACATTCTAAGTATAATAATAATGAATAGTGGCCTGGCGCGGATGCAAACGGTAATACGCATGGGCGGCATTGATATTAAGATATTGTATTTGATGTACGCGCTTAACGGTCGGGTAACAGCAGCTATTCTGCTACCTTCTTTTTTTTCAGTTGCAATTGTTAATTATCATTACATGGTAAAAAAATTTTTTTTTTGTTTAGATTCGATCCCGAGCTGTATTACAATGATGAAAAATACAAAAAAAAAAAATTACAAATTTGTCAACTTAAAATAGTAATGGCCAGTAAGTCCTACTTAGATAACTTTTAGGCGATTTTGAAAAAGGCGTAAAAGAAAATTAATGAACATTGCTTATAAGGGAATACATTGAAAATATAATTTTGTAAAATTGTACAAAAATTAATTTTAATTCGATATGAGAGAGCGTTAACAATAACATAATATACTATCAAGTATCATATTTCATAAAGAATATTGATACTCGATACGCTTGATATGTTTCTAGTCAAATCTATCTAGGCTAGTAAGAGTATCTGAGGTTTATTGAAATAAGATTTATATTATATATGATGTATCAAGTACATATTGTGTATGTATTCTGTACAGTTGACAAACAATATAGAAACAAGAGAAGCGACAGAAAAATTCTGTAAAAAATCCTATAAAATAGATGTTGTGCACTGTTATTATTATTAATTGTATAATTGTATAAACCGGTTCACATGTGCCATTTAAAAATAAAAATAAGGAAACTAGTTTACAGCTGAAATCGTCCAATGTGTGCAACAACAAAATAAATATAGTTAATTTGTAAGTATATAGTTATCAATTATTTTACAACCAGAAAAATCCTGATTACTAAAATATTTTCTTTTAATTACTAATTAACTTAATCTGAAATTAAATGTTATGTTTATTAAATAACACCCAATAGACCGGATTTATTATAAATGTCATCTTTTATTTCCTTACATGCAATTTGTAAGATAAAAATCTTATTTTACAGTAGCGCTTTTGGGTGACATAACCAGTTATACCTATGTATCCTTAGCGATATAAAAAAAAGCTATTAAAAATAATAACTGACTTAAACCAGTTGTGAGTTTAGATAAATTATCTACATTTGCCGCTTGTCTCCTCTCATCTAAGATTTTTTAAATCAGTGCAACTCCTGTTTATGGACACTTTTTAATGACAGACAGCAGGCGACAAACATCAATTTTCAAAAAAAATCAAGTCGGAACAAGAAATTTGATAAATTAAGTATTTAAGTAAAATAAATCGAGTAACCCAAAATAATAAACATCTAATAGGTAAACAGCAAATTAATTTTTGCATTTATCATAATATTGACATATGCAATGTAGATAACTCAAAACGAATACGAGGTTCCCTGGAAAACCTTGTCCTTCATATTTTTGTCATGGGTGTTTTACCTCTAAAATCAATTTGAAGGGGATGCGCCTTTTTCTGGGTTGCATGTCACTGTGGAGGATGTTGTATAAATAATTTAGCACTACCAAAAAAAAAAAATAAGAGTCATAATTACTAAGCTCATAATTACACAACATGTACCTAACTCCTTAATAGTAAAAATGGGGGTATGACGTCTTCTGCGAAAATTTGTTCTCTAAAGACACTGCAATTCAATAACACAGTTTTCGAATATATTAGCCCGGTGTGTTATACTTAAATATCTATAGTGTAGGTATGTGTATACCATCCCCAAGACACGCTATACAATCGAATATATTATTTACCGGAAAATAGAAATCCGCTTTTTAATATCTACATTAGTGTTAAATATTTAGGTTGCATAACATATAATAATGTACCTATAGTTGTTCGTGATTACCTACTCGGGTTACCGACTGTGTGCTTGTTTGTTCCCGCAAAATCTCAAAATCTACATATCATACAATATTATTGTGTAGCAGGTAAACGGTTAGAGATTAAAAAAAAAAATGTTTCATTTGTGTGTTTGATTTTTCCGTTGCGCAATCTACAAAGGCTGCCGTTATAACGGCATAACAGTAGCCTGGCTATATAGTGTGTCTTGGGATCTTAAAATGCCTTGGACCAAAAAGGAAATATTTTACCGTGCAGGCATATTGTGGGGGGAAAAAAAGGGCATTGGAAGATGTACACACAAAAATATTATGGAGTTTTACGCAATAGTGATTTACGGTTTTTAACAGTTATCTCTTTGAGACGAACCGCCCTCCGACATGTTTATGACAGAGCGCTAACCGTACTTACTAGGTAGACTTGCCGTCGGTTTTTTTTTTTAGGTAAATATTAGCTGTACCATATAATAATAATAATTTGGTACACAAACCCTGTGCAACGGTATAGTAGAGCCGCCCATAAAATCCAAAACGTTATCACACCACAATACACCGAACAGTAACCGACAATAATAATATTGTGTACTGTAATAGTTGCACTTGTTTACTTTGAGAAAACGTCCAATGCGTTTTGGAAAAAAACACATATTAAACAGTTCAGTATATAAGTATTCAACGCTGTTAAACGACTCAGTCAATAATAAGTGTATAATTACAGTTTTACAAACTTTTACAACAAATTAAATATTTCAATGCAAATTTATTCGTGTTATGTTTAAACAACAAACGATATGAATCAATCTCGAAGGAAAAATATATTTTACACCGCATTTGTCAGATTTTCTGTCGCTTATCAATAATTTCTTATCAGCTGCTTTTCTTATCGACAATCTCTTATCAGTTATCCGGGATTTTTTTTTTCTTACCACCCTCCGCACCTCATCAGCTACACGCTTATCACTAGCCTATTCCCTCCCAGCCCTCCAAGTCATATTCACGAGAATAAAATGTGTAATTATTGTCATTAAAATTGTAGACCTCGAAGAGTCTCGGAAATACTTGAATATATTAAAATTCTTGACGCATTATCAAAAGTGGTTGTATACTGTTATTAATTCATGAAAATAATAACTACCTTATCCGACGACGTATGCGCTGTGCCTTGGGGAGATTCTTGTAATAATTTCAACCACTCGGAGGAAACAAAAAAACCGTCATTACTCAAATTACACAGAGCTGGTGTAATGTATAGGCACCTACTTGAAGCACATATTATATTATAGTAGGCATTAAACGCATGATGAACGATGATATACCTAGTCAAATAATTCCAAAATTAAGCGGTGTTTACATACACGGCAACGACTGCCCTTATTGAAAAAATAAATATTTCAAACTCAAAAATCGGCTCTCACGGCTAGTCATCAGTGATCTAACGACGAGGAGATCTTACCGATTCATGTTATTACAAAAAAATGTATGTAAATCTGTTAAATTATCCTTTACTGGTCCACGTTGTAAATATTTGTATCGTGAAACTGATTCGTGGCCATAAGGAATATTAATTTGTCTACTCAAATTTATCAACCAAAGGCTATAAAAAACTAATTAGGGATGTGACTTTTAAAATGTTTGATTATATTATTATTATATTCGGTAGATCCAATAATAATACTAGTACCTACAGTATCTTTTCTTATAATTATTACCAACTACCATATTATGTAAAAAAAGAAAAATAAAGACCTACAAATTGGCTATGCATTTATTATTTACACAGTTTAGATGGCCAACCTTTGCTTTGAGTTAATAATGTCGTACGGCGCTGAGACATGGTTATTTACTTAGGTGCACTGGTTATACTATAGCTTAGGTACATAGATGAAAAATATGTAAATCTGGTTCAAATGAACATAGACAAATTAATGCTATTTTTTCTTATAAATATTCATCGCGTGTAAATTATATAGCTTATTTATAGACTATTATGAGTAATAACCCAGAGTAATGATTTCGTATACAAATAGATGAAATATACATACATATATACATTTTTGTTACATTAAATTATGCTAAAATATTATTTAAGTTTATTTATACCTAATTTGAATATAAAAAAAAGTTGTGAAGAAAATCATTCGAATACATATTTCATATTCAAATAAGCATTTGTACAAAATTTCTGCCTGTAAGTGCATAGGTAATAATAGTAAAACAATATATTCAATTATATCAGATGCGTTAAAGTCGACAACATAATATTATTATTAATATCAGTGGTGTATTTACAAGTTATTTTCTTCTAATATGCAACAATACAAATATTCTCCTGGCTCTCTAATGTAAACGTTTTCCAAAAAAATTGTTCATCATCAATAATAAAAATGTATTTTCGTAGTTACCCTATGTATATCATAATTAATAATATAGTTTAAAAAAATATCATTGACTGTTGATTCAGTCGCACATAGCAACCGGGAAATTGACTTCGGTTAAAGTGTAATGTTCCTATTTTTTGTGGGGTTTTCCTTGATAATAAAAAAAGTATGGCTACAGATTTTTTAGAAAATGGTATATGCAATAGCAACATTCTAGATCTATCTTCAATAAAATGTTCAGACCTAAATCTTGTAAAACTTTGCTACCCGAAGAAATCGGTTCAGTGGCTTACACACACACAAAAAAAATAATCAAAAGACATTATTGTAAAAACAATACTTTCCCAGCAATGTATCCGAAGCTAATAAATAATATTATGTTTAAATAATAATATTGTTTGGAATTATTCGAATGAAAAATTATTCTAACATTTATATTGTTGAAATAATAAAATATTTTATTCGAATATCAGCTTTCGATTTGTATAAAATATGATTATTTCTAATTCAGACAACATTTTATTCGAATTGTTATGCACAACAGACTGTGGTCATCGATTCACTCGTCCACGGATACATTTTCGTCCAAAGATTTATATACTGTACTCGTCCACTGTCCACAGTGGACGTCGGCGGGCACGGTAGTTTTTTTTCAGAAATCATAGGCGGCGGCGGCCCGCGGCTCACGGTTTGTTATTGTCACACGCACGCACCGCGCGCGTACAACATATCGCGTCATGTGCCTCCGTCGACATAACACGACGTCTCCTACCACTCGAACGCAACCGCTTCTCTCTCGACCGCCGGTGCGTGGATTCTACAATAATAATAATAATAATAAATATGTATATTGTACATGTATACTATTATGGTTCTTACGGTGTTTTATTCCTCCTCCTCCTCCTCATCCACGGACCAGCGCAGGTGGCACGTACAGGTAGCCCGAGTCAGGTACGGTAGTGTATTTCTATATAGTACCCGAAACCCGCAACAGGCCGCGCTACCATCATTTAACATACCGGTCGGCGCGAAGGGCACCGACACCGACTCCCACTCGGACGGCCCGCCGGCCCCCACCCGCGTCCCAGAGTCGGCCGAGACCAGATCGAGCAGCAGAGGCTGAACTCTCCGAAGATACCTGTTTTTCGTTTTGTTATTACCGTCGAGTCGTCCCGCCGACGTCGTGATCGTTCGCTCTGTGTTGCTCCGTACTACCTGTATGTGTTTGTGTGTGTGTGTGTGTGTATGTAGACAATACTCGCCATACTTATAACTACGTTACAGCGGCCGCCGCCGTGTGTCGCGTCCACATTCCTCGCGGGAATTTTTCAACGTACGGCCAATACCAGTATTGATATATTGTATTGTAACATTTTGCACGTCGGTTTACTATGACTTGAACAGTACGTTTCCCGTATCGCGTGTGCGTGAAATCGCGTGTGTATGTTTGTGCGTGTTGTTCATAAAAAGTTCCCCTGTTTGTTTGGTGACATCATCTCCGTTCGGCTGGCCTTCCACCTAACCCGGCGGCGTCGTCCAGTGTGAGTAAAACTTGAGTACAGATTTTTTGCCATAGTCACAAGTGGTACTTACTCGGACTTGTTCGACCATATCGTCCGAGGTCGTTGTGTTAAAATAAAAATAAAAAACCATTTTAAACCGTTTTTAACGAGAAAAATAGCCGACTTAGTCGTTAAAAATCAGTTTTCAAAATCTTTTTGTTTAAAAATTTGTTTTCCAACGGGCTTCGGAGGTTTGGGTTTTTTTAAATTTTTTATTTTAAAACCAGTAGTGAACGCACCTGTTGCTTTCTCTGGGCCGAGGCGTTGTCCAGTGGCACATATTATACATTAAACCCGACCAAAAAAGGGTGGTAATTAACAACCCTCTCCGCCCCTTCGTTGCACGTCTAGTGTTCGCCACCGGTGTTGTCATAAAGGTTTTTTTTATCGCAATGGGAATAATTGTTATCGTTAACTAGATTTCTGGTAAAGTAGCAGCTGTAAATTGTCTCAAAACCGCCTCTGAAAGTATTACTATACATATTTATACAGGATTGGTATTAATTAGTGATGGCAATCCGAAACAGTGGCTATTGAAGCCACTTAACAATTGTATAATTATTGTACCCGAGTAAAATGTTTTGATGAAAAAACGCTCAACTAAATTAATAGCGTTCGTATAATCCAAAATCAACTTATCTTTTTGGCGTTATGTTTTATTTTTTAATTTTCATTAAACATATTTTACTTGGGTACTCACCGTTATGTTGTGAAAATATTTAATACACAGGTATACGATTTTCAAGTGGCTTAAATAGCGTTTTTTTTTTGGTTTGTGAAAATCCAGATTTTCAGTTTCCCATCACTAATATTGCAGTAGAAGTAATATTCGGTTTTTACGGCCCGTTATGGTTTTGTGTCACATTGTGTGTGGTGCTATAATATTATCTCTGAGAAACGGGTGTCGTTTTTTCGTTTATCAGCAAAAAAAAAAAATATGGTAGCCCGTGTATTACAATGCTGCAGTAGTTACCTACCAGCTATCTGGGTAACGGAGCGAGGTAAAATATACTATTAGTATGAAATATTGTTGTTGTATTTATAGAGAATCTCAGTATCGGTAGCCGTCCGGTTATTTCCGTTTTGGAAACTTTCAACTAATTGACTGTACAAAATCCAAATAGCCGTGTGTAATGTGACAATAACGATGGCCAAAGCCAATGGATAATATAATTGCCATAATATTATTGGGTATATTAATAGTGTAATAATGATTTTTCTACTTAATTAATATAATAATAATATGAAGTATTTATTATATATTTTGAAAAACGTCGATTCGCACCTGACGCCAATCCGGACAAGCTAATGTGACAATAGTCTGTTGTATGCGGTTCATCCTTTCTTGTGCAGTGGATTTGTGTACACACAAACGGGACGCGTTTCCCTCTTTTTGAATTTACTTTTGACCTTTTCATCCTTCTTAATCCCTTTTTCTGTAACAAGTAACAACAACAACAGCAACAACACTGACATTGTGCCCGCGCCAGTTATGGAACACGGTTTTATAACTATTATTATTATTATTATATTGTATATAATACATAATAAATGATGTATTAATATTACAATACAAATTCCTATAGGTGGCGTATATCTCACGATTTTTTGTTCTTTATTGAGTTTTAAAATAAATAAGAATTATTCCAAGCCAAACAATTTGGGTTTGTATAAACACTAGTACAATTATTGATTGAATGTCTGAAAATTAGTCTGAAAATGGGTAGGGGGGGGGAGCTCTCATGGAAAATAACAAACTTGACGGTCATTTACACAATAAAAAAAATAACTATAATAAATAAATGGAGATTTTCCATAAAATCCAAGTACAAAAACAATTGAATTGTGAGTTTGCTCGGCTATTAACGATTTAACACTTGATACTTGCACGTATAACGGCCCAAAATAACGCTTATGTCGTTCTTGTTGTTCAACCGGTGTCGTTTTTGTTTACAGGTGATTGTACGTTATGTCGAGCGGAAGTAGCGGTGCCGGTGGAAAGTCTGCCTCTGTCGGCGGCGAAGGCGTAAAGCCAGGCGTGGGCTCGGCATTCGTGCCGGTCATGCCGTCCAGCGGCTCGTTTTACGGGCACCCGTCCATACCGGCGCTACCGGCACCGTCTTCGGACTTTTTCGCCGCGTCCATGATGGCCGACAAACACAAAGCGCTGCAACATCACATCTCCATGCAACAGCAACAACAACAACAACAACAACCGGCGCCCGGCATGTACGTGCCCAAGCACAAGCCGTCCGCCGCGTCGTCCCTGCTGCACCAGCAGAACGAGCTCATGGCGATGGCGCTGGACAAGAACAAGGTGCTGCAGGCCGTCATGCACCAGCGCGGCTACGCTCCGCACCCGTTCCTGTTGAACCCCCAGTACGGCGGCGGTCAGCCTCAGTCGCTGTTCGCCGGACCCGGCGCCGCCGCGGCACCGCCGACACCCTACGGCGGCGGCGGCGGCGTTAACGCGGCCGCCAGACCGCGGACCTCCGCCGTCGGCGGCGCGGGCATCGGGCGTGCGTCGCGGCCCAAAAAGCAGTTCATATGCCGGTTTTGCAACCGGCAGTTCACCAAGAGCTATAATCTGCTCATCCACGAGCGGACGCACACGGACGAGAGACCGTACTCTTGCGACATCTGTAAAAAAGCGTTCCGCAGACAAGACCATTTACGCGATCACAAGTAAGATATTATTGAAATACAATTTTTTTTGTCAATAGACCTCTTCTGGCAATCTTCAAGACACACACCGTACATAACGATATTCATACACAATTTATATTGTATAATAATCAGATTTCTATTGTCCTCGTAAACCGACGACACACGGTTTTGTCTTGGCAAATGTATATGTGTGTGTGTGTGTGTGCCAAGGGCAAAACCGACGACAAAAATCATAGATATTTATAAAAAGTAACAAAGACAGAGAGAGGAGGTGTCTGCGATTAGGCCTTGCCCCCGTCGGCGTTCAATAAAATAAATGCGATTTTTCCATCGCCCTAAAGCCGTTAAACGAGTAATATATTCTCGTCATTGCGATTAATGGGCATTCCGTGCGGCACATTTAAAAAAATGACCGTGATTAAGTAGATTTTCACTGTCGCCGGTGAACGACGAAGACTCTTCAGACCAATCTCGCGTTGAGATCCTCTTGTCGTCCCGCTTTAGGCCGTGTTAAGCGTGCTATAGGAGTCGCACGAATCGATAAATCTAAAATCACTCGACAAAAACGTTTCGAAACGAACCCGCGAACCGCAGCTAACGACGCGATATTTAAAAAAAAATGTATTTTCCTCGGCGGTCACACGCTGTATATTTCAAACGCAGCCATATCCAAACTCATTATGTTTTTAATTAAACTAATAATAAACACTCGTTGTAGAACCGATAATTGAACAGTGCGCATTCGCTGTTGTGTAAAGCACACGCGCGTTGAACCATTCGCCAGTCCACTTGTCGTCTGTCGGTTTTTCTTTTACTTACCCGTCCGGTCGAGTGGTTCTTCCAGGTTTTAATTGGAGAGCCCAGACACAACATACGTATTAAGTATGGTGAACGATATTTTATTTTTTTTTATTTCTATAATCATACATTATGCATTAGATGCGCCAGTCGGGAGAATAAATACGGTGGGTGGTGCGGTGGATCCGTCGGCGAGGGTGGAGAGAAGAGGAGCAGCGATGATCTGGTTTTGTATACGAGACGGAATGCGGCGGTGGCGGCTTAATGTAAAAAAATGTAAATCGCCAAAGAGAATTTTATATTAAAAAAAAAAACGGCCGTGGCGACAGTCGACGGTTGCCATATGTACCTATACAATAGTATGGTAGGCTAGTAGTTTCAATTATTTTTGTTTTTCTTAATAAATAATAAAACTACATTTGCCCGCGGCTTAATCCGGCCCCTCGGCTGTAAATAAGCGAATACATTACAATGCTTCATAACATACAAATACAGTACATTGTAATACGCGTTACGCTTCTTACGGTCAGCCCAGCCGACCCTCACACTACATCATCGCAATCCGCATCTTTCCGTACAAACGGACGTTACTTTTAGGGCTAGGGCCCAGGGCCCAACGACTCGCGGTAATATTTCTAATACGTTTTGCGTAAGACGTCCGCTGTGAATACATTACATACATTATCTTTCTAATACTTTGAGGGGACGTTTTTTTTGTTTGTTTTATTTGCGTTATTAAAGAAGAGTAATTACCTCATACCGGCAATAAAAATGCAGATTACAAACGATAACGATGATGGAAAACGGCTTTGGTACGCGCATAGCAATAATCGACGAGAGTTGGCCGGCCACACTGTTTTAATTCAGTCTCTGCGTCCGATCGTTTATCATCATAGCCGGTTGCTTATAAGTTTGACGGTAAGTACACACACATACACACGCCGGTGCTACATACCTACCTACATAAATAATTATGAATAATACATCAGCGGCGGCAAATGGGACTCCTGAACTTTGCAAATTTATCGTCTCCTCAACCGAATTAAATAAATAAATAACGTCCCATTAACGGTAATTTTTTTTCCACCGGACCAGTCTGGTATATATTTAAATATATATATATATATAATATCTCTACTCTACCGCCGTCGTCGTTGACCGGTGCAAAAAAAAAAATGACCGTAATTAAAATTTCAAATAAACATTTTTTTTTTTTTTTTATCTCAATTTATAAAATATGATGAATAATATGACGTTATGTTATATCTACGGAGTAATAATATTCATAGATAAAGGGGATAGAAATTATAACACTATTGAGAACGAGTCGGCGATAAATGAAAAATCGGTAAACATAAAATAAAATAAATCAACTACCACGACGAGGGGCGCGAGGGGGGTGGGAGAAGTACTTACCCGCGAAGGAGTGTCGCGCCAGCATGGGGCCCATACGTATACCAATATTATATTATTATACTTGAAGGAAGGTCCACGGGTAAGGCGTGCATGGTAGGTTTAGGTATATAGGTACACAGAAACGCCGCTGCGGTTGTCGTCGTAAATTAATATTACCATAATTATGTATATTATTATTATTATTATGATTATTATTATTATACGGATACGAAACGCACATAACATTATAAGCTCTCTCTACACGACACATAAAATATACATGAATTGTGTATGGCTGCTCCGAGAGACGTCGCAGCTACGCTTTGGTTAAAAAGTATTATAAAAAAAATAATAATAATAATAATGCAACCGGCGCGGCGTGTCGGGTTGAACGCACTAAAAAAAGTCCGTGTAATCTTTGTGCACAGGCAACAATAATAATAATAATATGATTATTATTAATATTATTATATATCGACGTCAGAGCATAGGCGTGTTGGATCTGGCCAGTGTTGTCCTCTCTTCGGGGCAAGGCAAAAGTATATTATTCATTTTTTTATCAGCTCTGTCACAAGTTATATTGCCATTATATTATTAGTACTAGATAGATAAATAAAAAAAATGTTAAAACATGCAAAATAGGTTGAAAATATAAAAAAAAATGCATAAAAATTTAAATATGCTTATATATGCAAAACAATTATTTAAAACGCAATTGAAACTCGTAGCTTATCTAGCTATTTTTGGAGCATTGAACTGCATGAACTTCCAAGACAATAATATTTTGTTTGAAACATTCAGGAGGGGGGGGGGCGGACGCGCATCGACTCTTATCAACTAACTTGTAGCTTATCAATAATCTCTTATCAGCTATCCGGGAATTGTCGATTTCCTCTTATCGCCATCCCTTCCCTTCCACTCTCGTTCTTAGTGAAAAAACGTATTTTTAATTATTAATTTGGCGGTTCAACGTGTGCGACAAATATTGTACATTACCTAATTCCTGCCGGCCATTCCAGACTTCTCAGTATGGTATACACAAAGACAACTGTTGCGATTTTCAGTGCAGCCACTTTGGGGAACAAAAACCTTTTCGTACGGTAATCGGTTAATAATTGTGGTGACACTACTTGTATGTGTGTGTGTGTGTTATCGTTTAACGTCACTTGTCACCGCGTTTTAAGATAATACCGTCTTAAATAATTATCGTACTTATTATCGCAAGGTAACTGCGGAAGCGGAATCGTAATTTTTATACTGTTTACCTATTTCTTTTTTTTTTTTTGTGACTTCGGTCAAACTGAACTCCGGTGTAACTTTTGTCGAAACAACGCGGAATGCATAGGTCGGTGTTCTGGGGAACGGCTCCTCTGTACGGTAAAGTGTTATACTCGCTTTACAACCAGGTATAGTGTAGGTATGTCCGTATATCGTTACATCTGAATTTTGAAATCGAGAGAACGTGATAAAACTCCTGTGCGCACGGCAGCCATTTCGTGCGGTCGCGGTTTGCGTGCATCTCCTTCTATTCGGACCTTGGGCATGGATATATGTACCTATATACTTTATACATCACACACACACAATATATACAACAGCCATGTCGTGTATTATAATATTATATGCTCTCGGACTTCTGAGCACAGGCGGATGATAATTTCTTGAAGCTCACGGTTTTTTTTTTTTTTTTGGTTTTTTGTTTCGTTCTCTTTTTAAATACACCGTTGTTGTTCCAGACGTTCGTGATGCGGTGACACATGTGCGGTGTATACCGTACTCTCTTCTGTGGTACACAACAGAGCCGTATTCTTAATCGTATATATGCAATAACACTATCGGGCATATAGCATAATACACCGGCGAACACGATACCCGGGGGTTTGCGGTCGTGATACACGGCGGTATCCGCAAACGTCGTGTGCACCATTGTGCTGTGTTGTATTTGAATTAAAAAAAAAAAAAACACCAAGGATATAGAATATTTTTTTTTTTTTATCGACGTCGGGTTCAACGAGCAAAGACTTGATAAAAACAGTGCCCAGAGGCGCGATCTCGAAGGAGTTACCAAAAGAACAACCGTATGTTTTTGCCATACAGTGTCGTTTATAAAAAAAAAAAATAATAATAATAATTTCATTGTCACTTAGCCCGCTGCTCTACATTCTCTTTGGATTTAGATCCGGAGGATGCAACAAATTTTTAGCGGTTATTCTTGCAAAGTAAGTTCTGGTTAGACCGCGGTAAACTGTTTGGAGGTTTTACCCGATAGCTGCGTGGGCTAGACCGCGGTACTTGGCTGCTGTGAAGTCAATGTGGGCTATGGACCGCGCGCTGGTAGGTTTGTGAAGAGTGTAGGTATATAATTAGTGTGTGTGTCAGACCACCGTGCCTACTGCCCAAAGTAGTAACACCTATGCTTACACGAGACGAGTAATTATCGATTAGGACGTTTAGTGTGAACTATCGTTGCTAGTCCGGTGTCGGGTTGAGTGCGTTTGTTTTGGAGTTGCGACATCTCGTGTGCGTTCACTCGTAGCGCAAGTCAAACAAAACCTTATGGTGCACTTCGCGGTTAAACAATAGATTTTCAAATACCGATTTTTGATTTTAATGCATCATTTTATTTAATTTTTTGGTCACGCTGACACGAGATTATTAAAGTTCGTGTTTATGTTTTTCTTCGGTAGTCTAAAACATTAATGTCTTAGACTACTAATGTGGATGTTTCAAAAATTGATTTTTCTTTTATATATAAATATATATTTTCGTCTTCGACATTTATTCGCTTGCGTTGTCATTGCGGGACGGATATGGCAATCGACGGG